CTCGGCCACCTCGGCGCGGCACTCCCTTATCACGAGCGAGCTGATTAAAATTCCCGCAACGCGAATTTGACAAGCGATTTCTCTGTGGCGCGCCCTGGCGGCCATGGCGGCACGGAATGCTGGTCGGGGGCCGCGTCGTGGGGCCGCGGCGTGGCCCGGGGCTGGGCGGCTGGGCGGCTGGGCGGCCGGTCGCATTCCTCTGGCGCGCTGCCAGGGTAAACGGCGGCCACGGCCCGGGCCTCGGACCCCGCCCGCCGCGACCCTCCTTAACCCAGTCGGTTCCATTCAAAGCCCATCACCTGAAAGGCAGGCGGCTGCGTCTCGCAGACCACGCGGGCCTTGTTGGTTCCAGCCCCTCCAGCCGTCCGGCGCGCAGCGCCACGCAGTCTGGCCGGACACACAGACGACGCCCTCCCCTCCTCCCTGCACACCGCCACGGCCGCCACGGCCGCCACGGCGGTGCACTGCGGCCGCAGCAAAAGGCCGTCGCGCTTACGAGCCAAGTTCAACGCCGTCGATGACGTCACTCTGTCATATCGGCTCAATTAAGCTAATGACAGCGCTTGGCTCGGCTTGCCGGCGTGACTGTGCGTGTTGTGCAAATACGACCGCAGATACGACCACTCGACCTTGCAGCGCTCAGGCGCGGCACAGTGGGCCAGAAGACCGGCGCAGCGGCCAGAACTCGAGACGCGTTTTGAGTTCCAGAGTCGCTAAATAGGGCTCGAAACGTTCGTGTGACCCCGCTGGGCTCGAGTCCTGTTTAACGACTTCTGGAGCTCAAAACGCGTCTCGAGTTTTGGCCGCTGCGCCGGTCTTCTGGCCCACCGCGCGCGGCTTGCTTATCGTGTGGGCCGCATGGCCGTGAAGCCGTCGTGTTGTCCCACAAGGATGTTTGGTCAGTGAGGCCTTTGATCCGTCGCGATCCAACGGTCGCAGCGAAGTGACAGCGAATAGAGACAGTGAACTGACAGTGAAGTGATCGCGGCGTCTGTGTTGGCAGGAGCCTCCCCGTCGCCCAGCCCGCCACCGCTGTGCCGCTAGCGCCCGGCGTGTGCGAGGTGCTGCCTCACCTGCTCCTCGGGGGCGCCGCGGCGCTGCGGCCGGGGCTGCTGGCCACCCTGGGCGTCACCTGCGTCATCAACTGTGCCGCGGAGCTGGCCAACTTCCCCGTGCCTGAAAATGTGACCTACCTGCGAGCGCCGCTGTCGGACCACCCCAGCGCGGCGCTGGACCAGCACCTGGACACCGTCGCCGACGCCATCGAAGAGGTGAGGAGGGGCCTGGAGTCTAGCATGGTGTCTGACGCGGCTGTGCTCGGCGAGGCGGGTGGCGGCTGACTGGGCGAGAACGGCCCGATAAGCATCTTGCCGCCTTTGGGTCCCTTCGTGTGACGAGGTGTAGCGCCACACTCTCGCTCGCGTCGAGGGCGCCGCGCCGCGCTACTGTACTCTGTCCCAGCCGGCACTGGCCGGCACGCGCCGCGTCGCGCCGCGCCACGCGCTGCACCTGACCTGCATCCCTTGCACGCCGCCAAGGCGCCGCCAAGGCCGAGCCCGCCGAGCCGCGGGCTATTTATCTAATGGCTGCCGCTATTCTCGGAGGAATGTTTCCCACTTTTTTTGCGCGCGCGGTGCAATGCCTGTTTAAACGGGTGCCTGCTGAGTCACGCCCGTGTTTTACATAGGCCCACGTGCTGGATCTAAGTAAGGTAGGGCGCGAACAAAAGGAAAATATTTTAAATTTGAAAATGGAAACATATTATTAGGATTGTGCTTGGTTTCTGGACTCGAGAGTAAGAGCAAGCTGACACCTTAATTTGTGTCTTGTACTTCTAGCGGCTTCTAGGCATGTTTTAAAGTTAAGATATCATCAGCTTAAATAGCATGATGAACGGGCCTCTCGAAGTGGCACCAAGTAGTAGTGAACTGCGCGGCCGTGGCGGTGGCAGGCCTCAGGGCTGGGCGCAGCGCGGCGCGCGCAAGTCCGCGCCTCACGGAGACGCTTTCGCTCGGGCGTGCCGTACGCCCGTCAGGGGTCTTGGCCATGCCGGCGTCCCATGCGGCCAATGGGCGTCGGGCTGAGTGATTGCCGGCCATTTGTTTCAACAGAGCCGTACTGAGAATTGCGAGACAAATGGGCGTTGCGACGGACACTCGCGGACTCGCGCGGGGGCGACGACACCACGCTACCTGGCGGCCGCTGTGCCGCTGGTGGTGGGGCAGCGCGGCAGCGCGCTGAATGCCAACGCCGCGTACCGGGAAGCGGTGGAAGCGAGGCCCGAGAAACTAGCGCCGTGCTTGGCCGCGCTCTAACGCTGCTGTGGGTCAGTCCAACTTGGGGCTCCTCCTGACGGTGTGTGTTGCGCGGTGTTACAGGTGCGGCAACAGGGTGGACGGACGCTGGTGCACTGCTTGGCTGGAGTGTCTCGCTCCGCGGCCATGGTGCTCGGATACCTGGTCAAGCACCACGCCATGCCTCTAGCCGAGGCTTTCGCCCTGGTGCGCGCCGCGCGCCCCATGGCCAGGCCCAACTCGGGCTTCTTCCGGCAACTCATCGACTGGGAGCGGCAGCACCTGGGCGTCGAGACGGTCAGCATGGTGGAGCACCCCGCGCTGGGCGCGCCCATCCCAGACGTCTACCTGGACGACTACCGCAACACGTTCCTCTTCCACAACAAGTACAGCAACAGGCGCTAGGATGGAAAGACGGCGGCCTCTGCGCAGCAACGCCGACGCGCCGCGTGATCTCACGACGCCCTCAACGGGGGGACGACTGCATCGTTCTCATTTCCAATAGTGTTACTCCTCATGCAATTTCGCTGCCTTACTCATTTTCATCTTAAAATCCAATTAATATCCTATGCCAATGTTCATCACCATCATTTTCATTTGGATATATATTTTTATCAGATTTTCGTAGATGGTTTCAAAGGTATCGTTCGTCGTTCAAAGTTGATAACCCATTCTTCATAGTGCATACGTCATATACTTTATTGTTCATGTCATATTTCATTGTTCATGCCATAATTCATGCCACACGCTAAATTCCCTTGTCCAATTTTTGCACAAGGTCTCACACAATTTTGCGCATTCTTGCTTTTCGCACCAATTTGTTAAAACTTTCGCATAAACGTGCGCAATATTAGTCCCTGATTCGTGTGATTTTTCAGATGCAAATTTATACGAAAAACTTAGGATACGCAAAATTGTGTAACGCCACGTACAAAATTGCACAAATGCACACTGTGCATGTTTTATAGTTCATGTTTCACACTCCTCATTCATAGTTCACACTGTTCAATGTCATATATTTCGGCTCATATTTTACAGCAGGTATCATATTTCGTTGTCGCATGCCACATGTTTGTTCATATAGGCATAAGTAATTTTCCATAGACATGTGATATGTCTAGGTCGTTATATTTTCAAAGTTCTTGCCATATCTTATAGCTCTCATACGATACTTCAGAGTTCATAATTCAGATTTTATATGCTAAAGTTCGTTGTTTATTCGTCACATTTCATAGTTTATATGCCATATTTCATAGTTCATATGTCACCGTTCATAAGTTTAACCCTTCATACTTCATTTACTTCGCAATACGTCCATGCATGACTCTAATTTTCTACCTATATCAGCATACACCTAGTTTTAGACGTCTACAATGTGATCTGTACATATAAAAATTAATATAAAATATTAAATTATCTGTATAAGCTAAGTGTCTTTTGTACCGTGAAAATATACCGTATTCTCATGTAGCCTCTGTTCGTCATTTTATATTTCCCAACAAGTAGGATTTAAAACGATACAAAAACGTCACTCACGCCTTGCCATGTAGTACACTACCTGCTTACTCGACACAGAAATAAACTTGTTTATGTACCTGGGATGGCGGGGCGGGGGCAGGGGTATTATGAATTGGGTTTCCTGTTCAACCTAGCCGAGACTCGAGGTTAAATATAACTTACCTGCTTGTCCCAAGACTTGGCGAGTGTGGGTGCTAGCGAAGTGAGGGGCGGTGGTGACTTCGATGCAATATGAACGTCCGTCCAGGCTTCCGCGCACGTTAAGGTGGAGGCGGATGCATCATGATTTGTCGTGTAACATTTCAGAGAACTACTGAGGTGCATCAGTTGCAATCCACAATTGGACTAAGCATGCTAGATATTTTCCACCCCAATCGTTTCCGGGGGAAAATGATTATCAAAGATTATCAAACTACGCCCTTAAAGAGCAGGAATCGTTCAAATGCCCGAGGAAAGTGCGTGAATAGTTTAGGCGAAATTTTAATGCCATCTCAAAGGTATTAAAGACTCACGCCGTTCCAGGTGCGTAAATTGTTTACGCCCGTTAAGGGCATGGTTTAAATGCCTTTGTTTCACCAGTGTAGCAAAATTAGTGCCCCAGCAGCTTCTAATGCCGTTGATTGCCGAATATTTCCTCATTCTTTCCACTTTCTTTCCGACTTGTACCGCTTTGTTAGTTGCGCCAAACTTCAGTTTTACCGGCAAAAAAATCACATTCCCAAAAATGCGAAAAATATGATTTTCTGACAAATATTTTTGCCTTGGTGATTTTAATTGATTTCCTTGATATAAAGCGTAAGGATGCAGAATTTGGTGCTCATTCAACTGATCAGCACTTACAGAAGAACCCGCATCGGTACAAGGGCGGGGTGGCGCGGTGTCAGTTAAATAGGGTCTCCCTCCATGGTTTTGCCACACGCTGCGCCGCCATGCTACTCTGCCCATATTACTCCCAACCCAAACAACTAGCCCAGTTGTGTCTTTGTGATCCTCCCTCCTTTAACGGATGTGTGGGTCGACCAGTTTCATTCGGTCATTTTGGACCAGCCCCCCCCCTCCCCCTTCCTCCACCCTTATTTTACAGTGGGCTGGGCTCGTGTGCCCTGTTTGGCCGGCTGTCTACATCCCGCTTCTCTCTGGCAACGAATACCTCTGAATATCAGCAGAGGGGAAAAGTGAGAGTTCAACTGGTTCTTAATACATTTATTTCAGATATAGATTTCATATATAGATTTCAGGTATCGATTTCAGATATAGAGACACACAAAAGCAAACAGATTGTTTTCTTTCTGCCCCGAATTACACAAGGAGTGTTCATCCCGACATAAGCATACATTTCTTTCCATCTTGTAGGTAAATACATACACATTTCTTTGCGATTGTAGACATTCACAAATATATTTCTTTCTTTATGTTCATCCACAAATAAATTTCTTTCTTTAAATCCATCCACAAATATTTTTACTGCCGCCATAAAGGCAGACACAAATAAATTCCTTTCCGCATATAGACATAGACAAATATACTTTTTCATCTTATACCTATACACAAATATAATTAGATTGAATAAAGAAACATTCCCAAAAATTTCCCTTTCCAAAATAAGGCGTCCGCCTTTCCATCACATGCGCATATACAATTTCGTTTCATTTTCCATTATGTATAGATCATGTGCGCATAAACTGATACATTTTCTTTCCAACAACAAAGCAGCAACAAGTTATTATATTGCGAGTGTAGACACATATATCGTTGTAAAATGAATGTAAGATATAATAGTAAAAGACTCCTGGTGTACAGCGCGTGCTTGGTTGCCTGTAATTGTCAACCTATAGATGTTGAAGTATTTCTTAACAAACATTGGAAGAGAAAAAAAAAGCAACAGGATAATGTGTTTTTTCGTTGAAACATAGTAGCAAAATAATTTGTTTGTACTACATAGATCACATGAAAACTTAAAATACGTCGACATACATAATACCGACAATTGGGATGACTTCGGCAAATGGGATGTTAGAAGTACCATTTGGAGAAACATTCTAGTTGGGGATGCCGAAGTCACCCTAGTTGATGGTATTTGTCACTTTCCACCCTGCCGGCAAGTGCCCTAGTAGGCCATCATAGGAAGTTAATTTTTGTCATAAAAATTAAGTTTAGAAGAAAAATAATCATCTGAATTAAGGAGGTAATACGCTGGAACACGTTGCCAACTGTCTCAGGCAATGACTTGAAAATGAGTTTTTGCCCGTTTTTAAAACTTTCTGTCATTTTTCCTATCATTCCTATCATTTTTAGGAGAAATGTGGGCCTATCGCTAATAGTACAACAGCTTTTAGTCAAACTTTCACCCGAAGTCGAGCTTGCAGGACACGCTTTATCCACAAAAATTAAGATCATGTATCCTCGCTTGAGCCTAATGTAGCTGATTGGAGTGTCTATCACATGAACGACAACCACGAAGATCGACCAATGGTAAGTATCTGGTGAACCAATAATACCGCGTCCAAAGGGGAGACATACAACCCGCAAGTAGCCGCGTGGGTGGGCTTGCCCATACATTGCCTATGTTTTTGACGGAAAGTTTGATTTGCATCTCGTGAAACATCTACTCGTTTTCATGCAAAAGCATGGATATTTTTTAGGCTAGTTCCGGTGTATTGTCCCCTTAAAGAATTAACAATGGTAATTTCTTTTTATATAATACTGTAATGACAAAATAAATTCATACCTAATATTAATATACATATTTATACTTATCTTAAATTCAACTACATGTAAGGAAGTCTCAGGTGCATTAAAGCTTTCAAACTACGGGGAGCTTTAGTAAAAGCGCTGATTCTCCAAGGAATTCAGATTAGTCAACCGTATTATATTGATGCATCTCTGGGACCAAAAGAAGCTGAGGTGGAATGCTAAATATATTTAAATATAATTTTACTAATAACACAGACATCAAAACTTTGTACCAACACAGAAGGCTTCATTAACAGGGGGTAGAATCTAATATCTAAACACATATTTTAATGAATAAGTTTTGTGTGTGATACACGCGTGGTTCAAGTGCTGAAAGATATTTAAAACGCACGTCATTTTCCAATTCAAATTTTGTTAGCCACGAGCATATTGTGGTTAATCTCCACTTCCAGAGATCTGTCTTCCCCTTATCATCAATAACTATTACTTCACTCACAGCCAATTCACAACTCTCAAAGTAACCCTGCATTCGAAAAAAAGTGCGATAAAAATAAAAAAAGAGAAGCAGAAACCACAATTTTGGCTAGGGCTTTAAGTGTATCTCCATGATACACCGACTACGCAAGCAAACAGGGGTTGCAAAGCCATTAAAGTTTTTAACAAAGATAAACATTGTGTAGCACGAAATTTGAGTTTTGCCATCCTTACAGGCATGAGTTGGCTTCATCGCCCAACGATTCAATAACGCTCTACGGCGTCGCTAGTAGGAGTGAGTGAGGCCGTTTGGTCGGAGCCAAAGAGAGCCCTGTTGTAGGCCTGGCCCAGGGCCCGGCACTTGTTTGCGGTGCTGGCAGCGGCCATGTCGAACCACGCACGGGTCGACGACCCTGGCTGCAGAGGACTTCCCTCCGACGCCACGGCACCCTTGACCACGTCAAGGCCATTTTTGAGCTTGCCGCCGAGCGCCGCGCCCAAACCAGACGCCACCTCCGGCAACCGCCCCCCCAAGGGAGTGGGGCGGCTGGGCTCCTCGTCGAACTCGAAGCACATCTCCTCGTCGTCCCCAGTCAGGGGTGGCGACGGCGTGCACTCAGAGGATGACGAGGGGCCCAGCTCTAACCGCTAGGAGATAAGTGGCCTGCCCAGGTACCGGTGGTAGATGGAGTCCCAGAAGATCATGCGCTCGTTGGGAGGATCCTTGCGCATGTACAGTGTTTCTCCGATCTCCAAGAAGTTCATTTGGTTGCGACGCCATGTCGGTGTCCAGAGCACGCCCAAGCTCGCCCCATCGTCGGGGGTCGGATTACTGTAACACCCAATACCCAATCATGAAAGCGCTGCCGGTACCGACTTCCGAACGCGCAACGCCAAAACTCACCCTGTGTGAATGAAATTGCTCCACAGTTTTAGAAGGCGCCGACGGTGCAGATCATCTTCTGGGCTGATAGGGGTGTCCGGGAGGACTCGCACCCGGAACAAGTAGCCCAGTTCATCGCTATGTGCGACACCTGTCAGGAAAACGCAGTTAAGGTTTATAATCAGCATAGCGGCTCTTTATGGTGGAAACGCGGACGCTTGCCTGGATAATGCTTCAGCCCTAGCAGGCGCTTGAAGAATCCCAGGTTCCCATCAAAACTCATGTGGTACACGTAGACTGGTGACCTCCTGGTGGCATGGGCCTTGGTAACGTCGTAGAGCGGGTTGATGAAGCATATGTCACCGAACAGCTGTGAAAGTTATTCAAGTTAGCAAGTGCCCAAGTACAACAGACTTGTCCCCAAAAGGTCATTGAGCAGTTATTCCGTTCTTTTCTGACAAGTCACGTTGTGGTTTTAGTACATGCCACCCTGGTTATCCATAACTCACAATGAACTTTTTGTGGCAAATCCGCTTTCTTAAAGGCCGCAAATTTAAAAAAATCAAGTCTAGAACGGAGAAATTTTGATAAACAGTAAAACCCATACATCTATGAACTTTGACAATGTCTCCTTGGACAATTTTTTGAAGCCGAAGTAACACTGCATGATTTCAAAGTGACACTCCTCCCGGTCTACAGGGCTCATTGCGTTGAACATGAAGTCACTTAGAAAGGGTTGGTCGACTAGACGTTTGTTGAGCTTCGCCATCTCTGCATCTGATTCAGGGTTGTGTCGGTTCGACGTGGGATTGCCTGGACAGAGGGAACGAAGACTCATACAGCGGCAAGACACGACGCAGCAACAAATTCAGGGATACACTGCGCGCCTCTCCTCTCCGGTAACCACTCACGCCATAAGAAGCTCCGCCGGCAGGCGGCCTCACCTATCAACCACAACAGGCCCTCCCTGCTATTGGCGCCGGTCATCATGGGGACTGGGGCCTGCCCGCCTCGCCTGAGGATGGAGGCCGGGTCCTCGCAGAGGAAGGCTCCGGGGAGGTCAGGCTCCACCACAGGCAGGAACGCAAGCTCGTTGCCCACAAAGCGCTGTGGAGCCAAGTCATCGTCAGTCATGTTTTCAAGAGGCCTGCCACGTTTTGCGGTTTTACTGCGGACCTACCTCTTGGTTCCTCATACTGAGCAAGCCAGTCAGAATGCGGTCAGAGCTCTCCCTCTTGAGAGCGTTAACCAACCTGTCCTCGTTGTTGGTGTGGATACCCAGGTACCTGGCGAGCTCTCGCGCCTTCGACACTTGCTGATTTGTTATGGCCCAGTCGTGCAGCGCGGAGCCTGAACCCGCGATCACTCCATGGAAGAGGCCTGAAACAGCTTCGGTTAAGTGATGCAGCCACCGGCAAGCGTATTACTAACGTTTCTCTGAGAGGGAAATCACTTGAAATCTGGGACCTGAAAACTTTCCATTACGTTCAATTACGTTACGCGGCAAGGGTAAGAGTTATTCCACTTGCTGAAGTCAAGATTGAAGCCTACACTGAGACAAGGTGGTGCCCAGAAACTGACCGACTAAGTCGCCCGCCCCAGTTTTTAGGGCGACTTGAGTCGCCTACTTTCTGGGCGACACAGTCGCCTAGTTTTAGGGCATCTTGGTCGTAAATACAGAGCTTACTTATCAATGCTTGCCTAAGGCGCCCACAACCTGAGCACCTTTGGGGTTGGTCCGACCGAATGTAAACCGCTGCTGCCCAGATTCGGGGCACCCATTGCGCCTAGATTCGGGGCATCTCTGACACCACCCAAATGTGAAATCCATTGAGTTTATCCATGATGAGGCAAACTTGTGTGCAATGCGTTGGGCCAGCATAGATAAGTAAGCTCAGTATTTACATGACCAAGATGCCCTCAAACTAAGCGACTGTGTCGCCCAGAAAGTAGGCGACTCAAGTCGCCCTAAAAACTGGGGCGGGCGACTTAGTCGGTCAGTTTCAGGGCGCCACCTTGTCTCAGTGTAGCTCTTACGATTATACTAATAAGTATAACACTACGAATCGGCACCCCGACTAATACGCGATCGGTTTCCTCTCGTCTTTATCATACCTCCATCCTTTCTCGCTTCTAAAAGACTAATTAGAGCTACAAAGGAAGAATACGTAACGTAATTTCTGGACAAACCCAACTGGGCCCCACCTCTGGATAAGGGAGACAAGGTGTGCAGGTGCACTGCTGCGGCGCCTGCACTCTCTCCATACAGCGTGACCCGGTTGGGGTCGCCGCCGAAGTTGGCAATGCTGCGTTTGACCCAGCGCAGTGCCTGCACCTGGTCCTTGAGGCCCGCGTTGCCGGGGGCCGCCTCGGTCCCCACGGCCAGAAAGCCGAAGGGCCCCAGGCGGTAGTTGATGGTCACAACCACGATCCCCATTTCCAAGAAGTAGTCGGGGCCGTATACATCAGCATCCCCGTCGCCGACGAGGAAACCTCCGCCGTGAATCCAAACCAACACGGGGCGGAGGTCAATGTAGTCAGCATGAGAGGGCAGCTGTAAATGGTTCATGCAAGGCTGGTCTTAATTAATTCACGCCAAACGGAATGAGATGCTACAGTTGCAGTCTAAAGCTCAAAAGACGCGCAAATACACCAGGGCACGGCGGTAAGTTGATATTTCGTCTGGTGACGTCGGACTTGGCGTGTGGCGTTTTAATTATTACCTCAGGGGTGTAGACGTTGAGATAGAGGCAGTCCTCGCTGCCACAAAACATCTTGGTGAACCGGCGAAAGAGGTTCGGCATGACGGCCACGAAGGCTGCCACATCTCTGAAAGACCAGGATCGCTGCAAATGCACACCTGCGTTAGACTCGGGTGTACCTAGCGGCAACAGGTTCCTGCGTGAAGGCAACACCTACCGGCAGCGGCCTGATCCTGACTTTGGGCTGCTTGCAGCAGGGTCCCTCCTTTCCCGCGTCCCTGATGCCGTGCCATTTCCTGGGCGCCCGGGGTGCCTGGGAGGAGAATAAGGTCAGTGTACAGACCGGGCCACAGTGCGTCTAGCCGCGGAGGCTAGACCGCTAGCTCCGCGCCGCTTTTCTTGTTGGCCGCCGTCTTTTGCCCGCTTTTGCTGCCATGCTTTTGTCCAGAAGACGCCCCCACCACTCTAGACCGCTGGCCCCCTGGCCCAATGGGCTTGCTCTTGCTGGCCCGGGTCTGACCCTTCGTAGCAGGTACGGATTATGACGGCCTAATCTGCCGTTCAACTCTATTTCGTTAAAACAATTTGCGTTCACGGCTTGCACAATCTGATCGTGCAGTTGACATAAATTAAAGCAGCTGCTTACCCTCCTAGGAGGGTAATGCTAGAATCCCCATTTTTGACGAAGTACCGGCAATTGACCCCGCCAAGTGACAAAAATGCCGTCACATGGTCAATAATTTGAGTTCATAACACCTACCTTGGATTTCTGTTAACTGCTCGTCCAGTTGGTTAGATTGATCAAAAAGTAAACGCAAATTGCTTTTACAAAATTGAGTTGGGTCGGCAGATCAGGCCGGCGTAATCCCTACCTGAGGAGGGTCAGACCCGGGCCAGCCAGGGCAGGTGCCGGCCGCCGGGGCCCGACCGATGTCAGTCGATTGTCCGCAGCTCCTTAGGGGGTATTCACTCAGGTATGTCAGTCGACCGGTGTGTAATAGCCCTACGTCCCGGGATGATATCTGTGTAATTGCAGTTATGACGATGTAATACCTGTAGTGGCCCCGTAATAGGTGTGTAATTCGAGGGGTCCTATTCAAAGGATCTTATCTGGGCGTTCCCCCCAAGACAATCTTATCTTAAACGCAGGTGAATTTCACATACTTTGATCATTTGATACAGCTACATATCAATATAATTTGTAGGTATGTTCAAGTAAATGTAAAGATGGCAGATCAAAGAAACCAAAAGTGCATGAAGAAATATGTTTCGCTTACCGTCGTATTTGTTCTGACTGATCAAAAAACGTGAAATTTGCAGGCGTTTAAGATAAGATTGTCTTAGGGGGAACGCCCAGATAAGATCTTTTGAATAGGACCCCTCGAATTGATGTAAAATTGGCGCAATGGCTCTACATAAATGATCATTGTAATAGCTGTAATTCTTATGTAATGGCTGTGTTGTGTAATTACTGTAATTGTGTGTAATAAATGTACTAAATGTAATTTTCATCATTAAGATGTCTGTAACGGCCGATTGTATTTGGTGTAATGTAGTCTGTAATTGCTGTAACGAAGTGATTATTGACACGCAGCGTTTATAAAGTGAAAAGCCATTTACATACACACGGCGTGCAAATAACGCGATTTTCATTATATACACGCCGGAAAAGCTTTTCCAGCGTGTATATAATATTGCGGTAATAGCATTGTAGTATTTCGTAATAGGCGTAATTGTGAGATAATACCCGCAATGGGCAGATTAGGAGTAATAGTGAGGAAATACCCGTAAAGGACAAATTAGGTGCATAGGAGGTAATTCATGTAATATTTTCCGGAAGGTATTCGTATGTCGACCCTATTGGGGAGTGAATACCCCCTTGCTCCCGATTAGGTCGACAAAAGACGGCGGCCGACTGTAATCAGTTATGAATGGCGTTCGGGCAGGCCCGGCAGGGCAGCCGATATCGACGTCTAGACGATGCCCTTCCGACGCGGCGAGCGAGCGGTCAGCAGGCCGGCCCGAGTTACGCAAGGCGGGCGCGAAGCTCTCTCAACTTCGCGCGCCACAGATTAGAACACACTTTCACGCCACGATTGACAAATGCCAATCACCTCGCTTCTACTCACCTGGAATCTCAGTTCTCTCAGGGGAGGCCTTGCATAGGGGATGCCCTGGAAGCTGTAGTAGGTGGTATTTCCTTCTGTCCTCAGGGTCCTGCCACGCAGGCGCCCTTCGCAGATCCTGACGACAGGGCCTGCAAAGCAGCCGAGGGTCATCGACAAGCGGATGAGCGGCAATAGCACTCGGGAAATGACCAAACGCACGGCGTGCACTGATATCGGGGAGGCAACGACTGGGAAATTTTGTGTCAGCCGGATTACCGTACCGGGATAGACCTCGGACCACCTCCGGATTAAATAAAGAATTTTCCAGAAGTATCCTTTGATTACTACGGATTACGTTCGATTACCACAGGATTGCCTTGAAAATTTTGGTAATCTGGATTACGGATTACCTGTTTGCTGTCAGTCAGATTACCCAAGTCGTTACCCCCTCGACGGCATGCATCGGCATCCATCGGCATGCAGCAAGCGGACACGGCTGCCGAACGCACCCGACCCGCACGAGGTCCCAAAGAAGTTAGCGAGCGACGACTCGGTGTGGCACGTTGAAATGACGCCAGCGCTCGCCCGCGGAGGCCGCTTGTATGCAAGGTGTGGTAATGCGTTGATGGGCCCTGGCCCTGGCCTGAGAACCTCGCAAGTATTCTCTGAGAGAAAGTTTAACTGCGTAGAGCAAGGCCGCCTCGCTCGACCCTGCCCCTGCGCTCCTGTCAAGGAAAAGCCCACCGAGGCGGAAATGAAGAGATTAAGATGAGTTTCCTCCAAAGGCGCTCCGGGACAGGCACGGACTGGCCCAGGTTCGTAGGGTTGGAAAACCAACCCGGGCCAAAAGGTATCATTTCGGGCCCTTTTTTTCCTTTTTTGCCCCTGTATGTGGGGAATTTCCGGGCCTCTTCGGGCCACTTCCAACCCGGGCCCTTGACCCATCAGTCCATGCCTGCTCCGGGATCATGGGTTCGGTAAGCAATGTGATTTTATAAGGACCCTACAAGCACAAAAACCTGTCGACATTCGAGGGATGTACCAAAGTCCTAACAAAACGCAAAGCAGAACACAAATCCCCCCGAACAATTTCACCAAATAGCAAGGTGACCCACAAAATTCCTTGTGGCTGGGCGCAGGGGAATTTGTGCTCATGGGTCCGTAGGACGAAAAATGATCCTGTCTAAGGACATTTAAGTTCCCTATCCACCCTGTTTCTGTGTACCAATTGAGAACGGACACCCACTTTTTAAGTACAAAAGTATTTCTGTGCACAAATGCTGTTTTTCCCTGTGGGTTCGGGCTGACGAGCGACTGTGGATTCAGCCTCTTCCATTCGTGCTGTGCAAAGCGCGAAGCGCGGTGAAGCTACGCTAGACGATAACCCTCGGATAACGCCTTATCAAAACGGACACTTCCGGGGTTCAAAAATTACAACTCGGCGAGAATGACCAGAGAAGCGAGCACCGCTAGAATGGGTCGTGACCGAGATTTGCAAACAAAACTCCCTTTCCTGACGCCACAGATTTTCCAACACCCAATCAAAAATAATCTTTGTCAGCGTTATGTTCCCTCATTAAGGAGTGCATCGACATCGATATGAAGTTGATTGGCCCTCAACGTTGATTTGAGGTAACGACACGTTTCCACGATGCCGGTCACGCGGCATTCCGGGCATTCCCTTGACGGCACATTGTGGCTTCTCAAGTGCAAATCTGAACGAGAAGCACTTTGCCCGGAACAAAGATCATCCTTTGTTTTTTGGGAACTATTTTGCAGTAACGGTAAGCTGAGATAGGAAGAACTTGCCCCGCCATACCCATTCTAGGAGGTCGTATCTATCGTGTCAAAATCCGGTGAGCTCCAGCGATATTAGATACAACACACTGCATGCAATAAAGCAGAAACCGGAGCAACAAATAGCTAGACGGCAGCGTGTCAAAGTAGAAGTTCTGGCTTACGTGAAGGTGGCCTCTCCCGGAACCTGAGCCTGCGCCTCTCGGTGTGTCCTTCGGGGGAGTTGGGGCCCCCTGCAGGCTTCATGGTGGAGGCGCTGCAGCTGCTGCAAGCAAAGCGGATGTCCTCCGTGAATGGCTGTTCTGCCGAGGCCCCCTCGCGATCGCGAGGCGCACCCGACTCCGCGATTCCAACCTCAGCGGACTTCCTGCGGCTCCCGCGGCCTTGCCTCCGCGACCTTCCCCTCGCGACCTTGCCCATGCGGCCCCTCCGCCGCGACCTTCACTTCGCGGCCTTCGTGGCCCCGCCCCCGCGGCATCGCCCCAGCAGCCTGGATCCCGCTCCCCCCCCCCTCCGGCCTTGACTTCGCCCCCTGCCACCGTGGCCTTGCCCCCTACCCCCACCTGCCCCCTGCTCCCCCTAGCCCTACCCCCGCGGTCTAGACTCGGCGGCCCTCCCTGCCCCCCTCCCCCCCCCCCGGCCTTGTCCCCGCTCCCCTGCACCTGCGGCCTTCCCCCCACCCCCACCCCCCGCGGCCTTGACCGGACGGCCCTCCCTCTCCCCACCTTGGCCTTGCCCCCGCTCCCCTGCCCCTGCAGCCTTGCCTCCGCGGCCTTGATCCCACGGCCCTGCACCCCCTGGCCTTGACTTCGCGGTCTTGTCCTACCTCCCGCCCTGTCCCCCCGGCCTTGACGTGGCGGCCCCACTGAGAATGAAAAAGTCATGATCAATACCCAATTTTGGGCGAGGTTTACTTTCTCACCCAAATTTGGGCGAGGAATGTTTCCTCGCCCAATTTGGGCGAGGAAAGCTTCCTCGCCCAATTTTGGGTGAGGAAGGGTGTATCAGCTCCCTATATAGCTCCATAGTATTATGACCCAAATTTGGGTGAGGAAACTTTCCTCACCCAAATTTGGGCGAGGAAAATTTCCTCACCCAAATTTGGGTAATAAAGAATTCCTCACCCAAAATTTTAGTCATGATCATGACTCTTTCATTCTCAGTGCCCACCGTCCCCCCTCCCTGCCCCCGCGCCTCCCCCAGCACTGCCCCCTCCAGGCCGTCTTGCATTATGCACCCAAACCACTTCTTCTTTTCCGTTTCGTCCTAATGGGCACTGCAAAGGGTTCATTATTTTAACAGCATGGTGCTATGATTTAAAGAAGTCACAGCCGCTGCACTCACAGACAATACGAGGTGGGTAGAAAATAGTTTTGGAGGAAGGGAGGGGGCCCCATGAATTTCTCCCATTGGAGGCCGGAGCGGCTGGAGCTGGCCATCCCCGCGCCGCGCCGCGGCAGTGCTGCCATGGAGGGGGCGCCCCCTCCCCCTCCCTGCCATGGAGGGGGCGCCCCCTCCCCCTCCCGGAGTCACCACAGCCGGAACCGCACTCCATGGCGTGCAAACCCATGGCAGTGGGCGGGGCCTGCCTCAGAGGCAGGCGGTCCCGGAGAGGGCGGGCCGGAGCCAATCGCAGCGCTGCCGTGTCAAGTGTGGGCAGAAAGCCTGGATTGCTACCCCCCTTTCCCCCCCTTCTCGTGCACCGCGCACGGGCGCACCACTACCACTAGCTCCGGCCAAGGTCTCGGTCGCCAAACCCCCACCCCCAACCTCCACCCCCAACCCCCCTCCGCAGTCACAGCGCCCCCACGCGTCTGTCAGAGATCCCGCTCTCCCGCTGGCCCCACTTTTGTCATGACGCGTGCAAGGACTCGTGGAAACACCGTACCACAAGATTTTAGTCGCTGTAAACCCCTCCTCACCCAACCGAACACTATCTCCCACTCAATGAGCTCGCAACCACTCACTCCTTCCCTCTTATCAAACTCAACACCTCTCCCATAAACTCACACTTTCGTTCGGCACAACTGTATCAGTCTCTCTCTCAATCAAACACAGACACATTCAGAAGACTCAGGTAACTCAATTTCATTCATGCACTCACCTTTCATCACCGCTCTTTCATTCATGCACTCACCTTTCATCACCGCTCAATTAAATCAAGTACACTGACACTCCGTTGCACACATTTCCAGTGGCAAGTTTTGCCAACCGGTGCAGGTTGTGTGGCCCCACTTTGGCGGGTCGTCTCCCCGCCAATCGGCGCACACGCTAATCACTCCTGCGACTCGCTACGCCACGCCTCGGTCGGTTTCATGAGGCAGCGGAGGTGGCAGTTTGCAAGACGGAGGGAACGGGACGGGCGGCGCGCGACAAGTAGGCGACGCGCCCGACATTACCCCGCGAGAACGAGGCAGCTCGCAGGACATCAGAAGAGATTATTGTCCCCCTCCCCCCCCCCCAAAAAAAAAGAAAAGACCTCACGGCTGACCAACCGCGGCGGAGGACGGCGGAGGGCGGTGGAGGACGGCGAAGGGCGGCGGCGGCGGGGGGCGGCGGGGAGCGGCGTAAGGCCATATGACCTTAGAGCGGCGGGGGCGGCGGGGGGCGGTGGGGGCGGCGGGGGGCGGTGGGGGGCGGCGGCGGAGGGTCTTGTTGTGGCGTGGCGGTGGTGCGAGGCCTGTTAGGCCTTCCCTCCAACGCACCAGTGGTACAGCCGCACACTGATTCAGAGAGTTGTTACCGTCGCCCTGTCTCCCTGGCACTCCAGCGTAGCCAGTGCGAGAGAGACAGAGCGACGAAAACGGCTGTCGAAATCAGTCTGCGGCTGGCGGCTGGGGGGCGGGCGCGCGTCTCGGCTGGCTGCCCTGCGCCCGACCCGCGCCCCGGGCCCCAGCGGCTGTGGGTAAGGAGCTGGGACTGGCCGAGATGGTCCGAGATGCATCGCCGACCCGAGGGAGGCGTCAGTCGATGCGTTTTCGACCAGGCCGAGCAGGGCCGAGCTGGGCGTCAAGTTATTAGATTAATTAACTGGATTCCGGGTAAGGCCGAGTGGCCTGCCCCCGGAGCATTCTCCAGTGATGCTGCCTGTCCGGGAAGATTGAAGTCCCCCCCCCCCTCTCCCCAGGATATAATCGTCGCATTGCTGCGCGACCGCGGCACATCCTTATGCAGCAGCGGGCATTTTGGCAAGCCTCAAATGTTCTCGGATTTATAGCTCATATTTTGAGCAAGCAAAATCGCTTGAGCTTCAGAATTAAGTGTACTAGGTTGGCCAGGAACCCCGAGACAAATTGATTGCAGGCTTTACGTCTGCAGTCGCACGGGCGCGCTCGCCTATGCACCGATCTGTGAGCGCCGCCGGGACGCTGTAGAGTAGCCACTCGTCCCGCATTACGGTTGGATGAGACAAGCCCACCGGCTACTTCTCCGCCTGCCCGTCGGCCTGTCCACATGTCCGTTGTCCGCTCCATCAGCCAGTCCATCTAACCTCCCCTGCTGGCCAAACCTACCCTTCGAAGGCCTAGGCCTTGGAAGGGTAGGTTAGGCCAGCACCCCACGGATTCCGCTAACTACAGATTCCATGTTCCAAAAGCGGGCATATGCTCGCGACCCCCTCCCCCTCCCCTCCCCCTCAAAAAAAAATAATTGGCCACATTTACATTTTCCCACCTCTTTTGTTGTCCACTAGAGGCCAACGTAGTTCGTGACATCCCTCACTGTAGAAAGTTCAGCTTTAAATTCAAGTTCTCTCGTTCATTCAACTCAACAAACTTAACAGTGTACTCAGTAGACTCTCATCAGCGTGTACTCAATTCAGTACACTCTCCAGGGAGTGTGCCGAGTGCACTGTTTAATGCACTGAGAGCGCCAAGGTCAGGGTCAGGGTCTAGGTCACGTCGGCGGGTTCCATCAAACGGGTTCAATTTCTTTTTTTTCTTTCGCCCACCAACTGTTTTGTCGTCCGGCAAAAGTCGAAAAGCCGAGTGCAACACGCCACCGCGACGCGTCGCGACGCGGCCTGCTCATCAGTGGGAACCAGTCAGTCACGGTCCCCCGAATCGGACGACGAAAACCACAGGCATTAGCCGCGACCGTTCAATCAGCACCGTCAGCACAGCCACTGTGTCACGAGGTCTAACCAATCTGACCCCGCTGCACCCGCTGCCCGCCGCGTCGCCGCACGCATCAGGGAATCCAGGGTCACTGCCGCGCCCGGTCGTTGCCGTCCGCCCCACCCACGCCTCGGCAGCCCGCGCGCCGGCCAGCCGGCTCCGCACCGCTCCGCACGCTGTCACGTTGTCGCTTCCACGCGTTGCTACGCTTGCAGCAACACCGGTGGACCTCCCCCGCACGGCGCACGCAACAAGCAGGCCGTCCGAGTCCAGAACTGCCTAGCCGCGCGTCCCTGAAAAACCTGCATCGCGTGCATGGGTTGACACTCCAGCGCATCGTCGGAGCGTAGCCGAGGTCTGCAGAGGCCCAACGAATGCGCTTCTCAGTCAGCGAGGTGCGGCGCGGTGCCGCGCGCTGCACCCGGGCGGCACGTCACCTGCACCGCGGGCCGGCCGCCGCGGTCCAGAGAAGACTCACCTAAGCAGCGAGGCTGGTCGCACGCAGCCCTGGAGGGCCTGAAAGGCGCTGGGCACTAGAACGGGTCACTGTCAATCACTGTCAATCACTGTCGCGCGCGTGAGAACCGATCGCGCGCTGCACTGGCGGCAGCGGCTGGGCGCCGCGCTGGCTGCTGTGCGCTGCTGTGCGCTGTTGTGGCTGTGCGGCGGGCAGCTGCCTTCCCCCGACTGACTGCAGAGCCCGGCGGCGGTGCCGCGATGCCTGGTCGCTCTCCGGCGCGGCTGGACTCGAGTAGTCTTGCTTCCTGACACACGTCGCCGGCCCGCGCCCCGTCTGTCCCGCGCCCCGCCTGTCCCGCGCCCCGCCTGTCCCGCGCCGAGCCGAGCCCCGCCGCCCGCGCCCCTGGCGCCCCTGGTAGCTGGAGGCTGGAAGAGGGGGCTCCCGACAACTCCCGATCCACCCCCTGTCCCCTTCTCCTGCTCGTTGTCAGCAGTGCTCGCACATCGGGAGTTATACAGCTTCAAATAGAAACTCTGAATAGCTTGACTCCAACCGTAATGTGTCTTTGGAAAAAAAAAGGCAGCTCTGGACAACAACGCACCTCATTGGTCAAATGGAACGAGCAGATCCCCAGGCTGCAGCCCGGAAGAGCAACAAAAGGATGCGGCCGCCCCACCTACCCCACCTCTCCGGGAGCCCGGCCGGCTGGGGCTGGGGGGTGAGAGGTGGTGAGAAGGGGGTGGCGTTTCCAGGCTGCAGCAGCGCAGCAGCCCGCCGGACGGGGACGGTCGGCGACGGTCGGGGCGGTCGGCGGCGGTCGGAGCGGACGGCGACGGTCGGGGCAGCGGTCGGGAAGGTTGCGCAATGGGCGGCCGGCGGCATTGATGCACTTGCGCGATCACCCCACGCTGCTGCAGTGCTCTAGGTAGACGCGCCGGGCCGACGCGCCGGACCGACGCACCGGGCGGAGAGGACGCTCAGGACGGACGCACAGGGCCGACGCACCGGGCGGAGAGGACGCTCAGGACGGACGCACAGGGCCGACGCACCGGGCGGAGAGGACGCTCAGGACGGACGCACAGGGCCGACGCACCGGGCGGAGAGGACGCTCAGGACGGACGCACAGGGCCGACGCACCGGGCGGAGAGGACGCTCAGGACGGACGCACAGGGCCGACGCACCGGGCGGAGAGGACGCTCAGGACGGACGCACAGGGCCGACGCACCGGGCGGAGCGGACGCTCAGGGCAGGGCGGACGCACCAGGCTGACGTACAGGGCGGACGCACTGTAGGGTAATTCCGCGCAGTGTGGCCGTCGCTCTGTCTCTCTCGCTTCTGTACAGGACGTCCCATGAATGCAAGAGAGATAGAGCGACGGCCACACTGCGCGGATCACCCTGCGGCGGAGCGGACGGACGCACAGGCAGAGCCCTGTCCGCATAGGGCGGACGCACAGGGCAGAGCCCTGTCCGCATAGGGCGGACACACAGGGCGGACGCACTGGCGAGGGGTGAATCACAAGTGTACTCATGTGTACAAATTTGCCCGTACTCAGTGTACTCACAAGTTTAAAAGTGGCGAAACTCTCTCGTTTTTTGACCGATTTAACGTCGAGTGCCATTAAAAACGCTAAATAAAGCCTCAAAATGTTTAAAATTGTGAAATTTGTGAGTAAAGCAAGGTGTACTCACCCGTACTCATGTACTCATGTGTACACCAGAACGCTGAGTGATTCACCCCTTGCGCACAGGGCGGTCGAAAAGGCTGGAAGTAGGGTGGGTATAGAGGGTTTTAGTGCTTATTATGGTGTCATTTTCGTTTACCTTGCGTTCATCCTCCTATCGCCGGGTAGAGAAATTCCAAGGGGTTACCCACTCTGGTAATCGTGTGTACACTTCGTCCGGTAATCATTGGTAATCACACACCAAAACTGGCTAGTTTCGCCGTTTTTATCGGATTTGGGGGGGTTTTCTTATGAAATTAGACCAAAATGCTCTTAGCTGGCCAAAATTATGGAGTTTTTTTGGGTATGTTTGTAGGTAATCACTGGTAATCAGTAATCCTGTGTTCACTCCTGAGCTGAGTGGTCAACCCCTTGAGAAATTCACCTTGACCGTGCACAACATGAAGAACGGCGCCGAGATGGTGCTGTTTCAAAGGCTGCCCTTGCAACCCGTAAGATGGGGATGTGCACAGCCCCCTTGCGAAAGGGTTGAAAAACTCTCATAGCGCTGAGCGGGCATGCCAAATGGACAGGGTTGAGGGTTCGCTTCATTGTTCATGATTACAAGTCAGCAATATTCTTTGATTATCCGTGGTTAAAGTGATATCGATTAAACTGAATGAATGCGATTGGGTGATTAATCTGATTATAATGAACTGAACACGGATGAATACAGTAATTATCAGCGACGACAACTGATTTACGAAATGAGTGAGTGTACACCGAATATTCTGAGTTTGATCACCGATCGCCGCCGATCGTATAGTGGCCAGCCAGAAAAAGTTGCGGCAAGGTGACTGGAAAGAAACTGTCAAAGAATTGATCCTGAAAACGACCAATTATATTCAATAAATAGCGAATACTTTGGCGGTCTGCTAAACAAGCCGGCTGGTTGCAAGCACCCACGCGTCGCCTTCACCGGGCCGACCCCAGCGCAGTGACCGGAAGCGTTTCAAAGAGCCCGCCGCGCCCCGCCCCACCTCTGGACACACTCTCCGCGCCACCCGGGGCACTGAGCTAAATGAGACCCTCTTCAAGGAATGGGCACAAATGGCAACAAAAGTAACCCTGCTTCCTATCCTCATCCACCCTAAATCTATGAGGCGTACTTTGTTGTGTCTAGATGAAGAGAGGAGATGGAGGGGAGGGGGCGCCGATTTGTGGGCGGAAACGACCCCCTCCTGCATGTTATTTCGGTCGAGCTCCCGGAGTTCTCGGCCTGAATATACCTGAAATAGAGGCCTTTGCAGCTCGCGAATCGAGCGCGGCAGGAGCAGGCCAGGGGGCAGAGGATAACCCGGGACATGGTGTGAATGCTGAGAGGGAATGTTCAACACCGCCTGAAGTGGCCACTTGCACGCGTGTTGCCATTTCAAAATACTCTCTCTGAATGGCGTGAAGTGGCCGACAAAAACTGATGCCACAGGTGGGAGGGCAAAGAGGCTGACGAGACCTTAACCTCGCCTCGTAGCGGTTACTGAAGTCGATTCACTCACCTCTCGCCGCTGCTGCACCAACTGCACGAACGTGAAACAGCATCCACATCATCAAACTGCTCCATAATTTGATCAATTGCAGACTGATTTTCGTACAAAATGGTTTAAATCTAAAATCACGTATTTATCTGCGGTTGCGGTTGCCTTCCCAAAATGTCCATTGACCAAATATTTTGCTGATAAAAATAAAAAATCGTGACGAGAAGGGAGGACTGGCGGTACGGCGGCGTTCACACTATGTCCTCGCGCGCGCGCGCACACACACACACACACACACATGCATACATACATACGTACATACATACATACATACACATACACTCACGCACGTTTACTAGTAAAGACTCACACACTCACACACTCACTCTACAAGCAAGACACTCAAGCTAGCACTGCTACGATCAGACTGAGCCACTCCTGCCCCCTCCAGCCGCCGGCTCCAGCGGCAGTGGCGCCGCGGTGGCAGACGTCTGCAACTATTCCTCGCGGCGCTGGCGTGCGCGTTGGCGCGTTCAACCACCTTTCACCCCCTCAGGTCGACAAAGGAATCGCGAGGAGGGGATCACGAGGAAGAAAGGCGTCAAAGGGAGGTCGGCGAGAAAGTCTCCTCTCCTCTGATTGGCTTTGCGCTTCCTGCCGCGGCATGTGCCGGAGCGAGCTTCCTTTGGGGAAGAGACACGTCACGTTTTTCGTTGTTTTTTGCCTACTTTCAGGCGGATTGCACGTCAAATTGCCTGCGCACCAGGCTTCCTATCAAGGGGCATTGCGCTTGCGATGCGACCCCGACAATCCTGGGTAGACGCGCACGTCCCGGTTTGTGGCAAAGATCGTCAACGGGTGGATCGCGATGGATCGTGCTCGCGAACGTCGGTTCGGGTCGGTTCCGAACCAAACCGAAGCGCCGGTTTTGGCCCAAACCGTTGACCAGCTTCGAGTCCCGGCGGCGCTATAATTTTTTTTCGCGATTTCAGAGCTGCAACCGCAGCTAACATTTCACGGCACATATACCGTGGATATTCTTTTTCAAGAACCTGAAAGGTGCCAGAGACCGACAAAAATGCAGGCTTCTGCCGGGATTCGAAGCTGGGCCAGTCGCCGGCCGGGCCCACGCCCGCCAGGGCTTGGCTCTGGACTGACCCGGACCGACGTTGGAGAGCACGATCCAACGCGATCCACCCGTTGACGATCTTTGGTTTGTGGCCGCCAGGTGGCCGCCCAAGAACGCAATGAAGGGCTTCGTGGGACGGGGCGTAGCATGAATATAAGCTGAAGCGACTCATGTCGGAGTGAGTGCCACACGCCCGCCTTCCGCCCAGCTCGGCAGCCTGTAGCGCCTGCTGGGTAGGCCGGCCACCAGGCCCGCAGCGCACCGGAGTGGAGACGGTAGCCTACCTCGCCCCTGCGCCTTGTTTTCTGTGGAGCGGCCCGGGCCAGGCAGTGAGCGGCCAACATCCAGACGAAGCTGATCCCGTATGTATCGCTTCCAATGCCCGCAGGAGGCGCGACAAAGACATAAGATACCCTCCGAACCGCTCCGTGCGAGCGTGAGCGAAGCCATGCAGGGGCACGGTAGGCCACCGTCTCCACACCGGTGAGTTGTGGACTCATTGCTGGCCTACCTAACAGGCGCTAGACGGTTGGAGTCCTGCGCTCTCTCTACGCGCTACTACGGACCAAGAGCGAGGTAAAAGAAAAGACGAGCGCCCTAGGTCAGATGCTCGCCGTGTCTACAAACCGTGCTGCTTAAGCTGATCCTTTGTGACGTTTCTGCGTTTTTGTGTCCGTTGCGGCCACAAACAGGAACGTGATACGTGCCGCTATAGCGTGATTCTAGATGTTATGGCGCGCCGTCACGCTTGTTCCGCCGTGGTCCGAGTCCCGACTCGACAGTCTTCCTCGTACTTCCTCGCAAGTACTAAGTTAGAAGACAATTTTTCCAAGAGCAGGGCGCCTTTAACTGCCAGCAGGACATGGTGCTGCCAGTAGCTCTTCATGAGTTGCCATCCGCCAGAGGCGGATCCAGAGGCGGCCTTAGGGAGGGGCAAAGTGGCACTTTCTGCCTATTTACAGGGGCAAAGCATGGCTTTTTGCCTTCTATCAAGGGCAAAGAATGGCTTCTTGCCTACCTTGCCGGCGGTATCTAGGTGCCATGGGGGGGTCGCCCCCACCTGTGGATCCGCGCTTGCCATCCGCCAATTTATTATTTTTAATTTTGTTTAATTTATTTTTTTACAGCGCGGGATGCGTACGACGCATTTGGCGCGCTGCCGGACACTTTTAGTTGAAAACAGTATTTCCATTTGTTAGGGAACTCGGTTCGGCGATGTACACAAAATGTTCTGTACAACGTATATCAACGCGGGATGTGAGGGAGGTAGGAAATAATTCTGTCAAAAACACACACCCATACGTACCATTTGAAATACTCCGAGTTGCGCGCCACAACAAGCCGCCATGCCTGCCTGCAAATAACAACACGGCACTGTAAATAAGATCGAACCTGTCAGATGAGCACACACACACCCATCCCCACCCCCCTACTCGAGCCGACGAGCAGCCGGGTTATCAAAGAATTTTCGTAGGTGGTGACTTGTTTCATTTTCTTTGTTTTCGTTTAGAACTTGCCATTTTGTCCTTTACTTGAAATTAAAAACAGAAACAAGTAAAAGCTGTAGCCAGTAGAAATTGTTGCGGATTGCATCATCTCACTCATCGGCAGATCTCTGTTAGTCGTCTGCTTTGTTCCTCAGGACCATCGAAGGGAGAACGAACGCAGTTTGTACTTATAAGAAACAATGGCATTCAATTTTGGGAGTGCGGGGGAGGAAACGAATCCCGCCAAACCATGCCGGACGTGCACCGATTTCAAAACGTGGGCGAAACAAACTAAACAATCCATCTCTGATAAGGTAATAACCTCAAATCTTCTTGTCCTTTATTTCATGTTCTGTCACTCTGGTGTGATAGATAAAATACACTGCATGTGTTTTTCTATAAGAACATAAGTGTGTTCAATTTTTTTATTTGCTAATGTTTACAACTTGTAAAAGGTGCATCTCTTTAGGCAGGATCGGCCCCAGTTCAGCGTAACAAAGAATGTCCGCTTGATAAAGATGAACTTGGTAATATATTTCACAACTGCTTATGCTTTTCTATTCAAGAACACAATGTTACAGCATGACAGCTTATTCTTACTATCTTTTGCTCTACACTCAGGTAAAAATACATGGGGATTTCTGCATACCATGGCAGCCTACTACCCAGATAATCCAACACCTCAACAAAAAAATGATATGAAGTCATTTTTCAATAGTTTTTCACAATTTTACCCATGTGAGGTGTGTGCGAAAGACTTCCAACAAGAGTAAGTATACACATTCCAAGGAGTACAGAAATGCCACCAAAAGGTCTTAGGGAATCTCACTAAGAGCTTTTATTGACTGCTCCACCGTCCTTGGGATGGAATTCATTTTAAATCAGAACCTGCTCTACAAGCTTGGTAAATTGCAAAATATTTATCTTTTCAGGTTGCGACTGCAGCCACCTAATGTTGAAAATCAGAAGGGGCTTACAAAGTGGCTATGTGATATGCACAATATTGTAAATGTTAAACTTGGTAAGCAATCATTTGATTGCAATCGTGTGAATGAAAGGTGGAAAGACGGATGGCTTGATGGTTCTTGCAACTAATTAATTTCTTCACTAATGTGGTAGGGGTCCTTATAACTAATAAATGGAAGAAAGCAAGAGATGTGTGTTATCTGTTGGAACTATGTTAATTGACTCAATCGTCTCATAAGTTTCAATTGTATTATCATGTTCAAGGAAGATTTAGTCTTTCAAGGAGTCTTTCAACATTTGCACTTGAGCTTTCAGCTCTTCCATTTTCAATCCTGAAACAAGAAGAGCGGGTCTCTCAATATAATAAAGAAAGGAAGAAAGTGCATAATTCTGTGTTCTTTTTCTTGGATACTAACCAATTGTCCTAACAACCGAGCGTTTTTGATCCTCATTCATTTCTTTCATTAGAGCATCATAGTCCGAGAGAACTTCTTGAATTGCATTCTCTGCATCTGTCATGTCCTCAGAAAAGTACACTGTGCCTACGGATCCTCGCTGAAATTGAATTTGGTGGCCATTACAGTAGCTGTACAACATGTTCAATCAGCGCGGTAATTCAAATTTCGCGCGTGTGAGTTCGTTCGCGACGGGACGGACACCACACACCACGGAAGATGCGGTGTCGCCTGTCGGCTACTCACCGCATCTTCTAGCAACTCCATGGCCTCTTTAAACTTGTGAGAAATATCCTCCACTCTTTTCTGAACATCGCTGTCGTTTAAAGATGAAGCCGACGACATGCGCCTCCAGACAGCCGGAGTACTAGCACTAGCAGCCGAAGCCGGTAGCCTTGAGGAAACGACTGCTGGAGGAGGTCTTGCTCTTGACCTACTTAAATTTGTACTGAATTGAGTGGCCCAGACATTGGCGCTTGCATGTCCTTTGACAAACCTCTTCGCGGTACATTGGGGCAGCAGTTCTTGAGCGACAACACGCGTTAACTTAAACATGTCTCCTTAGAATACTCTAAATTTACGGAGACGGGATCTAGTACTTTTGACTAACTTAGTAGTATGTCAGTGTAGGTACGCGGTACGTATCTTTAAGAAGAATATTTAAGAAACCAAATTATTTCCAATATTTGTTTTAAAATATTACTTATTGAAATAGGAAGTAACATTATGCTGAAACCATACATTTTAATATGCTCGAAGCCATAAGTATCTAAGTTGAACACCGACCCACCGGAAGTCGGATCCGGCATGTGAAATAGTGAAACGTTGGTGGTGTTGATATTCTCAGAAGAGTGTTTTGGCTTGCATTTGGAACTGACTTATTCCGTGATATTCTACTAATGACTTCGTCCAGACTCTGCAAACAATAAATGTAATTAGATTTATCTACAGCTCATCTCTTTCTTGTTATATGTACTAAATGCTTATAACGGCACCGTGGTCTTCGCCCAGCCGGCCACGGTGGCTCGGACTCCTGGTCCATCATTATTGCCAGGCATGGCCTTGATCCTACATGAATGTTTCTCCCCACGTTGCTAGACGCCTTCGCGCAATATTTTGTCCATTCCCCGAGCTTTTTGAAGAAGGTCCGTAAATTTGGAGGGGTGACGCACGAAAATAGCTGGAGGGCATCTGTGCGCAGCTTGTTTCTGGCCGCGCTCCCTCCAGGGGATCGTGATGGTGCATTGAAGTGAGGTTAGAAATTTTCACGCGCAATTTTGAGATGAAGGAGACAGTTTTCTTGAAGGCCGTTTGCCTCTAGGCCATATGGTTTTTATATTCACCTCACAGTATTCCTTCTGACGTGCTGTATAGATGGGCTCGATGAGTGGCACGATGATATGAAGCATAGGCCACATTCTTACTTTCTCACATGCTAGAAAGCTGTCAACAAAGAATCACGTGTCTCTCGATTTCTTGGTATTTTCACCACTGAATATCTTTGAAGATCAGAATTCATTTAATAATAGCCTCTACTTCAGTACAATGCACTTGCACTGATATACATTTTGAGATAGATACGTAGTCCACCTCAACATCTTATTCCGAGTGCTGCTAGCTGTGTGCACGCATAAGGCCTAGTTTGTTCGTTTTTTTGTTGTTTTCTTTGTTTATTTTTTTTCAATGGAATACTGAATTGTGGTTGTGTCAACTTTGAATCTTCTTATATTTCTCTTTAATGTCCCACAGTTCAATTTTATGCTCAGCATTAACTTACTTCATTCGTATTTTGGCTATCAAGTATTCTCCTTTAAAGCACATTAGCATAAAAATAACCCATTTTTTAAAAACTTCATGCGGCTTAATCATCTGTTATTTTTCTTTTTTTTTTTTTCTTTTTTCAGGTTTCTTTAATGTACAATGCCTTCAACCACTGATGCCGTGAGCGCTGGACTGCGCTTGTCATTGGCTGGAGTTTCTCGAAAGGTGGGAGCTGAAGCCAATGGTGACATTGATAATCTTGATTCTTCACTTGCTGCTGGAAATAAACTCACTGATATTACCAAACACCTGGTAGAATATGAGTCAGCTGATAACCAACAATCTAACACTCAAAATTTGCTCAAATCTAAATATATTGTCCTTGATACTAAGGTAAGTTGTTCCAATGGATTTTTTTTCTGTGCACATTTTGTCTTTTAAAAATTATTCGAAAAATTTCAATAATGTCTTTGTTTGACTTTTTATCATAATAGTTGTATTCCTTGTCTGACAGGTTGCAGTAGCTCCTAGTTTCAACCGGTCTATAACAAATGGTAGCAAGGGTTCTGCCTGTGCCAATGGTAGTATGCATAATGGAAATAAATTAGCTAACAATGGTAATGGAAATTCTCTTCCTTTTGGTTCACAATTGAATGGTGTGAAAGGAGTTACCCAGAATGGATTGAGCTATGCAAATGTTAATGGGTTCAACAACAAAAACAGTAATGGGATGAAGAAACTTGGGTGCAATGGTGCATCTAAAGCCAATGGCTTTGAAAATGGTTACAATAAACAAACTGCCAACTGTGACTCCAAATTACCTGATCCAAAAGTTGTACTTTATCAACCAGAAAAAGTTTCTCTTGGATGGCGAGGCAAATTTCGACCTGGTGCAGGCATGGTTAATCTTGGTAACACTTGTTATCTGAATGCTACCTTACAGGTATGTCACTGTTCTTTCTAGCAACAGTCTACTTGAAGCATAATGTGATTTTATATTGATACATATTACTAATAAAAATTAAGAACACTTAATTATTCATAATTTGTGCCAGCATGTGTTCCTTATCCAATTTAAACTTAATTTTCCAGGCATTATTCCATGTTCCGGCTTTTGTGGAGTGGCTCTCCAAAGATTCTGATCACATGAAGAGATGTGAGCAACTTAATGGACCTGGTTTTGGTGAATGCATTACTTGTGCCATGGCTAGAACTTACCAACTGTCTCAAAACACTGCTATTGTGAAACCCCATCTCATCACCAACAAGCTGAAAAGTAAGAATCTAATTAACCTCAGTGCTCGAACTTTCCATTTGGGTTGTCTTCATATTATATTTTTGAATTTTTAAAGTGATATGTCGACATATGTCTCATGGATCCCAAGAGGATGCACATGAATTCATGAGACATCTTTTGGAGAACATGGAAAAGGCCTATTTAGTTCGATGTAAAGCTCAAAAGTAAGTTCAACATTTTATTGGTTCTTTCTCTAATTTATAAGACTATTATGCAGTTAATTTAGATAATGGTTGTCTCCACTACAATTTCAGATTGGATGCCTATAGCAAGGAAACCACTCCCATCAACCAAATATTTGGTGGCTACATGCGAACTGAAGGTAGCTAATATTTTTTTTAGTATGAATGAATGTGCTCAAAGAGCATCTGTTCATTTTTTGCTATCTTATCTTAATATTTCAGTGACCTGTCTGAAATGCAACTATGCATCCATAACTTTTCAACATTTCCAAGACCTGATCCTAGACATACGAAAAGTCTCTAAAGTGGAGGAAGCAATGCATCATTATTTTATGAGGGAGAGGCTGGATGGTGAAAACTCTTACAAATGTGAGAAATGCAAATGTGGAGTACCTGCCACAAAGAAATATTCTATTGAGAGGCCACCAAAAGTACTCTGTATTCAACTGAAAAGGTATTGTTCTCCATATCAGTTGAGCTTTACCAGAACTCTTTGATTACCGTTATGTGTTTTTAATTTTTATTAAGCTTATTTGAAATTCTTCCTTTTCTGCCTTAGGTTCAATGTTATGGGTGTCAAGTTACCAAAGCCAGTGGAGCACAGAATTCAAATGGACCTTAAAAAACATGTTCATCCTCAATCATCATATGCTAAATTGCAGTCCCTTCCATACAGACTCATTTCAATGGTAACACATGTTGGACCATCCTCGGGATGTGGGCACTATACAGCTATAGCTCAGTGTTCATCCAAAACCTATCACCAATTTGATGACACACATGTAAGCAACCAGTTTTCTCTTGGCTTATTCTTGACTCCAGTTCCTTAAAAGTATTTCTATTATTTTGTTTAATTTATCTTTGTTGTAGGTTCATCCGATTCAAATGAGCTCTGTTTTGAATAATTGTGCTTATATTCTCATTTATGAAATGGAACCTGAAGCTTTGAGACTAGGCCCCAAGTCAGTTGCAACATCTTCTATATCATCTATGTCTGCTATCAGTAGCATTAATCACAATGTGGTCAATGGTTAGTTCTGTAACAAATTGTCTTCTAAACGTGGAATATTGTTTTAAATTTGTAAAGTGCATTTGTCCATTTTAAAATTTGCAGGGGTGCCAAAGAATGTTCAAACACCAGGTGGTCTTCCCTCTGTTAAAGACAGGTATGTTTTTACCCTTAATTCAGAATTAATGTAGACCATCTTAAGTACAAATCTCCCTTTCCTCCATGATTTTAGCGTGTCTCTTGCTAATATCTCTGTGGTCTATTTTGTAAAGTTTCTCTGCACTTGTTGGCAGCCTGGATTGTGGGGTGTGCTCTCTACCTGATTACCAATCTTTGCCTTTCAGGGATCGTGTTATGTTTGGAATGACTCCTCCAAAGCCTGCATGTGCTCAGCCTCGTCTAGTAATGCATCAAAAGAGACCTGAGGATAACGGCTCATTAGTTTCGCCTATGAAGTCAATCATTTCCAATGGTTCTTGTAACAAAGAATCTCATTTGACCAACTCGAATGGGCCATTACAAGTTGTAGCCAATGGCAAGCACTCAGGACCTTCTATAGTTAAGGACAAATCAAACAGTCTTGGCATAGTGAAGCTGTCTGATTCAGTCTCATGTAGCCAGAGTACAAGTGTTGGTAAAGCTACTGAGCCTGAGAAGAAAAGCATTGGTCCATTAGTTCCATATGATTATGATGACGATTCCAGTTCACGGGATAGCAGCCTCAGCCCTCCATTGAATGATGACCAAGCGGTGCTTACAGTCAAAGCAACAACACCAAGCGATTGGCAAGTGACAAATTCTTCTGGGCTTCGAAGTCCATCAATTCACAGTGAAAGTAGTAATCACAGTGTAGCTAGTGCTACTGGCAGCAACTGGAATGTGACTGAGAAACAGACCCTGACAGGCTCTGGAGGCTCAAAGAGTGTGACTACTCTGAAAGTCAACGATAGAAAACTTAAAGAACACTCTCCTCAAACCATTTGCTACTCAAGTGACACTGAGCTTGAAAGTCAAGCGGTCAATTCTGCTGGGAAGTGTGATATCCGGGCAAAGAGTGTTGAGCGAGAATTAGACATTGGTTGCACTGCCACCTCCTCAAAGCACTCTTTACCTAACAAGAAGGGTAGAGTGAGGAGATCTTCACTTTCAAGCGAATCTGATTCTTCCTCCTCAAGCAAGCTGCTGAAAAAGAAAGCTAAAGTGTAAGTTTCTTACATGTTTTCAGCAGCTTTAACCTGTGCTTATTAGGAAGGCAGCTTCAACCTCTGTATTTTTTGATTAATCAGGATGGTTAACAATTGAGGTGGATGGTGACTTATCTTTCTTTTAGTCTGAGGGAGGTGTTTTTTGGGTTTGGCATGTTTGGGCTTCTGTGCTTCAGAGCATTCTAGACATTTTAATAAATGGTCTGTTCTAGGAATTTGATCCTTATCTGAAAGCCAACAATAATTTTATATTCCGTTAAGATAATTTTCCACATAAGGTGCCAATTTACAACTAACAATGGGATGTTTTTACAGGAATGACAAAATTGAGGACCGGTCTGGTTCGAAACCCAACAGTGTCAATGGAAGTCAGATACCATCATTAGTTGAAGGTACTAAACATATATCTGGTGAAAATGGCAAACACACAATTACAACACGTCCATCATCATCATCATGGAATGGAGATGCAAATTCAAGCACTGTCAATGATTTATTGAAAATGTCACACCAAGGATTCGGCAATGATCGAGGTGAGCTTGCTGTCATACAACAAACTTGTAACTAACCTGTATCAAGCTTGTTACTCATTTACATCCTGATCCTACCCTTGTGTTTTCTAGTGGCTTCTTGGAATGGTGACCAAAGTCAGGTCGAACGTACTGTGGAAGAGGAAAGACAGACATCTTGGAAAAGGTCAAGAGATGAATATGAAACAGAACTTGACAGAGGCAGAGTAAGTGGAAAATTTACGTCTCTTAGAATATGTTATTAGCTGGAGAATCAAAAACTAACGAAATAAAAAAATTTCAGGTTAAAAAGGTTAAAAATGATAACCGGTATAGACCCTACCCAACCAACAACCCCTTCCAGCAAAGGTCATCAGGAGGTGTGCCCTTCAATAACCACCGGAAGTATCACAATCATTCTTCAAACCATTACCACTATTTCAACAAAAACCGTCCCAATCCTAATGGTCAAAGAAAATGGCAACAGAATTACCATAAGAATTCTGTTTACCGAAATTATCGTTACTGAGGAACAGTAATGTGATGTACATTTGCCTGAACTGATGAAAGTACAATCTGTTTATACCTGTTTTTGTTAAATGCTGAACACCATGTAGTGTAGTGCTAATATAAAATATGTTTCAGGTTTAAATGTATAATGTGCTTATGTATTTCTATTCTAACTGACTGATCATAAGCTTTCCTATAGAGTACCGATTGTGTTCTGTCGTTGTTGACACCATTTCTTTACTTGTCAAAGTGTTTCTGCTGAGCTTTTCAGGTTGTGTTTTCTAGTAAGACTGCCTGTGTCTTTTACTCGCGTGCACTTGTTTATGTGCTGATGTTAAAATACTTAATCAGTTTGTCACTATAAATTTATTGAAAGAACACTTCATATTTTTATTTCAATAAATATGGATATATTTATATGTAATAGCCTTCAAGCATTTGACAGTAAACGCTTCTGACCAATCATTTGGGTATGTACAAACAGGATACAATTAAAGATTGCAGTATCTTCTGATACAGTACTGCAAGTCAAGTATATGCTGTTTGAATTTTACATCTGACTGCTGCTAACTCAGGGATATTTTTTCTGTTATATTAAGGGAATGGTATAATTGGCAAACTTGGTATTTTTCTGAGGGGTTTGACAAATTTGTGATACATGTACTGGAAACTTAAGATTGAACCACTACCTATACTGCAGTTCCATCTACAGTCCCATCATGATGAAACACTTTCTGTTTTATGTAGAACTTATTGTTTGATTTTCTGTGATTGCCATGTATAGTGTATATATTTGCTCGTTCTATTACTTCACAATAGTGTGCCTATAAGCTAGAAAAGAAAAAGTACAATAGAATTTTTGTTTCACTTCTGCTCGTGTCATACTTATTTTTAGTAATAGACATTTTCAAGCGTTTGATTTATTAACTTAACTATTGTTGTTTGAGCAAATAATTGTATAAAACTTAATTTTGAAGTATTTTTTAAAATGGATTATTTGTGGTGTCTCTGAAAGTTTCCAAATGCAACATCTCAAAGTATTGAGATATTTCATTTGGGCATCTTCAGATTACACTGTTCATTACCTATAGAGGCATAGTATGTATTGGGGTATTGATTCTATTTTTTTTTATTTTTTTTTGCTGTTTTGAATATATTTAATTGAATATATTGTATGCATTTCCATCAACATATGAACTGACAGTCATTTAATAGGCTACTTTGAAGGTAAACAAAGTATCACCCTTTGTTTCGAGTGTCCTCTTCTGCTGATGAGAGCGGGTGTTTTTCTCCCTTTTTAAAAAAATCATTGCTATGTTAGCTATGAAAGAGCTCACACTTTTACTTAATATCCTGTGTTGAACTGTAAATATAATAGACAATTTATTGACCATGTGTTATTTGAGATATTAAACTCTAGTCAGCCATTAACAGAGGAGAATGGAGCACAGCGCCAACTACTCTCACCTCTTGTAGAAAGTCTGTTTTTATAATCTATTGGAATCGTTGATTATGAGTTGGGAGTGTTGCCTTGTAAAAAAATTACACTTGCCCTATCATGGTTGAACCAAGATGTACACATTTGAAACTTATGTACATGGAATTTGGTGCAGTTAACGGGAAACAACTTAAACTGTATTAAAATTAAAGCATTTTGAACAAATTGTTTGTTGAAACTTCTGCCTTCCTCAATTGCCTTCATTTTAGTCATTCATGATTAACATCACATTGACTTATTAGCTTTGGGAAAGGGGGGCGGGTGTGGGTCGAGAAACGCGAACAGTACGGTGACTAATCATCAATCTACCAGGTGGTGGAGAGGGAGGGCCGCCCTAGAGTCCTTAATGGCATCAAGGACTCTAGGCCACCCTAGAGTCCCCAGTATTATTTCTCATACTCATGTACTCAGTCTCTTGGTCCGAGTAGAGGCCGAGTAGTCTTTGATGAACATCTGAATATAAACTGCCTCGTCACACGGGGTTAAACCTATAGAGCCACGAATAAGTAATTATTTATTTAAATAACTCGCTCTACAATCCAGAAGGACTCCAAGACGCTCCGCTCCGAACTTTTCTTCTGCCGCACTTCTTCTTCCTCTCCGATCTCTTTGTTTTTCTTGTAGCCGTCCGCAGGCTAGGCAGGCAGATCCCCAGCTGCTGTCAGCTCACAGCTCACTAACGGGTTTGAAAATGGGCGATGGACGGGAGAGCGAACGGAAGCCCTTGCTTCCGAATGAAAATTCGACACCGAACACGCGAATCCGTGGAGGATATACAGATGGTCAGTACGCCAAATATTTGTGTGGGTGCTATTAGCTTTGTATTTATTCGTCTTAGCACCGGCTCTAGGTGAGCCGATTTGGAAGTCGTCCTTGCCGCATCAGTGGCTATCTGCAGCCTATCCTGATCTCGGTTATGTAACCGCTCATTTAACCCCCTCAGCGAACCTTTTTACATTTCTCTTTGAAAGTCTGACACCTCTATGGTTGTGATTCACCAGTATGCACAGTTTATCTGTCAAACGATTGCCGCCGTGTACATGTACGGCTTCCGTCGAAACCGACCCTTTCATCGCCTAATTACATAACAGACTCGTATAATAGTTTTATTTCTCTCATGACAACTTACTTAATTCATCAGAATTTTTATTATTTGGGTTGGGCTTTCTTTATCCGTTTGTTTCCTCTACACACGGCACCTTCATTGGTCGTATTCTGAACTTTGAATCCTCTGAGAGGTTAAGTGTTAAAATATTTGTCAACAAATACACGTTTGGTTCCTCTGTCCATTTTGTGAATTCTAAGTTAGTGATTTGTGTCTCTTTTACTGTTGCTATCCATTTTTATTTTTCTAATCAACTAAATGCTTTTGGGATCAAGTCACTGATTTCTTATTTAGTAGAATTTCTAGTTAGTATTTTGATCATGAAGAATTTTGTTGTAATTTCACCATTATTGTCCTTATGATAGGAATCCCAGAGGGGAGCAATGTTGTCACTGCAGTGGGACCAGATGAGATGCCCCCTCCATATTCCACTGCAGTTCAAGGATCAGTTCCAATGGTGACATGTCGAGTGTGTCAAGCAATGATTGACATATCTGGAAGACGAGACCAGCATGTTGTTAAATGTACTCAGTGCAATGAAGCTACGGTAAGATCTGAGCTAGACTATCTTTGTCTCGTCTTTTTTATTAGGTGCCTTATTTAGTTGTATCACTGTTTTTCAGCCCATCCGGAATGCACCACCTGGCAAAAAGTATGTTCGGTGTCCTTGCAACTGCCTCCTTATTTGCAAGGGATCTTCTCAGAGGATTGCTTGTCCTCGTCCTGACTGCAAGAGAATTATCAATCTTGCTCCATCACCAGCAACTCCGCCTGCACCGATCTTGCCAGGAATGTGCTCAGTGGTCTGTGCCCACTGCCATGGAACATTCTTAGTGAGTAATTTTAACTCTTGTGGGCTGCTTTTACATGAATTTGTGGAAGTTACATACTTTTTTCATTATTTTTTCAGTTCAATACTTTGAGCAATGCCTTAGCTAGGTGTCCTTACTGCCGTAAAGTGTAAGTACAATTTGAATTGTGTGAACCATTGTTCTGTTATTTATTTAAGTACCCATTGTAGTAAGAAAATGATTCTGCATTCCAGCTCTTCTGTAGGACCAGACTTTGCTAGGGGAAGAGCAATTGTCTTATGTATTCTTGGATTGGTTTTCTTGGCTATTGGAATTGGGGTGACGGTGAGTAGTTGAGTCTGACTTAACAAATATCTAAAGCTTAATGCTAACTGAAAAACTAACAGCTACTTTTAAAATGTGCAGGTTGGAACTTACACTTATGCTCTGAAACATGGAGGAATCTTCGTCACTTATGTTGGTTGGTATCAAGAACATCTGTTAATACTTACTGTCTTTCGATTGTTCTTTTAATCTTATTTCCATCAATTTGTCTGTTTCTGTTTTAGGGGCCTTCATTGCTGCTCTCTTCTTTTTTGGTCGAAGTATTCACTTTTGCACCATGAAAGTTAGTGTTGTAGAAGGGACAGCATAAACTCCATGCTATTGTAATTCCCCACCTATTTAGAGGGATCCACAACGGAGTTTATCTGAAGATACAGATGGTAGATCACAAGCTTGCATTCCTATAGTTCTTTTATCAAGTTTCACCATTTCATAACAGCTACAATTTTCAGTCAATTTATTGAACCAAATTAGTGAGTTGACTCAACAATATTATGTGTTTGAAATAATTATTATTATCACTTTAATGTGGCTATCAGTCTTTGCTTGACTTAAATTCCTTAAGAACTGAACACATTCCTGTTAATTTTGCTTGTCTGAAGTGTAGTTTGCTCTGGTTGCTTGAATCCCTCAACACCATAATCAGTTTTTCTGCTTTTGAGTACATCCATAGCCAGACAATTTGACCGATCTTCTTATGATATGATAATTCTGAGGTCTGTCTTAGTTCGGAGGTTTAGCTTTACCTATTGCCTTTGCCTGTATATTTTTCTTACCACTAGGATTTTCAGCAGGCAATTCAATATGGTTTCGTGATGTCATTTATATTGTATTTTTTACTAGATCTGGCCCCTGATGGTCTGTTAAATGTAAGTTTTTGGTAATGACAACTGCATGTTTTATGAATAAAGATTGACTTGTGGCTTAGTGAATTTTAAGAGGAAAAAAATATGCCTGTATTATATCAAATGGAGCAAAGCAAATTATTTTAAACCATGTAGTGTTGGAACATAAGCTGTGCTTCTTGTTTTAAAAACCGTTTCTATAATAAGGGAACTGAGGATCAAATCTTAAAGTGTATTCAATTTCTATTTTCTAAGTATTTGATTTTTTTATCAACGCGGTGTCTGTTTTGTTATTATTATTGCGCAGGCAACTTTTTGGTTTCAAGCATTTAAAAAAACAAAAATTACAAACAATTTATTTGTTCTGGAATCAGTCCTTAAACCTGAGCATCTCAAGTCAGTGTTTGTGCTGATGCAAGTACTGTTCTTATGAAATTTACATTTTGTTGCATTTAAATATTAGTTTCTGTTCATAATCCCCCCTTACAAACTATGTGAAAGAATCTATATGTTCAGCTGTCTCCAGCTGCAGCTAGTTGCATCTATAGTTATCCATGAATTGCTAACCAACAATCGTAAATTATATTTGATCAATTTACCCATATTTTTATTTGCTTGGATTGATGAGTAGCCTTTTATAGCTATATCCCTTCCATTGTAGGATTTGTGCCCTCAAGCACTTGTGTCTCATTGCTTCATTGTGATGTCCTGTAGAGAATAGTTTCATATTTGTCATGTGGTAAATCTCAGATTCCAATCATTGATGGTTTATCACATGCGGCTATTTACTGAATGAATGTGATATAGAATTCAATGTTGTGCAAGGGTTGACTGGTCTTTTTGTTTAACCTAGATAGTGGATAACCTTTTATTATGTGTCATATATTGCCAATAAATTTGTATTCTATCATAGATTACCTATACAGCCCTTGCAATTTTATGTTATATTATTGTAGCTTTTGTTTTTATCTCAATTCTTTTCAATGACTCACTGGAAACCTTTCTGAGACATACTCTGTATTGTTGAGAGGAATCATTAATTAAAATGAACATATTACCAAACATTTCTTAAATCTAATTTCTCCTTATCCTGCATTCAACCGTCTGCCGTCTGTTGACTCGAGATTTGGTCCGACATGGTCGTCATCATAGTCCGGGGGGGGGGGGGGGGGGCTCCGGCCTCTCTGGGCTGTCCGCCCCGTGCCGCCCAACGTGCCGCAACGTGCACGGCACCGACGCCCGCACACTCTCCCACTCCCGCGAGCCCCACGCCCAGCGCAGCCCCGCGCACAGCGCAGCCCCGCCACTGCCAAGCCGCCAAGACAATGGGCAGTGAAGTGCATTTACGCACTCAGTTAATGTATTTGAGCAATTTTGTTCGTGGCATCTCACAATTTTGTACGTGCAAACTTTTTCGCACAAGTATGTTTGCAGAATAGCTCAAATTCGTGCGAAATTTCGTAAAAAAAATTTACGATTTGCACGCATGCACAAAATTGTGTGAGGCCACGTAAAACAACTGTACAAAAGATTTTAGTGTGCACCTCCTATGTGTAGCTCAAGGCCGACTACTCGTAAGACGCCAGGCTCAGCGCACTTCTATTGCTCTGTATACTTTGCTACGAGACATCACGGATTTTTAACCCGAAATTTTTCGTAAAATTTCAAACATGAAATCACACATCTGCGTACGATTCTGTACGAATCCCTTGTGCGCTGAAAAAAGCCTGTACGGTTTCGTAGATTTGTTTTACAGGTAGGTTTAGGGTGAAAGAGTACATAGCGGGGAGTGGCAGCTGCATAAGACAAGATGAAAGGGAGGGTCTGGGCGTCAGGCCGCGCCGCAAACATATACTGTGTCTTTTTTTAAAGTTGCGGCTTTGCAATAGAATGCTTTAGAATTCCCAGAGAGGGCTCCGAAAAATGTCAGAGTAGATAGACGGTCGTCCGAATGGCTCACTTTGAAACCTGTAGCGCTTGTTAGTTGGGCCACCGATCCGTTCCGCAAAACAGGGGCAGGGTAGGCCACCGCCTCCACACCGGTGTGTTGCTGTACGCGTTGGTGGCCTACCTTGCAGGCGCTAGAGGCCCCTACAAGCGGTCCGCACGGGCACGGCCAGGCGCGGCGCACGGTGGGCCGGAGGACCAATGGAGGCGGCCAAAACTCTAGACCTCGCTCTAGACGCGTTTTGAGATCCAGAGTCGCAAAACATTAAACAGGGCTCGAACCGAACGTGTGACCCCTTCAATGGATTCCTTGTTCGGAGAGGAATCCATTACGTTCGGTTCGAGTCCTATTTAGCGATTCAGGAGCTCAAAACAGGTCTAGAGTCCACTGAGATTTCAAACTCTATTTACAGCACGTATGCACTGAGATATCGCACCACACGTGCAATGCTTCCCGAAAATGCTCTGATGCTAATGCATGGGAATGGGGGAGGCATACCAATTGACGCTATATTCATAGCGTTTGGACTCTCAGTGCGTCTTGGCCGGCTCCACGGGTCTTCTTTCTGGCTCACTGTGCGAAGTGCGAAGGGTGCCTGTCAACCCTGTAAAGCGCTATCCGAGGTTATCTGCACAAGCAGCGCCTTGCGTCGAACATAGCCAGGACGCATTACTTGGCCATCTGTACAAACTAAGCCTGTGGCAGAATGTATTCGTGACCCAAGTCCCAGAATGCGGCAAGGCTGCACACGCATGGGCGCCGGCCGCTCCCTGCCACGTGTTGAGGAGGACCGGCGGACACGGAACCCCTGCCGGTCAGTGGGGTGCGACGGGGCGGGCGGGGCCACCGTGGGGGGCGTGGGGCCGGCAGGGCGCACCGGGGGCACCGGGGGCTCCGGGCATGTGAGGCTGCGGCCGGCAGCGAGCCCGCACCGTGGACCGCCGTGGCGCCGCGCCGTGGTGCCCAAGCACACATTCAAAGTCGTAGGCCGGGCAGCCTGCTCCGTCCTGACCACTCCGCCGCGACCTGCGGCGCCCCGACCCGAAAAGGCGAAGCGAGGCGAAGCGCGTCGCGGTGAGTGAAGGCCAAAGGACCCCTCTCCCGCCCCTCTCGCTCTCATTAGGCTCAAATGGGTGCGAGAAGAGGAAGAGAGAGACGCACTGGGGAGCAGGCCGGGGAGTGAGCGCGAAGGCACCGTCAACTCGGTGGCGTGGAGCGGGCGGACAGAGCAACAAGTCCCCGCCTGCCACGCCTCTTAGCCCAGTGGGCCCGGCCGGGGGCGGCACAGGCAGGGCACAGGCGTGCCGGCCTCCAGAAGTCGACACGTGCCCCTACCCGGCGCGCACGTGGTCGCCCCGGCCTGAGAGCCTGCCCAAGCCGCCCAAGCCCGCCAAGGGGCCGTGCGCCGCCCTCCGCCTTGCGTCGCCTTGCGTCACGAGGTGGCGGAGATGCAGGGGGAGGGGGAGGGGAGAACACGTGCAGGGGAGGTGAAGTTTCACGAGTCACTGCCGCACCACTGTCGGGCCGCAGGGCCGTTGCGTCGGGGCTGAAAGCGCTGAAAGCGGGCCGGGGAGGCTGCGGCCGGACCGAGGGGGGAACCACTGTAAAACTCTGTGTACAAATGACTGTGGGAATGTGTTAGAAGGTGCAAGATTTCTGGTGTGTTTGCCACACATGTTGCCTGCTTACAGGCGTTTCCCTCGGTTTTTTTCCTGATGAATGTGGAATGTGTTCAAATTTTGTACAACGAATGTGGGGAGTTGTTCCCCCCTCGGGCCGGACCGAGGACCGGACCGAGCGGACCGAGGGGCCTGCTACTGGCGGAGCTAAGTGAAAGCATCACGTTTACCAGTGAGTTGAGTCATTCTTATTGCCTACACGGTCAAGAAATAATCATGGACGATCCGAGTAATAAATTGGCCAGACTTTTTCCGTCCACAGAGACTCCGAGATCTATATTTTCCGTGGCACCCTTCAATTAAAAAAAAAATTCACGGTCACATGATATTTAAGATACAGGACGACGGAAAAATTCCGTTTCAAAAAGTTCTGTTGATACAGTCGAAAAGTTTCTTTACACAGACTGAATAGAGTAATCACAGAAAGTTCCAGTGGCGTGCACAGAAATTTTGGAAAAGGGGGGTGGTGGTGTCAGGGCATGCTTTTTGTCTTCTTGACGCAATATTTGCCTGCCTTACAGGCGGCTGTCTAGTGCCCAAAAGGGAAGGTCATGGACACCCCCCCCCTCCACCACCACCAATTCTAAAATTGATGGCCTGAGTTGTACAGAATGTCAAAATAAGTTTTCAGCTTTCTGAGGTGCGCGAATTTTGATCTGGTTTTCAGACAGGTTTCTGACGTTCCGACAAGACTTACACGAGTGCACCGTCCGTGGCCCTTACGGTGCCGGCGATGGGGCGGGGTCGGGCGGGGTGTTTGAAGCGACTGGCCTAGACGCACCCGTTGCGGATCAAGCCTAACTTCAAGTAATTGCCCCGATTACTACAGCAATACGGATTGGGTTGCCGTGGCCCGGTGTTCGAGACCCGCCTTGTCTTTTCCTCTTTTCTACATGCTGTCCATTCGGGATCCAGCGAGGGGGTAAACACTTGCGTAATACCCTGTGCACAAAAGTCGGGTATTACGCCGTAATACGCGTATTAGCAGTGGCGCCAACACGTGGGTGCAGGGTCTGCGGCCGCAGACCCTGATTTGGGGTGGGTGGGTGGTTGCGGTGGTGGGTGAGGGAAGGGGAAAAGAGAAAGGGAAAGGGGAGAAAAAGGAAAGTAGGGGAAGAAAAGAAAAGAAGGAGATGAAAAAGAAGAGAAGAGGAAAAAGGGGGATGTAAGGGGCTGAATATCAGTCGCTCCCCCTAAATGAAATTTCAGTGGGCGCCACTGCGTATTAGTAATACATTTTAGGACCAAAAGTATCAAAAAATATCATTTTTCAATGAAATCGAGGCGTAATACATACGTAATACAAGTGTAATACCCCGTAATAGGGAGTAGTCTGTACAAGGTTCAGCGGAGTGTTTACCCCCTCGGGATCCAGCTTGCTCACAAATCCTCTGACTACACTGAAAATCCAAGTGTGGGACAGGCATGCACTAGATAACGTGGGACAAACTGTCCCTCGCTTGTAAGCGTGGGTCAAAATGTCCCACGTTTGCAAGCGTGGGTAAAAACCGTGTTACACGCTTACAAGCGTGGGACAAACCGTGTCCCACACTTACAAGCGTGGGACAAACGGTGTCCCACGTTTGTAAGCGTGGGACAAATCCGTGTCCCACACTTCCAAGCGTGGGACAAACCGTGTCCCACGCTTCCAAGCGTGGGACACTTTGTCCCACGCTTACAAGCGTGGGACATTTTGTCCCACGTTATCTAGTGCATGCCTGTCCCACACTCGGATTTTCAGTGTAGGGGTAGGTTGGGGAAGAAAAGTACAGGGTAAGAAAAGTACAACCCTTGTGTGTGGAGCTGATGTCTTGACTTTTAGACATCCCTCGACCAGTGATTTCAACTTAACATGAAAATCTGAGTGTGAAAACGCTGTTAAATGGATGTCATGTACTGGAATAGTAGGCCACAAGGGGGGTGTACTTTTCTTACCCTGTACTTTTCTCCCCCAACCTACCCCTATCGACTGAACCTTTTGCCCCCGAGAAGCTCGAGTCACTGGCGAACACGAACATTTCTCTTTAGAATATGTGGTTCGAGTCGCGATAGGGCAGACGGTGCTAATCGCGGCCCAGAGCGCGGAGGCCGCGGAGGCTGCGGAGGCGCGGCAAGCCGTTGCGGCGGAGGATACAATGTTTCCCGATTTAGCAGGGCAGGCCTGAGCAGGCCGGCCGCACAATAGAGAAACACAATGTTCTGCACATAGCTCTCGACGGAAATGAAACTCCCTGCCTGCCTGCCTGCCTGCCTGCCTGCCTGCCTGCCTGCCTGCCTGCCTGCCTGCCTGCCTGCCTGCCTGCCTGCCTGCCTGCCTGCCTGCCTGCCAGCCTGCCTGCCTGCCAGCCTGCCTGCCTGCCTGCCTGCCTCCCTGCCTGCCTGCCTGCCTGCCAGCCTGCCTGCCTGCCTGCCTGCCAGCCAGCCAGCCTGGGGTCTGTAAAGTTAAACCATGCGCATCGATGCTTGCTTGCATGCATGCATGCATGGGTGGCGAATCGCTACGAAATCCACTCAGAAGCTATTGTTTCCATCTGGCATGACTCAAGAAGACATTTCTAGCCCTCAGAAATGTACAAGGATTGATAAAAGCGCTTTTAAAGAGGTATTTTCAACGCGACGCGCCGACGCATGCATGCATACATGCATGCATGCACTCCCGCCCTTTCGCTGGAGCACTTCCAAAATACCCTTTACCTTGTATGCCAAATATATTTGGAGCATTATAATGTGACAAAATTTCATTCTAACTCCTGTTGGATGAAAACAACACCTTTCTATATGGATTCCGTGGCGATCCACCACCCATGCATGCATGCATGCATGCAAGCATCCATGCGCATGGATTAACTTTACAGACCCCTGCCTGCCTGCCTGCCTGCTGCCTGCCTGCCTGCCTGCCGGCTTGCCGGGACGCCGCCCTGCCCCGCGGGACTCCTGCTACTCGACCCCAGTCGATTGCCTCAATCCGAGAAGAAACCTTCCAAGGCTGTTTGCTGAGGAACACTCAAAGAAGGTGACCTGCATTGCTGTGACCCGTCCTTGGCCGATTCTCGGATGGCACTGGGACGTCTCTGTCGAGAGGAAGTTCAGGCCAGGCTAAATCGGGCTAGTGCATTCATGGCCCGATTTAGCCTGCCCTGGCCTGGCCTGCAATTCCTCAATTCCTCTCGACAGAGACCCAAACGGACGGGCACGGTTAAGAGGTGACAACTTGGATTTTCACCGTTATAGCGAAGAATAATTTCCCGTGCGGTGTGCGGAGGTGGGAGAAGGGTCCCCTTTTTTTCGATTTGTTTTCTATGATGCGCCGCTGAATCCCGTTTCCAGGACCGTCCTAGTCTAAAGCGTCCGTTTCTTTTAGGACAGTCCTGGAAACGGGTGGCCGACTCAAAGAAACGCACCATGTTCCAGTACGGTCCTGGAAGTTTTACCATTTCCTCCAGGACCGTCCTGGAAACGGGCCCTCCGTACAACCTTGGAGCCTTTCGGTCCTGTTTTTTTCAAGACACGTTTTTACCGTGTAGACCACGTTTGGTATGGTCATGGCATGGAAAGACCACACCAAACGTGGCCTAGACCACACCAAACCACACCAACTGATGCAGCCAAAATGGCACCCACCTGACCACACCAGTGGCGTTGTCTAGACCACGTTTGGTTTTTCAGTGTGTTTCTTGCATCACCAACGCCGCGGGGCGATGGTCTGAGTCCGAGTAACGCGTGGCGCAACACCGCGCCCTTTTGTGATTCGTCCATTTCCCACCTGTTTCCCGGGCGACTACGCTTTTAGCCCGGACTGCGGTGCGATGCGACACCCCCCGCGTAACGCGGCGCGCTGTCCCGGCCCGTCCCGGCCCGTCCGTGACAGGCTCTGCTAATCCTGGCGCGGTGGCGCGGCGGTCGGAATTGGCCGCTGTCTCATTGTCCCCGCCACATCGTTGTCTAAATGAGAGCGGACTTATGCGACGAGCCACGACCCGCGGCCGCGAGCCGCACCGAAAATAAATGAAAGAATGTGACCAAAAGGGCGCGGTGTTGCGCCACGAGGTGCTCGGACTTAGTGAGACCGTCGCGCCACGGGCCGTGGGGTTGGTTATGCCTTGGAGGAGTACTGGTAGGGAGTCCTAACTGGCGCGGCTGGGGCGCGGCGGTGGACCGAGCTGCCTGGCAAATGCTAGAGAGAGAAAAGCACCTGGTCGCTAATGTATCCTATGAAATCAACCGAAGTGATTCATACTGATTACATCCCGTCCGTCTTCTTCGCCCTCTTGGTCCATTTTTCAAAACCGGAACCTCTTAAGTAGCCTTAGTTAGGAGCTATACCCTGGCAAAGTTCAGAATCTCTGTAGCATTTGCCAGACTCCTAGTGCCATGCGCAGAAACGCCGTTAACTCCAAAACTGTTTGGGTTAGCTATTACTCCAAGGTTATGCGGTGGGGCGGGGCGGTGCCACTGTCACGATGTATCTCGTATTGCTGAATCGCAAAAATATAAAATTCATCGTACCGTGAGGCTTAGCGCTGGAACACAAGCTCCACTCTGTGCGGAGCGGTGCGGAGCCCCTGCGAACGGGAGGCTAGGCACGCCCGCCACACGCCGCTGCCCTTGGCCTGCCTACCCCACATTACCATTACCATTGGCGGCCCGCCGGTGTCGAGTCGTCTTGGAGGCACCGCGCCCTGGAGGCATCCCGGGGGCGTCCTTGAGGCGTCGAGGCTGTCTGATGCCGGCTGCCCTCGGGCGAGAAGGGAAACCGCCTCCCTGCATTCTGCTTCCTGCACTGCCTGCAGCTGCCTGCAGCCCACGGACGCATCAGAAGCCTTGATTAGGATGCATGAGCGTCTGACACGTCTGGGCACTGGAGCCGGTCGCCTTGCGAGCTGCTCGCGCTGTCGAGGCGAGATGGCAAGACACGAGCAGCCACGGAGCGCGGCAGAGGCATGCCATGCACGACCATGGCCTCATTCCTGTGACTCGCGATGGCGGGAACAGCGAAATTTACGCATAACAACGCCCGACGTGTTCACCAGCCGAAATATAATGTAATTTTTAAAAAGCTAAGGGTGACAAATGCACTTCCAGAATGGTGTTGCGGTCGCGCACCACGCGCTCTCTCAGAATCTAATTTGGTCCTCAAAAGAGCCCTTTGTTTCAAACAGGTACGTTGGGCCACTGGGCATCCCACCCCATCCCACCCCATCCCACCCCATCCCATCAATGCGAGCCAGTCTGTAGCACTCCTGGAAAGAGGTTGTCGTCGGGCGTCGCGAGCCTAAGGCTGCATTAGAGCCGACTTGGAGTTTTGCTTGCAGAGTTGCAGCTCGGGTTGCCGTCGTTGCTGGCGAGCCTCCCGCCCTCTGCGCTGCCCGTAACGAGTCGCTGTGCCTGGCCGCGTGTCGCGTCATTTTCTCCGCGCCTGAAGACTAAGACTAGTGGTTGTAGCTCCTAGAGACCTCCGAAATGATTTGATCTTTGAACTAACACCGAGTTGAACCAAGATCAGTAGTTCGGAAGTTTAGTTGACAACCCTGTTTAACTTTGAGCACCTCCGGAAGCTTTCTGTATATGTAATGCATATGACCCTGTTGTTACGAGCCCTTCTACTCCATGCCGCCCCCGCCCTCGCCCCACCACGGTGCTCTGCGCCGGCCCGGCGCTGGCTCTGCGCGCTCTGCGCCGGCTCCCACTCACCTGGCCAGCCTGGCCGGGGGGCCGGAGTCTGTGGAGGGGCGCTCCTCTATATAAGCAGCGCCTCGCCCGGTGAGCGTCACTTCGTCTCGGCAGCAACCAGGCTTGGTGTCGAAAATGTACTGCTTGGATAACCCCTCAGCACTTCACGCTTCCATTGTCTCCAACCCGACCGCCACCGGCTTCGACAAAAGTGTGCACCAGGCGGGAACCTAACCATGTCGTCCTCCAGCAACTCCGGCGGCGGCGCGTCTGCGGGTGGCAGTGGCGGGGCCGGCGATGACAGCCCCGCGGCCTGCAGCGGCGTGGGGCCCGTGCGCGTGCGGATGTTCCGCATCTTCGGCCGGCGCGCCAGCACCAGCCAGCCCTCGCTCAGCAGGCCGGGCCAGGAGGGCCACGACAGCGGCCAGGACTCGACGGACTCGGACGAGAACGACAAGTACGCGGGGTCCCTGTCGGGCGGCGGCAGGGAGGCCAGGGAGCGCGACAGTCCGTGCAGGGGGCCGAACCGCAGGGCCCGCAGCAAGAAGCAGAGCGGCAGCGCGGCCAGCTCGGACTGCAACGGATCCAGCAGCTCTTCAGGTAAGGGTCTCCCTCGGGGTCTCCCGGGCGACGCGATGACGCGCGGCGTGAGCGTCCGGGCTAATGACCTGTTTCATGTGCTGCAGGTGACTGCTTCCGGAGTGTGAGCTGCAGCAGCAACAGCCAGCTGACGGGGTCGTCGTCCGACTCGAGCAGCAGCAATGGAGACAACAGCCCCGGGTCCGGGTGCGGCTCCGCGTGCATGGCGACGGTCATGGGGCTGGAGCGAGGGCTGGAGCGAGGCCTGGAGCGAGGCCTGGAGGCGGGCACCAGCTCGGACAGCGGCTCTGGGGGCTCGTCTGGCAGTGAGTTCGGCGGCTCGGTGCGCGTCTTCCAGACCTGCCTGCGCCCCCTCACCTCTCTTGGGACATCCCTGGCGTCCTCGTCGGCGTCCTCGTCGGCACCCTCGGGCCGGTCCAACTCGTGCTGCTGTGAGGGGGAGGCACATCGGCCCCAAGGCAGCTGCTCCGCTCTGCACAAGGTGAGGCAACGCAGGCAATTCGCTGCGCCTGTGCTGCTCACTAACCTGACCTTCTTAACTAACCAGCGTCGTTCCCGTCGTTCCCGCCGCAGATGTTCCACACGCTGAGTCTGTCGACGCACGCCTTGACCACGCTGGCCCCGCTAGGGCAACGCAGCATCAGCAACTCCTGCTTGTCGATGGGGGATGCTCAGCACCGCCAGCACCACCGCCAGCACCACCGCCACCACCACCGCCACCACCACCACTACCCGCTTCACCACAGCGCCTACACGTTCGAGGAGGCCGATGCGCCGTCGCCGCAGCCCGCCGTCGCCAAGCAGGACAAGCAGCCCAAACAGGACAAGGACGGCAAGGCGCACGGCAAGGCGCCGACCCGCATCCTGCGCTCGCCCGTCGCCTACGCCTACGTCCGCGGCATCTCGGGGCTGCCCACGCAGCGCGTCCCTCGCCACCGCCTGGCGCCCGGCCCGGGCGGCACCACCAGGAGGCCCCGCAGCAACCCCGGCCCCGGCCACGGCCACGGCCTGGAGGGCTTCTCCCGGCACGCCTACAACTCGTGAGGTACGCCCCGTACGCCCGGCGCGCCGCAGACGTGGCGGTAGTCCGCCGTCACTAGCATTTGCCGTCAGGCACGCGGGAAGGTGGCTTGGCTTCAGGCCCCGGCCCGCGGAGGAAAAGCAAAATTACGATTTTGGAGGGTAAAATGGGAATGCGCGTGAAACCGCAAACTGGGGAGAAATTGGTTTAACTGGGGTCACTCTTGAGGCGGCCTTCCACGATCATTATGACATCAATTTGGTATTAATGTTGAATGGTTAAAACTCGCCATTTTTTGGGCCCCGCGGCCTTTTTGTCACGGCACGGAGACAGTGTGAAATAGAGACTATTTCAAAGAAGGCGATTTTCACCAATCTGGTGATAACCACTTCTAAGAGGGCAGTAGCACCAAATGCTCGTATTTTGATGATTTTTGAAGCTGATGTGTAGACCTTAATAAAAAGATTGGTATCCTACAGGCAGGCACCATCTAAAAATATTCTTTTACAAATTTTTAAAAAAGTTCTTTCAGCATTAAATTAGAGTGACTTATGCCAAAAAAGGTCTTCAAAATTAATGCGTGCGCGATTAATCACCAAAGCTTCTAAGTTTTTTTTCCAATCATTAAAATGCATATGGAAAAAACATAAAATTGTCCACAAAATCACCTTCCAGCTTTATTATTGATCAAGAATGAGAGTATGAATGTGAATTTGAGTGGGAATGAGAACGATAGTGAGAATCGTTAAAATACGTTCATATGGCGCTACTGCCCTCTTATTGTGATAGTGATACTCAAAACTCACGCAAAAGTGGTCATCATCTTTCTAAGTAGAAATGTTTTCACGTAGGCACCTGTTGTTAGCACATGTAGATCTCGTACCTCGCACTTTGCACGTGTGGATATTTTTGTTGTTTGTTTTATCTAGCAAGTAAGGGTGTGTGTTTGTTTGTTTTAGTAGTTTCGTTCTGTTAGAGGGATACGAAGACCAGTTTCGAAACCACGTGGGGCGGAATTGCCGCCATTTCTTTCGTAACCGTACTCGCCGGCTTTATGATACAGAGTGGTATACCAAACAGTGGTGCCGTCGGGTGCGGCAGGGCGCAGGGCGTTCACTTGGGCGCAAGAAAATGGGTTGGACACGGCGTCAGCGAGCGAGGAAGAGAGGGGGGCGGAGGAACGGCAAATTTTCTGCCCTTTAAATTCCCTCACCGACTGATTCCGGCTATGCCGACCGCTCCTCCCGCTCGATCGCATGAAGACGATGCGCTCGACGATGCGCAGTTGCTAACGTTTCCACCCTGGCGCGCCCTGGCGCTGGCGGCAGTTCAAGTGAAACGCGCTGTGCGCGAAGCGACGTGTTTCGTTTTGGCCTCTTGTAGTAATAGATTAAGGTGACTTACGAATTTGAATTTCTGAAACAATCGTGACTTGCCGTCAGAAACATAACAAAGTGTGCACATGTCAGTCAGCAAAAATTCCTCGTGTGTTGAAGAGACATAACAATATAACGATTGAATTCTTGACAAAATAATGACATCGAGTTTAACTTGCCCACTTTGTCTTCGATTCTGCGACACGGCTGCCGGCTGCATTCATGCATATCAAATTTTAGTACCACTGCACCATTTTCTTACGTTTCTAGAAAAAAAATAATGTAATTATTGCAGTCTGTTGATTAGTAATTCAGTCTGTGTACTACAAGCGTGTTGCTTGCTATCAGCGACGGTTGAATCTAAGAGAGTTGAGACTTAAACCAGGAGGAACATGCATGTGGATAAAGTTAGCCAAACAAATCATCGAGGGGTAACGACTTCTGGTGTAATCCGACTGACAGCGCGCCTGGATGGTAATCTAGTAATCCGGGTCAATTTTGGTGAATTTTCAGTGGAATTCATGGGTATATAATCCGTTATAACGCGCGTAATCCGGCGATCCAGCTGACACGAAATCCAAGAGTCATTACCGCTCGGAAATCATTCATTCGATGCATTTTGTTTTGTTTGATGATTGGTGATTTGGTGAATGGTTAGTGGCGATGACATGAGCATGTCTGCAATGCATGCTCTTCCCGGGAGGCGTTTGATTCATGCCCAGGATAGGAAGGACGATTTACATCATGTATTCTAAAAACTGTTGTAGTTTTTTTCATTTAGTATAGGCACGTTGTTAGTTAAGGGTACAAAATTTGGCGAAAGTCACTGGAAGACAGTTCCTGTGTTGCACTTGTTCTGTAGGTATTTGAATATGCTCTTAACGTAGTTTTGCCGCAGTACCAGATGAGCTCCAAAGACGGCCTGAAACCAAAATTTGTAAATGGCCTGACGACTTTGTACTCCACTCGGCTTGGGAAGTGTCTGTTTGGCAACTGTGAGTCATACCCATCTAGTTTGCCCTAGTGAACGGTTTCCTTTTAATGTTAGCTTTAAATTAGGATCCGTGACAATAAAACGGATACTCTCTCGTAAAAACTCCTCGCTGTCTCCACCGCCTTTGCCAGCATCCTTCTGTCTCTGTCTCGCAAGCAGTAGCTGCGTCTTTCCCCTTCTCCGGAAACTGTCTTCTGCCACTTTGCCTCTCTCTTTACTTTTCTCGAGTATGTGCAACGTACCCATGTATTCGTGTATCCGATAAATAAATTAAATGAACAGTGTGAAAAATATTGGGCGTCAAGTGTTTTGCATTTTATCCCAAGGTTTGGCACGCCCTTCACTCTAAAGGGCATTTTTCAAACATAAAAAGTGCTCTTCTAGACAGCAGGTCTCGCGGCCCTATGGAACTCGCGGGGTTGCCCTGGGCTCGCTAGCCACGCACCAGCGACCTACAGCGACGCAGCAGGATCGGGACCGCAGTGGCGCACGACACCTTGCCCACACGTAATCGGCAGGGACCAACCGCGGCAGCGTCACAGACTTGCAGGGCCATTACACTGGGTGTTTCTTCGTTCTGTCTCTCTCGCATCCCTACGCAGCCCCAAATGAGTGCGAGAGAGGCAGAGCGAAGAAACCACCGTTCGGAATCGTGCTGCTGGTGTGACGTCGAACTCCGACTCCTGCAAACTAATGGGCAGCAGCAAGTTGCACCGCGTTGGCTTCTCAGCGAAACTTGAAACCGGTGACGCCTAGTGACGCACCTAGTGACGCCGACTCTGTCTCTCTCGCGCTCATGGGGTGCGAGTGACGATGCACTGCTGAGCCTGTTGCGCCCCTTCCCCCACCCTGGGCTGGCTGCCGCGCCGCCGCCGCGCTGCCGCTGGCCCGGCCGGCCGCTCCAGCAGATTGATTCCTGTCCCCGCGGGTCACGTGCCGCGTGGCGTGGCGTGGCGTGGCGGAGGCGCTGCTCAGTTCACGTGTCTTTCGCTTGGGGCGGGGGGAGCGGTAGGGAGCGGGGGAACGGGGAGCCGCCTGCGCATTTCTGAGGAAGGGAAAACAGGAAATCACGACGGTTATCTCACAGTGTTTCAATGTCGTTACTGGTAGTTTCAATGTTTGTTGCTAGTAGCGTGAATATCATTTTTACTGGGAGCTGACACTTTGAAGCAAACATGTTGCCTGTATGCGGTTGTTTTCGTTTTTCCAATTTATTAGCAGAGGCAGCCTGCGTTTTGCAGTGCAGACGAGCATGTGTCGCGGGCCCGAAATGGCAGACGATCAGTTGCGGTCTAGCCCGTAATGTTAACGGTAATGCTGGGTAGGCATCAGTGCGACATCCGTGCGTCGCGGGCTTGCCTAGCCTCTCGTTGACAGGCGCTACCGCAACTTGGCCGCAAACTTACTAAACCTATTTTAGGCCCACGGGAAAAATAGAATATCTTAGCATAGTAAGAGTGTACAAATGTTTGTAACTTCTGATGAATAAAAACCTTTTAAAACCTAAAAATCTAAAATCGCTGCCGCTGCGGCTGCCCGCGACGAGCGCGCAGAGTGGTGTTTGGAATCCGGGTGGATGCGGGATGCGGGCGTTTTCATCACTTCAAGCCTATCGGTGGATCCGATGGCTTCAACTTAATTCGCAGGAAATTTGTGCACCCCGCCCTAAAATTTCGTTTTAGTGCTAAGTCTCCTCGATTTGCCCGTTTGTGCGCTATGGCACTGGTAGATCAAATTAATGAATAAAAGCTAATGTAAGGATTCGAACCTGATCTTGTTGTTCAAACGCTGGTTCCCAGGTTTGGAATCCGATAATATTAGAGGAAAGATAATCGGACCGACTCTTGTCGGACAAGCGACTGGATCTGCGACGGTAGAAAGGATTCTTCAAAAAAAGAAAAACATTCTGTTCTAGTTTCATTTATTTTTGTCCACAATTTTAGATATTTAGCATTCGATGAACATGCTATCTAGTGTCTTATAACTACTAACAAAGACCCACAGTGAAAAAGGTACAATATTTTAAAGAATGTTTGGCAAATATACTTCACTGTGGACTTTGGGTTGTGCAGAGTGCAGTAGTGATGCAAATGTGAGTCACTGAAATTAAAGACCAAAATATATTATACAAACTTATTAAGTATTCCACTAATGTATGACTGTGTGACCTAAGAAATTAGCTGAGCACAATTTCTATGAAACAACAATGAAAACATTTTGACTCATTAGTTTGGCAATGAGAGGACAAATTGAAAGAGAATACTGATCATGATTAAACATGAGCGCAACATAGCAAAGGCACAATAAAAACAGTCAAATGCTTGCTTGTATTACAAATACAAATTGAAAAATCACATTGTAAAAAAATTAACACTAGACATATAGGAAAAAGCAGTATGTAAGAATGTTGTGGTGAGAGTCCGAAGCCCACAGTCCAGTGAATCCGAGCATTCGTCTGTAAAACCTACAATTCGTTGGGGTCATCCTAAGCGAGCTGTGTTTGGGTTCATTCATTTTTGCTTTTGGAGGAGGATACATTTTAAGGATTGATTTTTTTCTGCATCACCATTTTTGTGGAATCCTAATCAATTCCCAACAAATGATTGTTTTTACAAGAAACTCAAAGGTTCCTGGCAAACACGAGACCAAAGTTAAATAAAATAATTATGTTTAAGAAACGAGTCAATGAGGTCATAAGGAACAAGTAAGTGGAGAAAAGTGAAAGCAATCACTTTCAACATATTTTGAATCTTGGACATACACAAATTGATAGCAATTGTTTCAACAAGCACTCACAAAGAAGGTACGAAAATACAGCTTCCACTGGATGGCCCCAACAAATCAAAGGTTTCGCCAGCAAATTCTTGGATTTAATGAACTGCTGGCTCTCACCAAAACAGAAACATTTTAACAACAGGGGCGTCGTTGCTGACTAGGAAACAGGAATACGACTGTGTAGAGAAGAGTGTCAATACATGAGATTGAATCACAACCCATGAATATTATAACAGATACACTCAAGGAAAAATCATTACTGGTATACAAGTAAAAAATGTACTTATGTTTGTTTCATCACAACTACAGTGCTCATACTACAGGAGGACTAATTGCTTCTAAATGCCCTTTGGAATGTACAGGGCAGTATAATCAACTAAATCTGTTGACATGGGAAAGCAATGGAATAACAATTTATCATAGAGTAAAGACATGTCATATTCATATTAATTCAGGAATTGTCACTAAACATCGTACTACATCACAGACGTAAGTTTCATTACCTCAACTTCGACAAAAGAGAGTTGATATTCCTCTTCTAAAATCTCTGGCACAAATACAATGCCCGTCCACCCAATATGGTTGATTATTTGATTGAGGCTAGTGAACTGACAAGGGCAAAAAGTTTTACAATTAAGAAACTAATAGTGCACTAACAGTGCACTAATAAGTGCACTAATAAGGGATAACCTTTTCTTATTTCTAGACACTTCATTAACGCTAATCACAGAACACTAGAAGTAGTGACTATATTTTGGTTAGTCTTTGACTAAAATGAATTTACACAGTAATGGCACAAAGCTATAAAAATTTGACTTTTTAATCAAAATGTTTCTCATTTTGCATTGCCTAAAACACTCTAATGACTATTGCACATAATCCACTTAATCAACAATGCCATAAAAATATCAGGTAATTGATGAAATAAGGAGCGAAGTGGGTTGAGGGAAAAAAGAAACAGAAGAAGTTCAATGCAGGGTCTCTTGAAAAAAAAAAAAAACGGCTCCTACAATATTTATGTGTTATGGTTTAAGATACTAGACTTTAAGAGGTCTTAACATGGGCTTACTTGTGTACAATAGACATTGAGTTTTCATAAAGCTGAAGCAAAGTGCTACAAACCAAACTACAGGTGCTTAAATAAAAATCCATCACAACAAGAAGAAAAGAGTGACACTCCATAAAAACGATATAAACAAGTTACCAAATAAAATTCTTGTGAGCAAGTTGGTCCCATTAAATAATTTATAGAAAACCACAATAACACACCTTTAAGAATCACAATTGCCTCCGAAACTTGAGATCTATGCTTTTATCTTTACAAATCAATGCAAAGTAAAGACAAGTAAATGACTATGCTGTAAAAGAAAAACTTTGATCAAATCTTATCAATAGTAAACTTTATTCACCATTGAGGACATAAATATGATTACCATACTCTAGGATTGAATAAGAGACAAAATTCCCAAATATGTTGATTTCAAGGGAAAGAAACATAAATAATCAACTCTAATGAAGGGTGAGCAAGCAAATTCAGGTGTCCCAAGGCTTTTAAAAGCACAAACCAATTTCTTAATATGACACTTCACAATGTATACCAACAGGTTCAATCAAACCCTACTAAAAGATAAACTGAAGGGGGAATTAAGTTACAAAGATGCAGCTTCAGAACATTCCATCATGAATACCAATGGGTATTAACACAAGAGTAAACACAACAGCATTTCTCAAAACCTTGCGCCAGTCCGATGGAACAACATATGGCAACAACACTTTTGTAATTTCATGGGCCTGTAAGAAACAGAAAACAAAAGTAAATAAAATAAATGAATACACTTGTTTGGTTTGAATGGTAATTCAATATGATGAATGAACCAAGTCATCAAGTCATACCTCATGGGCAACACACACAAAAATGAAAGATGTCACAATGGCATTTAGTGCTGGGGATCCAGGAACTAACACCAAGACACCATTGGCATCAGCAGCAAGCCAGATATGGTACTGACATACACTTAATTCTAATGATATTTTGCCAAACCAAGCAAAAAATGTAGAATAACGTGTGCGTAAAATTCCTGATATGTTACGCAAAGCTATGTAGCTGATAATCTGAAACATTTTTGAAAGAAACGTTTGGTAGGAACTTGTGCACATTCCACCATGATCTGAATCTGAAAGTACTCTTAAATCACTTACAGGAATGAAAACAATGTAGGGATGAACTTCATTGCACTCTTGACGATTTCGACAGAGGATTGAAAACCCTAGATAGCCACCAATCCCACAAAGTGACATAAGGGCAGCAAAAAACGAAAGACGGGGAGACAGGAGGTTACTGTGATTTCTATCGTCAAGCAATTGATGCCTCTGAGCCAGGAACAAACCAACAGCATAAATCATGCCATAGGAAACACTGTCAATGAGAAGAGAGTTTAATTTCTAGAAAATGTTTAAGACCGTCAATAAAAGAAGCATAATTACACAGGAATATAAATGCCAACTACCTGTATCTATTCAGTTTCCACCTAAACCACCATTCATGGATATCATCATCAGTGGTAACAAACAACGCTTTCCAAGGTCTAGTCACAAAGACTTTCTCAAAAAATACCTGAAAGAAAGCAATTGATGGACTTTAGAAACAAAAACTTGAAAATAAACTTACTCAAGTTCTGAGAAGTTGACAAAAGAATACTCACCTCAGACATGTACAGAATAGTGATAATACTAATGAAACCGACAAATTTTAAAACCAGAGTCAAGAACTGGAGAGGATTTCCGTCTGAGGACATTGCACTCACTCTAGGTGGGAATGATAAAAAGAGGAACACTGCAAAGACCCACCAGGAAATGAGGGGAATAAAGTGATAAAACTGGTAGGGTCGATTCATAGCCAAGCAAAGGACAACTGTCAGGAAGTTCAAACGGAATATAATCTGTAAGAAAGCATCTCAACCTTAACAAATAAAGAAATCAAGAAATCCAAAACTCATTTTAAAATGAGCATTGTTTAAGGATGAGTATTACCTGGAAAAAGCGAACAATGCCAGCTTCACCACGCTGCCAAAAATAGCTAAAGTGTCCATACCCTGACAAGAATAGATATGCAGACACAAGTACTCGGGCATGCATGTATATAGGCAAAATACCACTCGCATCAGTCATTTGATAAATTAGTACAGCAAGCTGCATCCATCCTGGGAAAAGAACATTTTGAGAAGTTCTTGGGCAAAGACAAAACTGCACTACATTGAGGACAAGATAAAATCAAGAAGGCTAGTATAAGTTAGTTCTCAGAAAAAGTAAGAAATTGGTTTCATTTATTGTCATACTCACCTTTCCATTCATCCGTCTGTTCCCGGTGAAGGACTTTAGTGTATCGACTGTCCTCTGTGAAAAACAGTCCTAGAACAACCATATACGCCAATGGAAGCCAGAAACTGAGCGGAGAATAATATTTGTTTTCTTTCATAAAAAAACTAGTTCTAAAAAGAGGGGGGGAAGGGGGAATTAGTCTATACAGTATTTTTTAATCTCTATCTGGTGCTATCCAAATACAGAGAAAAATAAGATGGAATACCTGTCACAAACGTAGAAAAAAATCATGATGAGGCCAAGCTTTGATAAAGCAAATAGCAAGGGGAGTATGTCAAGGCTGGCATCCGGTTTGCATTCGACAGTTTCGTTTCCTCCCATTTCAAAACTTTTAGGCAATGGAGTGTACTTTACATGCGTTTGATGATAACTGCCTTTGGAAATTCTGTACAGCACCATTGTAAATGCAATAACAATGCTGCAAAGCAATGAAAACACTATGAAAGCAGAAACAAAATTTTACAAACAGGTTCTGCTATTAAATCACAGAACTAATTTAATGCTAAAAAGTCAGTCAGCTTACCATACAGCAAAAGAGGCATAAGTAGCAACTTGCAAATATGTGTAAGGCTCTGCACTCCAACAGCATGTGCCATCATTAAAATTCATATGATCATTGCAATATGCATTAAGCAGTATTTGAGTATTCAAAGAAAGGGCTCGATAGCCAGGGTATGCTTCCCCAAAGCTTTCGTCAATCCGCCCCTGAGAAAGCAGTCTTGAGCTCCACCAGACTTGAGCTCCACTATGTTCCAAGACCTATTAGCAAAGTAAGGAGGAATATAACAAAGGATTTAACAAATATTTACTTCTTACAAACATGATTTCTGTTATTGCTTTCCTAGAAATTACCTCTATAGCAGCTTTGTTGAAAAGGTCAATGTGTTCATTGTTAAATGGATCATCAGGGGTAAGAAGTTGCTTAGATTCTTTTATAGGTGGAATTGGGACCCACAGTACTATGGATTTGTGCTCACCTTTTGGTAAAACAGTCTAAAGAGAATTGTAAAAATCAATTTATCAATGTAAACACTAGCAAAGTACTACTTGAGCTATTAATTCTAAATTTTACCTTAGCAAATCTAGTTAAGTTGACAGTGAACTCATTAATGGAATGTTCGAAGTTATCGGGGCTTTTAATGGCCCATGAGCCCATACCAATCACAATGACGCTCGGGCCACCTTTCTCCTAAGATCAAAAATAGAGGTAAGAGATAAAATTACAAATAAATTATATTTACAGGGTTGGTAATAACAACAAGACCATACCATCCAACTCCTAACTCGGTTTGTCATATTGTCAGTGAGAAAGGGTTGCCACAAATATTCTAAGTGTAAACCCAGCAGGGAATCATGAAAGGCGTGATCACTCTGAGGCAAGGCATCTAATGTTTGATTAGACTTGGCATTTGCCCAGAATGAAGCCTCAGACTGCTTGTGTCCTGCCAATTGGTGTAGCAGCGCTCTGTAATGGAGCTGCACTTGGGTATCTCCAATAAAAGCAAAGTGATTTCTTTTACCCAAAAATGTTAGGTAGCGGAAACATCTACGAGTGTCTCTGTAAACAAAATAGTTTCAAAATGAAAGGTGAAATGAAAACAAGTAAATATATAGCAGATGGATCCAGACAATACTCACTTGAGAGAATACTGATGCATCATGCACCCATAAGGTTGCCACTCCATGTTTCCTTTGTAACGCCCATCACTTAATAGCCACTTACAGGAGTCAATACCTGTTAAATAATCATTTTAAGTATTAAAGATGGTATACCATTTGTTAAGCCATCAATAATGAAATAACTCAACTTGGTTTTCAAAATAAAGCCTGTTTACTTTAATATAGTTCTGAAATCTGTCACATTCAACAGTCATCAATCGGGAATAGAAATCGTCTATAAACAAAGCCATCGATAGTGATACAGTCAAACGATAGCTTTTGGCCCGTCCCGTGTACTTTTTGTTTGGTTTGCAAATGTACAATTTTCAGTACAATCAGTTTTTCTGCTGCGCTTATGAGGTTATGTTATCAATGGGGCGGAGCCGACTTAGTGCACTCACCATAACGGACGTGAAGGATGCCGTGATAGAAGCAAAAACCAATAACCACAAGACAAGCAACAATTTTGGCATTTTTGGCATTGATTTGTTTGATAACATTAGCGGCAGTTCCTTCATCTTCTCCTTTGCCTGTCATGTTTACAACAGTTTATCGGCATTGCTCATCGGCGTTTGGTCGGTGCTGCGAATAAGCTTTTCGCATTTACTCGCAGGTGGAGTTTAGTGTGTTTAGTGCTGAGATTGAGAGGGGGAGACGGAGAACAGCCGAAGGCTGTATAACTTTCCTGCGGAGAAGATTCCCTCTTGCCTCTTGCGTTTACGTGTTTCAAGTTGCAGGCTGCGGTTCAACTTAAAGTTTCTACCTCCTGAAAACCAAAACCTTCTGTTCTCCCGTTGGCGTTGACGTTGGCTGGTGTGTGCCGGCGACGATAAAGAGGTGGGGGGAGGCGCTGGTCGGGGGGGAAGACCAGGGAAGGGAAGGCCGTGCCCGCCGTGCCCGGACGGGTTGGATGAAATGGACAAGCGAAGCCTCAAATCGCGCTCCAAGAGCTCCAAGAGTCCCCGAGGGATGGGATGGCGAGACTGGCTGAGTACGTGCGTGGCGCGTCGCTCCCAGGCGCTGGAGGAGGAGGACGAGGCCTTGGCCTTGTGGCTGACGGCGCGGGACGGCGCGGTCAACATCGCCATCATCGTCTGTCTGTGCTACATCGTAGAGGTGTGGCAGGGCCCCGACTTCTACTTCGACAATGCGTCGGTGGGGTCGTCCCTCACCAAGAGGATGTGAGTGACGCCGCACTCTCCTCGCACGGCATGCACGACGTGGTCGTGGAGACTGCCTAGCCTTAGCTGTGTGTCCCTCGGCAGGTTCATGCCCAGCAAGTCGATCCCCGAGGAGGAGAGGCTGATTGGACTGCTGCTGCCAGACTACTCGGGCATCGCCACCATTCAGATGCTGTGGGATTGGCTGGATGCGAGCATCGTGCCTGCGTTCGCCGTGCCCGAGCCCAGGGTGCTCTTGTCCCACCGCCTCCTGGGCAAAGTCCGCCTGCGCCAGCTCAGAGTCAGGGGAAGGACCTGTGACATGAGGGAGGTAGGTTGGTTCTTCGGAGCTGGACTCCTGTCCGTCGCCACGATGGGGCGAGCTGTCGTGTCGGGTCCGGAATGACATACGATCATGTGGTCTGTCCCTTATTGGTAATGGAAATGGCGAGGTAGACCACCGCCCCCACACCGGTGCGTTGCCGGCCGGGCTGGCGGTCTGCCTGGCAGGCGGTGCAGGCCGGCGAGTACTAGACATTATTGTGCTTGCAGCTGTTCGACGGCGTATTCGCCGAGTGCTACGGCAGGTACACGGACGACAACGAGAACAAGGAGAGCTTCTTGGAGGCGGACTCGTCGCGCCGACGCGTCGGCCAAGGCAAAGGGCTGACGGCGTCGGCCTGGGAGTGGAGCAGCCCCGAGAGCTTGGGGGGCACGGGCTTCACCGCCGACGTGGAAAGATACGGTGGTGGTGGATTTTACGTGGATTTGCCCAGGGACCAAGACAAGGTTTATTATTTTTCTCTCCGCCTTCATCGAGATCATAGGCCTTCGTCTAGAGAAGCCTCCTTTTGCTGTGACGTCATGACACATATTTGAACGCTTTGCCGCTTTGCCGCCAGGCGGAGGCGCTGTTGCGGGAGCTGCGAGAGGGTGTCTGGCTGGACGAAGCGACGCGCATGGTGTTCGTGGACATCAACATGTACAACCCGAACCACAACGTCTTCGTCACGGTCAACCTGTACATCGAAATCCCACCAACCGCCGGACTGCTGCCTAGGTCGGAATGCTGGCGGTAGTGTGGTGGTCACGTCCCCGTCGTCACGTCAGGCTGCGTCACGCTGCGTCACGTCGTCCACGCCCCTGCAGGGTGCTGGTGAACACGCTCAAACTGCTCAACGACGAGCACTGCCAGGTGACGGCCCCCGTGCTGCTGCTTGTGCTGTCGCTGTGGACGGCCGTGGGGCAGGGCGCCGAGATGGCCGCCCGGGGTTTCTACGGTTACTTCAAGATCCTGGCGCACTACATGCACCTAACGGGCGCGCTCATCGGTGTCATCCTCAGCATCATGGACATCATCCACAAGTATGAACAGTGGTGCTGTCCGAATTTGGTTTCCTGTTTTTTTTGACTTGTTATAAGAAGGCTTGTGGTAGGTGCTGGGAGCCGGACACGGACCGGGCGCTTCTGGCGCTGCGTTCGGACGAGTTCGTGGACCTCCTGGCGCGGCGCTACTCCTACAACACGCTCCGCTACTCCGTCATCATGACACTCTTCTTGACGTGCGGCCGCCTGCTCTTCCTCAGCGACTTTGGCCGCTACTCCAAGCTGACCGCCACCCTGTACCGGTCCATGCCCAACGTCCTCTCCTTCTCCTTCATGTTCGCCATACTCATGTGCTCCTTCAGCATGATGGCCTACCTCGTCTTCGGCACCGACCTCTACGACTTCCGCACCTTCATAAGCTCCCTGTTCGTCCTGGTGGAGGTCATCATCGGCCAGCTCGACTACAAGTCGCTGTCCACGACGAACCGCTTCCTCGGCCCGCTCTTCTACATGGCCTTCATCTTCTTCGTCGTGTTCGTACTGTACAACATGTTCATCGTCATCCTGAACGACAGCTATTACATCGTCCGCCAAGAGGCAGTGGAAGCCGAAGAGCCCGAGATGTATGAGGTAACTGTGATCTAGCTAAATCCCAGATAATTATCGGTCATCCATCCTAATTCTACGGCAAATCTTCATTCAATCGCATAGCCCTGACCTGAAAACTACTTATTGGCGTGGTGAGCTCTAAAAGGGAAGTGTGGTGTGCACGTGTTGCCAGGTGATCCCGTTCGTGGCGCACTGCCTGCACAGCCTGTGGGCGTGCTTGCGCGTGCCCATCCCCCTGCGGCGCGCCAAGCCGCGGCCCCAGCGCCTCGTCAAGCTTCGGGCCCTGCGCACGCTCCTGCTGGACTGCAAGGTCCCGCGTAAGGGCTCCGTCTGGGACGCCGTCTAGGGCGCCGTCTAGGACGCCGTCTGAGGCGTCGTCTAGGCTGCAGGGTTCGGATGAGCGGGGCCGGGCCGGGCCGGGCCAGGCCGGGCACTGGCAGCCTGTCTCTGCCTGCAGGTCGGGCGGTGAATGACTTCATCTGGCTGATGGCGAACAGCGGGACCGGCAAGGGCCACGTGGACAAGGAGCAGGCCGCCAGGCTGGCCGAGCGGGTGACCGAGGACTTGTGGCAGCAGCCGGCCAGCTGGGAGTACTTCATGACCATGTCGCACCGCCTCGGAGAGGTGGAGCGCAGCGTGCGCGTGCTGGACAAGTCCCTCGACGACCTGCTGCAGGACCTGCGATAGCGGTGTAAGTCGGCGGCAGGGCTGGGGGCAGGGCCGCGCGTATGGTCGCCCGCCAACTATGGGAGGATGCAGTATCAGCTGATTAAAGAGCCGTCATCTTGAGGGGTTCACGCTGCGTGATTAAATTAGATTTAAACCCGCCGCCACGTCACTGTCTGACCCTTGAGCTTCTTTACGCCCAGTCAGAAAGCGAGCGCAAGCCAAATGCCACGAAATCAAGACATTGACGAGATGAGCCTCGCCTTAGATCTTTTCGAGTGGTTGCTACCTCACTGATTGCCGATATACCGAATACCGGGCGCACTGCTGCTGTTGTAGCTTGCCTGACGTCGCCTGGTGCCGCCTGGTGCTCAGTCGCGAAAGGCACATCCCCACAATGGGTCACGACCACCGCGCTCTGCGAGGAGCGCCTTCAGGTAACGGAACGGCGTGCGCGTCCAATTTCATTGATCTCCTCAACGTGCGTCCGGAGCTGCGACTGAGGGCACCACACGGCGCCTGCGTCTTTGCAGCGCACAGCGGTCGGGTGGTTCGGGGCCTGCAGCGAGGCCTGCAGCGAGGCCTGCAGCCTGGAGGCAAACTCGAGTGCAACGCCCGGTGCACACTGTAGGGGCTCGTTTTCGAACTCGCCTCTGAGGGCTGTGATTGAACCTGGCGCCTCCCAGAAGTTACCCTGTGGCCCAAGCAGTATCCCCGGGAAGGGCAGGCAATTGAACCCCCCCCCCCCTTTTCTCCATTTTTCCATCTTTTTCACGCTAGTAAATTAAGGTTGAGGTCTGGGTCACCTCGTGTATCGTTTCCAAACCTTCGGAAGTATGTTTATTATTTGGTTGAAAGTGCCACAGAACATCAGCATGGTCGTTACGAGAAACTGACAAAATTGTGGGCCTTGACACTCCACTCCCATGAAAATACTTCTAAAATTAATCAGCAACTTTTCCGAACTTCAGACGTGCTCGTGGAGTATTAGAATCAGACGTAATTTGGGAGAGATTTGCGGTAGCAGAGCTTAGGGCCTCACGGCAAAGCCCTGCCGGATGGAGACAAGAGGCGATAGCGAAAAGCCCTGCAGATTTTTGCGGGCACTGCCATTGTCACTGTCACTGCCGCTGCTCTTGGCGGACGGCCGCGAGATAACGGCAATTCGGAGAAGCACGGCATCGAGTTAATGAATCAGGGCGGTGGCGCGGCACGGCGTACTAGTGGCTCTTGTTCAAGATGGCGGGAAGGGTCTGCCCTGGCTGCCTGGCCCGGCACAGCCAAGCGTAGCTAGGCCAGTGGTTCTCAACCTTAGGGTCGCGACCCCAAGTGGGGTCGCGAAAAAATTTTAAGGGGTCGCGGCGAGGTAGCTGGGGTCGTGTTTTGGGCCGATTTTAAGCAGCCACTGCGTCTGATCCGAGGCGGGCATTTTGCTCCCTCAACGGGCAATTGGTCTTTGAACCTTCCTTTAGCATGCCTTTGTTACGTAGTGTGATTATCAGTCTAAGTTTGGGAGCAGTATTGTCTCAAAGTTTACCAAAACGGTCAGAAATGTCTTTGAAAAATTGTGTTTTGGGCCGATTTTAAGCAGCCACTGCGTCTGACCCGAGGCGGTATTTCGTCCTCCTTCAATGGGCAATTGGTCTTTGGACCTTCCTTTAGCATGGCTTTGTTACGGAGTGTGATTATCAGTCTTAGTTTGGGAGCAGTATTGTCTCAAAGTTGGCCGAAACGCTCAGAAATGTCTTTGAAAAACCGTTGTGACTGTTTTGGTCAACTTTGAGACAATACTGCTCCCAAACTAAGACTGATAATCGCATTCCGTAACAGAGGCATGCTAAAGGAAGATCCAAAGAACAATTGCCCGTTGAGGGAGCAAAATGCCCGGCTTGGATCAGACGCAGTGGCTGCTTAAAATCGACCCAAAACATGATTTTTCAAAGACATTTCTGAGCGTTTTGGCCAACTTTGAGACAATACTGCCCCCAAACTAAGACTGATAATCGCACTCCGTAACAGAGGCATGCTAAAGGAAAGTCCAAAGACCAATTGCCCGTTGAGGGAGCAAAATGCCCGGCTCGGATCAGACGCAGTGGCTGCTTAAAATCGACCCAAAACATGATTTTTCAAAGACATTTCTGAGCGTTTTGGCCAACTTTGAGACAATACTGCCCCCAAACTAAGACTGATAATCGCACTCCGTAACAGAGGCATGCTAAAGGAAAGTCCAAAGACCAATTGCCCGTTGAGGGAGCAAAATGCCCGCCTCGGATCAGACGCAGTGGCATGCTAACGGAGGGGTCCCGTGGGGTCGCGAAACTTTTCCTGGGGGTCGCGGAAATTTTTGGCTACAAATTTGGGGTCGCGAGCCGAGAAAGGTTGAGAACCGCTGAGCTAGGCGTAGCCACGCCTGGATGACTGGCTATTTCCCGGCTCAGAGAGTAGGCTCTTTGTCCGCAGGCTCGGCGCTGCTGGTGCTGGCCCTGCCCGCCCTGCTCGCCCTGCTCGGGGCGGCACAGGTGGCGGCCTACGAGGACTGCGACTGGCGCCCCACCTGCGGCCCGGCCGCCGTATTCCCCATCCCCTGCCACGACCAGTGCGGGAAGTACTTCCAGTGCTCTGACGGCAAGCTCACCGTCGAGACCTGCGGCCTCTTCAAGAAGTTCGACGCCAACAAGCTCGAGTGCGTTTACTTCGGCGCGGACTGCGATTGGTACATCGACGGCTGGACGACCACCACCACCACGACCACCACGACCACCACGACCCCGAAGCCCACCACGACCCCGAGGCCCACCCCGGCCACCAGCACGGTGGCTCCTGGGTGCCGGGCCGAGCCCGTGCCGCCGTGCCCCCCTCGGGGAACGGCCAAGCGGGCCCTGCCCTGCGACGGCAACTGCGGCAAGTACGCCAGCTGCAAGGATGGCTCGTGGGAGACCAAGTCCTGCTTCCCGGGACGCCGCTTCAGCCCCACGGACAACGAGTGCGTCATGCCGTGGAAGGTAAGCGTCGCGCGTGCACTGCTTACAATGCTTTCAGGCGGTGGGCGTGGGAATGCTCCGAGTACAGAGCGCTGCGATCCTGGAGACTAAGGTCGGTAGCTAAAGCAGTATGCACTGTGTTCCAGGTGGATTGCGACTGGTGGAAGCGTTTGACTACTCTGCGACCGACAACGACCACAACCACCACGACCACCACCACGACCACCACCTCGACCACCACAACGCCAGCCCCCACCACCACCCCCTCCACCACCACCCAGTCGCCGTCTGGGTGCGGCTTCGTGCCCAAGTGCCCGCGATGGGGCAAGGCCCTGATCGCCGACCCCTGCCCCCGAGCATGCCAGTACTACTACTCGTGCAGCGGCGGCAAGGCGACGCGCGAAATATGCAAACCGTGGCAGAACTTCGACCCCGTCAGCCTCGAGTGCGTCCTCTGGGACCTCGTGGACTGCACTTGGGCCAACCCGACAACTAAGACGCCGCCGACCACCACCACGACCGTTCCGCCGCCCACCGAGCCCAGCACGCCCAGCACGCCCAAACCGCCTTGCAGATTCTCGCCAGTCTGTCCGAAACAGGGCGAGTCGCTGATAGCTGACCCCTGTCGCTGCCAAGCGTACTTCTCCTGTGCGGATGGACAAGCGACTTCTAAGCTCTGCAATGCTTGGCAGAACTTCGACCCCGTCAAGCTAAAGTGCGTTTGGTACTCCCGCGTGGATTGCTCCTGGCCGGCTTCACTGACAACGCCTGTGACACCCACGGACGCCCCAACAGAAGTCCCGACCCAGGAGCCAACAATTCCCACGGAAGCTCCCACGGATGCACCTACTGTAGCTCCAACGGAAGCTCCCACGGACGCACCCACGGAAGCACCCACTGCAGCTCCAACTGACGCCCCCACAGAAGCTCCCTCTGACGCCCCTAGCGATGCTCCCACAGAGGCACCCACTGACGCCCCTACCAACCCACCAACGGAATCTCCCACGGATGCGCCCACGGAAGCACCTACTGCAGCTCCCACTGACGCCCCCACTGAAGCTCCAACGGAAGCCCCGACTGACGCTCCTACAGAAGCCCCGACTGAAGCTCCAACGGAAGCACCAACGGAAGCTCCAACAGAAGCCCCGACTGACGCCCCTACTGAAGCTCCAACAGAAGCCCCGACTAACGCCCCCACGGAAGCTCCCACAGAAGCCCCGACTGAAGCCCCCACGGAAGCTCCCACTCCCGAGCCCACGCTGCCCACCGCGCGACCGACAATCATTCCCGGCTGCGACTTCGTTCCGAACTGCCCTGCGAAGGGCAGCAGTAAACTGTCCATCCCTTGCAAGGACCAGTGCGAATACTACGTTCAATGCACAGAAGGAATCGGCAAGGTGGAGAAATGCGGTAGAAGTTGGGCGCTCGTGCAGATGCACTTTGACTCTATTAGTTTATCGTGTGCCGCATTGAAATACACTTGTGACGGTGAAGCACCCACCGAAGCACCTACGGACGCCCCAACAGAAGCTCCCACTGACGCCCCTACCGATGCTCCGACGGAGCCACCGACTGATGCCCCAACAGACGCCCCGACTGAAGCTCCCACTGACGCACCCACGGAAGTTCCCACGGATGCACCTACGGAGGCACCTACTGCAGCTCCAACTGACGCCCCCACCGAAGCACCTACTGATGCACCTACAGATGCTCCCACACCGGCACCCTCTGACGCCCCTACCAATGCACCAACGGACGCACCAACGGAAGCACCTACTGCAGCTCCGACTGACGCTCCCACAGAAGCACCCACTGACGCCCCAACCGACGCTCCGACAGAGGCACCCACAGATGCCCCCACCGACGCCCCCACAGAAGCACCCACTGACGCCCCAACCGACGCTCCGACGGAGGCACCCACAGATGCCCCCACCGACGCCCCCACAGAAGCACCCACTGACGCCCCAACCAACGCTCCGACAGAGGCACCCACAGATGCCCCCACCGACGCCCCTACCAATGCTCCAACAGAAGCTCCGACGGACGCTCCAACGGAAGCTCCTACTGCGGCTCCAACTGACGCCCCCACAGAAGCACCCACTAACGCCCCAACTGACGCCCCAACTGACGCCCCAACTGACGCCCCCACAGAGGCACCCACAGATGCCCCTACAGAGGCACCCACTGACGCCCCAACTGACGCCCCAACTGACGCCCCAACTGACGCCCCAACTGACGCCCCCACAGAGGCACCCACCGATGCCCCTACAGAGGCACCCACTGACGCCCCCACGGAGCCCCCCACTCCGCCGCCCACATTGCCTACAGTCAGACCGACCATCATTCCCGGATGCGACTTCGTCCCTAATTGCCCTGCCACAGGTAGCAGCAAACTCGCCATCCCCTGCAAGGACTACTGCAAATTCTACGTTCAGTGCACGAACGGCGTCGGAACGGTGAAGAAATGTGGTTCAAGCTGGGGCAAAAAGATGCACTTTGACTACAAAAGTTTGTCGTGTGCCGCGTTTTCGTACCATTGCGTTCCCGTCTCCTTCGCATGAAGGTCATCCATCGCGCACTTTTGAATAAAGGCCTCGAATCAGCGCGCCTTGTGTCTCTTTTCCCATCCTCACACCCCAAGGCAGCTGTCATGCTGCACCGGTCGCGGCGGTCGCGGCGAGGCGGCGGCTTGTTTGTGTCGACTGGCCCAGACTGGCCCTCCACGTCGAGGTCGTCGTTCTCGTCGTCCTCGCGGCGTGGCCGTGGCGGCCGTGGCGGCCGTGGCCTAGAATACTCTCGCCGCGCCGGCCAACGCGCTGAGGGAAGTGCTATAAAAAGAAATGCGGCGACCCACCTGATTCGAACCACAGATTCGAACGCCCCCGGCAGGATGTCTTCTGACACGCGTCCCCCTCCGCTGCCACAAAAGTTGCTGACACTCAACAACGTCACAAAGGGTCGGCTTTGTGATTCGGCGAAGAGTCAGGGCAAGCAGGCACACCCCACGCCTGTCTTCCGCTTTGCTTGCTTTGCTTGCTTTGCTCGTCTAGCGCCTGCTAGGTAGGCCAGCAATGAGTCCGCAACGCACCGCTGTGGAGACGGTGGCCTACCTCGGCCCTGCGTTGCTTCGCTCACGCGTGCACTGAGCGGTTCGTGTGGGGGGGGGGCGGATTTTCCTCCTGCACGGCAATGGAAGCGACAGAGACGGGATCAACTCCGCCTGGAGGTTGGCCGCTCGCCGCGTGGTCGAACCAGGTCGAACGGAACACGGCGCAGGGGCGAGGTAGGCTACCGTCTCCACTCCGGTGCGCTGCGGGCCAGCCTGCCCAACAGGCGCTACAGGCTGCCGAACTGGGCGGACCGCGAGAGACAGAGCGACGAAACACTATCTGGATTCAGTCTGCTGTGCCGGTGCATGAAACTCGTTCGACTTCCACCATGTCTTGACACACTTTCAAATGCTCATAGTGCAGAACCGGTGCAGAGCTCTCTAGTAGCTAACATTTGGACTCATACTTTTCGTGCAATTCTCTCTGGCATTTATTGATGTGCATCAATCCTTAAGCTTGGATCATATCAAGAACCTTGTTTATTTTGTGTGTGTGTGTGTGTGTGTGTGTGTGTGTGTGTGTGTGTGCGCGCGCGCGCAGTCTTCTTTGTTTGTTGTGTTTTAATAATAGATTCTGCAGTGTGAGGGAGGAAGGTGAATCACCCTTATCCTCTGAGACTCTCCGCAGAGGTGGGGGGTGGGGGGTCTGGGAGACGGCCCAGCTCCGCCTTGGGGAGGGAGGGGGAAGCTCTTATTTGCCAGCCCGCGAACCGAACTCCTCAGTCACGCCGAAGTCACGCTAACGCGAGCACGCGAGCCCCGACCGGAGTGAAGAGCCGCAGAAACACTTCCAGAATGCCGGGTGGACGTCCGTTGTGGCAGGTAGCGTTGGAAACTGAGATTCATCCGGGGGGGGGGGGCAGGTCGCACGGTCAATCCTCCAATTTTCTCGTCTAGATTTGGAAACTTTTCCTTGCCAAACATACTAGTAGACGAGGCCTGTACCCCATGATGCAGGCCGCCTGACGAGTGCAGCGCATCGGGCCGTGCTTGTTGCCTAGCCCGCCGATGACAGGGGCGGGCGTTGGCAACGGCCAACCCCGGCCGACCCGCCGCGCCGTGTGCCTCAGCTCGCATCTCCTTTCACCCGAAGTGCATTTCAAGCCATGCAGTGAGACGGAGCCATCCCCTTGGTGTCTTGCCGACAATGGGACTTCATTGCCCCCTGCATAGGGCGTCTGCCAGTTCTATTTTATTCCAAGGAAATAAGTGGCGTGGAAATGTGCCCCCACAGTGCTGCGGCTCGGCCAGCCGCGGCTGCGGGGCCGTGCGGCCGTGCCACCGGGCTGATTCCGACTCGGATTCCGATGAGTCGTTTCGTCGCTCCATCTTAGTCGCACTCATGGATCGTCCCGTAGGCCCGTGGGCAACCCGTGGGGGTGAGAGAGAGAAGCGACTCCTTGGGATCTCGGCACTCGGCAGCCAGGGCGCTGGGCGTTGCCACGCGTTGCATTCGGTGGGCGGGGCGGGGGCGCCAACACGGTATGGGCCGTGGGCCGCGGAGTGCTACGGCCTTTGGCGCGCGTCCATCTCCGGTCCGCTTATTTCGAGCCGTGCGTATGACTCACGAGGCGCGCCGGATGGGAGTTGGGAGTCGCAGGCCGTGGTGCTCCGTGCCATGCCATGCCATGCCCGCACGACGCCTTTCACATCGACACTGCGTTTAGTTACCTGAACACTGGATCGGACGCTCGACGCATCATGACAACAACGCGCGCCTCACGTTCGAACGAGGAAACCGTGACTGCCGTGCGCTACCATTGATTCCCGTTCCTGACTTGCCCAGCCGTCTGATTCCGAGCACCGCTTTCGTCGCTCTGTCTCTCTCGCACTCATGGGGTGGTCCGTAGGGGTGCGAGAGAGACAGAGCGACGAAGCAGTGTTCGGAATCAGACGGCAGAGTTAGTGTCCGCCTACAGCTGGTCTCCCGGACCCCGTGGACTGCACTTCCATTGCCGTTTGCAGCGTTTCTGAGTCATGGACGCGCTTGTGCAGGTTGCCGGCAAGCGCATCCCCGAGGAGGAGGTGGAGGCGCAGCAGTGGATCGAGAGCGTCGTCGGGGAGAGGTTCCCTCCTGGAGGTAAGCCTTCCACCGCTTTAGCCAAGGCTGCAGCCCAAGGCCAGAACAGCGGATCGGATCATCGGATCGGCGAGTCGAGCTCCACCCTCCCCTTGCTTCTTGTTGCAGTGCCCTACGAGGCGGCGCTGCGGGACGGCATCCTGCTGTGCAAGCTGATGAACCGCCTGCAGCCCGGCATCATCGCCAGGATCAACACCTCTGGCGGCGACTACAAGATGATGGACAACCTGGGCCAGTGAGTGCTACGCAGTGCTACGCTATCCCCCCGGCGACTCCTCCGCCTGACTCCGCCAGCCAATGACTTTCGCTGTCTCATTGCCTCGCAGGTTCCAGAAGGCCTGCACTAAGTACGGCGTGCCCGACGTGGACCTGTTCCAAGCCGTGGACCTCTGGGAGGGCAAGGACATCGCGGGCGTGACGCGCACCATCTTCGCCCTCGGCCGCACGGTGAGCGCCCGGCCGCCCCGAGGGCCGCCCCCACCCCCAAGTCGTTTCGTCGCTCTGTCTCTAGCCTACCCCTCCGGGCCCGTTCCTTGAACGCGGCGGAGACAGAGCGACGAAACGGCTCCTCGGCATCGGCCCGCGCTGACAGCGTGTCTTTGCTCGCAGTGTTACAAGCACCCCGAGTGGCGAGGCCCCTGCCTGGGGCCGCGGCCCGCCGAGGAGAACCGACGCGAGTTCAGCGAGGAGACGCTGCGTGCCGGGGAGGCCATCATCGGGCTGCAGGCGGGCCAAAACAAGGGCGCCACGCAGGCTGGCCAGAGCTTCGGCGCCACCCGCAAGATCCTGCTCGGCAAGTGAGGGGCCTGGGAACGCGCCTGGCACGCCCCGGCCGAGGAGGCCGCTCACCTCGTGTTTCTTTATTTTTGTACTTGTCTTAGCATGTAAGTTATTTGATAATTAAGGAAGAACTGTTACAGTGCGTAACTGTAAAGATACCAATGAAAGCATTTCTTTTGACAGAATCTGGCTCAACTCAATAGAGATGTCAGTGTAGTAGGGAAAGGTCATTTACAACTCTATGCAGAATCCTTTGTCACAATTTAATAGCAGAAAATAACATAATGCGTGTAAACATATGCATCCATACACTTTCATCACAATAACACATTGATAAACAAAATATGCAAGGTTAATCGATATGAGTGCGACCACCAATATAATGGATGACTGGTGCATCTGGGAAATTAGGAAAATAGAATTAGGAAAAAAAAAAAGATTCCTCATGCTTGGCTAATTTAAAAATAGCTCGAATTCAGAAATTATAAACTAACATAATTATTGTTATAGTCTGCATCGTCGATGGTCTGATTCAAATTACTACTCTGCAAATGCAAGTGAGTGCATGGCACACAGTGCCTCCATGCACACTGTTTAGAACCGTGCATATAAGCACACATTTAAAACTGTGAGCCATGCACATACTTGCTTTTCCAGAGTAGCAATTATTTATCATAATATCTAGAAGGTCACCATTTTATATGGAGACCGGTATTTAAATGTACAGAGCACAAAAAAATCTTGGGAAACCCCAATATGCAATGCACGAAATCACAAAAGTGTCTGAATAAAAGTCACCAATATGACCAAAAATATTTTTCTAGACACAAAAGTTGCAAGTTAAACATTTGAACTACAGCTTGACATCTACTTAACACTTTATGCTGTTTGAACATTGACACAAATGACAAAAGACAAACTAAAAACTCAAACAATTAAATTTTAACATATTTGGTAAGCACACACAAAAAAAAGAGAAACAAAAATTGAAAGAGATAGAATGTTGTTTAGACTAATAAGAAACTGACTTCACATGGCACATTTTCTTATCAGAAGTTCAGAAAACAAACAAGATATATATATCAATCTACATATAGCTAATGTAAAAATGAGAGAGATCACGAATCAATGGTAACAAAATATGCTTTAGGACAGGACAGAGAGCAGATTGCCTGAGAATAGAGAAAAATTGTGATGGAATTCGTACAATCCAGTAGGGTTGGACACCAGGCAACCTATCATTTGATGTCTGGCTTCAAGCTAACTGCTCTCTCCACACACACACACCACACACACGCACTCAAACATTCACAATAATTATATTTAATGCACAACCACCCACTAGCGCCCTCAAACAGTGTCATCTGAAATCAAAAAGAAAGAACGAAGATTAAAATTACAAATCGGCTCTTTTTTCTTTGTACTGAGAGCAAGTTAATCTTACCGTGGTACCACCATTTAGTTTTTTTTGGATTTTTGTTGCATGTTTTTACATATAACGAATTGTCTACAGGCCTTTTCTGTAAGAGAAGAAAATTCTAATATTAAATGCCAAAGGCCCAAAACAGATACAGATAAGGGAAGGAAAGGTAACCTTGCACTCACCTTATCTTTACAACTACTGAGCATTGACATGATAGATAGACAGACACTCTGCACACTATGGGCTGGTGACCAGTCTTCAGTCAAGATGGAGAGGCAGATGTGGCCATTACTATAAATATGTGGGTGGACAGGAATGTGGTTTCCTATAAACATCACCTGAAAAAAAGGGGGTAAGGATGGTAAATGCTTTGAGAAAGGGACATTCATTGTTCAATCTTTCTGATTACTACTTACTTGTGGTGCATCAAAAGGGTATTTGCTGTTGAATTTAAAATTGAGCTGAAAATGTTCTCCTTCATACAAAGTTCCCTCAGCTCCCTGGAGTTCAACTGTCCAACTGTAAGCAAACCAACAAAACATAACTAAACACAATAATAATAAAAACAAGGGTAAAAATTTTCATTTTAAATTCTTCAATTATAAACTACAAGCAAAATTTTGGTAAGAAAAAAACTGAGGAGAACCTCATTTAGATACAAGGGTCATTGATTAGACCAAAATTAGTCCAATATTGGGTCAAATCAACTTCAATATGATTTTCTGTTCTCTTAGGGAATGTTACTTACTCTTGGAGGTTTTGGCTAGTGACATCTGCATCAATAGAAAGTCCAGGCGGTGGATCCGTCACAAAAGCCATTAACTCTTTCTGAAGCCGTCTCTGAAATTACAACAAAAGATGTTAGACCCTTCATGAATACAGTCTTAACAATTCCTTCCGACACATTCAAACTATGGATGCTTGCACAACACACTCAAACTGAGTAAACCTCATCAATTAAAAGTCCATGGATACCTAGGCGTGCATTGATTTGTGGGACACACAAACAAAACTAATTTGGGAAAAGAAACTCAACAAACAATCATAGTGAACTATGAGGACAGTGCACATATGATTAAATTCAAACATAGAGGCAAATGGCACGATCGGCAGCTCACTGTTCTGTTTTCTAAAAGGCCTTAAACTTAGTGGCTCAGGACGTAGCTACCACAGTGAACGGTGCACTAATTAACCCCATGCATGATTCATTTTCGGTGGTTGGTGCCCCATGGTGACTGGCTGCTAGGCTTGGCTAGGCTTGGCTGCACCCGCCCCCACGCCTACGCAGTAACGCAGTGCGTACTGTAGTACTGTGCGCACGCACACCGACTGACCTCCCAACGAAGAGCGTCCTGACCGGACGGTCTGGACGAGGTCGCCAACGCTACAGCCCCTGCCCCGGCGGAGGACGTCCCGGATGAACCAGGGTTGCCGGGGGCCGAGGACGGCGACGCTGCAGGCGCTGCAGGTGACGGAGGCGTACTACCGAAAGGCCCGACGCGCGCCAGCATGGCAGTCACTTGTTCCATGGTGGGCGCGCGGCTCGGGGCGTGGTTCGGATGGTTCGGAGGGTGGCCCGCGTAGCCCGCGTGCGTCCCCTTTGAAGCAGGCCTCGAGGCCCCCTGGGGCATTCACTGCAAAAAGGATGTGCGACGACGCGCTAATGCGGCTGCATCGCTGGTAGGCCCTCGGCTAGGCCCTCGGCTACGCCTGACCGCGCTCGCCGCGCTCGTGGGCTCGCCTCGCTACGACACAGCCCACCGCTGTGCTCCGATTCCGCCCCACACAGCCCCACCCACCGCGCCGCCGCGCCCACCGCCACCCCATGGCCACCCCGTCGCCAAGGTCAGACAGAGTGCCGCAGCCACGCCGCCGCCACCGCGCCGCCGCCGCACCGCCCCCACGGGCCGCGGGAGCCGCGGGTGAGAGCCAGCCCTAGGACCAGGGCCCTAGGGACAGCCGGTTACGGCAGGCCGCGCGCAAGGGGGAAGGCCACGGTCACCGCGACTAGCCGACTGGCCGCGACCAGGGTGGACGGGGTGGGCCTGACCGCCAAACCGAATTAACGCCGCGGGCATTGAGCGAAATTGTGCGTCACTCCACGCGCACACTATCGCACTGTTGACCACGGCAGGGGGGCAGCCGCCGCTTCCGCGTCACGCGGTCCCGATTGGAACCCACCGGACCCACGGCAACGGCGACAGGGGGAGGGCAGCTGCAATGCATAGTGCATGGCGCACACATCGACCCCACAGCGCCAGCTGCGCCAGCAGGGCTCCTTCCACCACGGCCCTCACGGCCCCGGCCTGGGCGTCAGAGAGCCAGCGCGACAAGACGCCAGCACTGGCCAGCAGCACGCCACCACAACAGCCAAGGTCGTCGCCATTAGTCTAGTCGAGTCTAGTCCTTGCAAGGGGTGAGGCGCAGCGGCGAACTACCACCTGCCCAATGACACGTCGGCGTCACGAAGGTCCGGTGTCACGAAGGTCCGGCGCGACGACGTGCAAGCTGTCACGTAGCCGCTGCATTGTCATGACAACAGTTTCCATCACATCAACCCTCACTCCCCCCACTGCTGGCGTGCGGCGGGCGCCGTGACGTCATACAGGGGGCCTTGGGCGCCATGACGTCACTGCTGGGAACTGGGTCATTCGATGTTCCGGTACGTAGGGGGTGGGGGGGAGGGAGCTCTCAGCCCTGCACTTGTCCCGCAGGACGTTCGGCCGCTTGCCCCGCTTGCGGTGGCGAATGCAGCTGCCGCCTTTTCTTCATTCGAACCCGCAGGAGGGTCGAAGCTTTGAGCACTCCCTTCTCTCAGCCGACCATCCCCATACGTTGACCGCTACACCGATAGGCCGAGAGCCGAAACAAAACGACGCGCGACCGGCGCGACGACGCCAAGCCTCAACCACTCCCTTCTCTAGAGCATCCCAGCTGACTATACCCTCATCTAAAGGCCGAGAGCGAAAACAAAACGACGCGCAGACGGCGCGACGACGCCAAGCCTCAACCACCGCCCCGCGCCCCCGCGCCTTGGCCTCCGCGACTGCCACTGCCTCTGGTAGAACCTAGCAGGACCACAGCCACAGGCCTTCCCTGCCTCCGCCCCCGACCGCCCCCGACTCGCCCCCGAGACACCGTGCGAAAACCCGACGCATGCGCAGCGCCGCAGCGCACCGAGCCCAGGGCTAGAGTCCCAGGGCCAGCAGCCAGCAGGCTGATTCCGAACACCTCTTTCGACTCGCTCTTTCTCGGGCTCATCGGGCATCTCGTGGAGGTGCGAGAGAGAGAGAGAGAGAGTATGAAAAGGCAGTGTCCGGAACCAGCCTGCGGGCCACGTGGCCAACAGCTGGGACACTCCCTCCAAACCTTCCAACCCCTCCCACCTAGAGGCCCCACCTACTCCCACCCCTCAGACACCAACCCTATCAGGACCAGCTACCCAGCCTAGAGCACCAGAAACGGCCAGCCCTCCCTGTACTGCTCATACAGCGTCAGACAAGAAACAATGTAATGGAACCAATTCTCGACAAAATCCACTATTAAATGTCAAAGGCTTCAAAACTTGCGCTGGGAATCTTAAAAGCAGTGACTTCACTGCTTACACTCAAAATTCGATAGTGCGGAGAGCTACAATAAAATTATACTGTTAGGAAACCGAAATTCACTAACATAGTCAAAGCAGGAAACGTATTGATTGAGCACCATTGCTAAAAGATTTCAGAATAGATTGAAGACCAATTTAGTGGCATGTTGGCCCTGGCTTCTAGAGCTGGAACCTTTTTGGGTTCAAAAGCAGGCAAAGATGAGTATTCGTTGAACATATTTGAAAAAGCACCATATGAAGACAAATATTAAAAAGAAAGAAATATAATAAAGAAACTTTTCTTAGGGTCTTCTTGAGAGTGAAATAAGAAAGAGTATGCCTGCTTTATCAGGATCGAACAATTATAAATAAAACTGTTTGAACTTGAACATTCTCTGGGGCCACATCTTTAATTATAAAAGCAATGTTTAATCTGCAATCAACAAATGCAGTTTTAAAAATAAAGATCCCACCCTTGACATAACCATACAAGAACTTCCGCACCGTCAAAAGCACAGTGTCACGATTTATAGAAGCTATAAAAGAAAACTGGGCACACGCCGCAAGAAATGTGCTTAAAAGACTACTTTAAAAACTCAAATGACGCTATCTGTAAAGCAAATCATTACCTCTCCTGGCAATCGGACCCTGTCTGCAAATCTGACGGAGAACGCCATCGACGACGCCATTGTTTTTCACTTCACTTCCAAACAAGAGAGGGTTTGCAGCAAGGCGCTGAACTGAAGAAAAGCCGGAGTCTGGCAAATGGCAGGGTTTGCGGAGCTCTCTGGGGTGGGGGGAATATCGCTATGTGCAGCCAGAGCCAGGTCCCCGCCAGCGTATGCGCAGAACTCCTTCAGCCCGAGGGCCCTCTGAAGAAAACCATGGGGCACTGATGAGGATTCTCCACATCCAGCGAGTCCATTCCATCTTATAACCGTCGTTTTTTTTTTTTTTTTTTTTGAAAACTATGTCGATTATTACTGTGGTTGATTTAGAAAACGGGTTCGTGTTTATTTTAGTAATTTATTTATAAAAGACACTGGTAGGTAAATTGAAGAAATCAACACAAATAATGGAAGTTCAGTGAATTATTATTTATTCTCTTAATTAACTATAAATAACTGACCATTAAAAGAGTCTCTCATACATAATTTAACTTCTTACTCTAATCATTACAAAGTACAGGAAACATCATAAATCATTATCACATTTAAACAGTATAATACACAAATCATTAATTCATAAAATATCTCGAGAGAAAATTAACTAAAAATGGGCAGGAAGTACCTGACCTTACCCCTCCCGGACCTTACCCCCCTTATTTTCTAATTTCTTTTATGAAAAATAAATAATTATTTTATTTTAAATATAAAACAGGAAAGTCCGGGCCCTTACCCCTCCCGAACCTTACCCCCTCATAAATTATTTAAAAAAAAACTATTTTGTGACTTAATTATTAAAGAATAAATAAACTGATAAATAAATAATTAAATAAATAATTAAAAAATAATGGAAAAGCTGTTTTGCCAATTTGTCCACAGTAATAGACAATACATTTATTTATTTGAATTATTGTTTTACACACGTAAAAATGGAGAGGCTATGAAATCGAATCAGTACTTCCTGCTTTCACCTCCTTAATGGCTCAGGCGAACGAGTGAAGGGCGCTTCACGCTATTACTACGTTCGATCTCGTTCAAAGACAGGAACTCTACTAATCGAAGAGCGTACATTGTATGCTCTAACTGGAGCATGCCTGCAAGCACGCTCTAGCTAGCGCATTCCTGGCAAGCATGCACTAACTAGTGCATCTAGCGCATGCCTGGCAAGCATGCACTTGCATACATGCCATGCACAGTGCACACGCTAACTGAAGCATGCATCTAGTGCTTAAGGGATAGGGAGTTGCCTGCATCAGGAAGCGTGTGCGGGTCTGTAAAGTTAAACCGTGCGCATCGATGCTTGCTTGCATGCATGCATGGGTGGCGGATCGCTACGGAATCCTCTCAGAAGGCTATTGTTTCCATCTGGCATGACCCAAGAAGAAGTTTTTAGCCATTAGAAGTTTGTCAGAATTGATAGCAGTGCTTTTAAAGTGGTATTTTCAGCGCGACGCACCGACGCTTGCGTGCATGCATGCACGCCTTCCCGCCCTGTCGCTAGTGCTCTTCCAAACTGTCCTTTATCTTGTATGCCAACATGTTTCGAGCATTATCATGTGACAAACTGTCATTCCAACTCCTGTTGGATGAAAACAACACCTTTCTATATGTATTCCATGGCGATCCGCAACCCATGCATGCAAGCATCTATGCGCATGGTTTAACTTTACAGACCCTACATGGCATGTATGCACTAGTATGAGCATGCTTGCCAGGCATGCACTAGCTAGAGCGTGCTTGCAGGCATGCTACTAGTTAGGGCATACAATGTACGATCTACGATTTGTAGAGAGAAAGGTAAAATTCACCTTCCCCTTCTTCTACGCTTTGAACGAGATCGAACGTAGTTATAGCGTGAACCGCCCTTGATTCGTTCAGCTGATGTCAGCCATTAAGATCGGTGAAAGGTGAAAGTAGAAGGACTGATTTGATTTCATAGCCTCTTCATTTTGAAAGAGTAAAACAATAATTAAAATTGATAAATGTAATATTGTTGTGAAATACAGATACTATTGGCCTAGAGAGCTCCCTGCCAAGGACTCCTAGAACTGGTCACTCACGGTCCTGTTGGTTTACGAATGTACCCTCAAACTATAAAAGCAGCCGCTCAGCAGAGCCGGCATGCAGTCTGTCACCTAGTGTTGACCCTGATACGTCTTACAATAAACCAGTGATGCCTGAACATCACTACCGTTCCTTAAGCCCTTGCACACACTACATTATCTATTAATGTGGAACAGCTTTTCAATTATTTTTAAATTATTTATTTAATTATTTATTTATTTATCAGTTTATTCATTCTTTAATAATTAAATCACTAAATAATTTTTTTTTCAATAATTTATGAGGGGGTAAGGTTCGGGAGGGGTAAGGTCCCGGACTTTCCTGTTTTATATTTAATATAAAATAATTTATTTCTTTTTCATAAAAGAAATTAGAAAATAAGGGGGGTAAGGTCCGGGCGGGGTAAGGTCAGGTACTGACCCAAAATGGGTACACACTAATGACTAAACGAAGTAACTATCTTTAATGTGTAAATAAACTAGATCACAAAAGAGAAAGCCACAAACTCAACAGGAGACAACTACACATGAGGACAGACAGTCTGAGTTTGAACTCTGAACTAGAAGTTACACTAGTGATTTCACAAATAACACATTGTCCATTGTGGATTTTTTACAATGGACACAACAATAATTACATTAAAATACAAGCATCAGTGATGCACCAGAAAAACTATGCGCATCAACTCTCACTTCTTTGTCAAAACTATTTGGAAAAGCAAAATTTGTTAATACAAGAGAATCTACATTACAACTGGAAGCACAATACAACCAAACAAAGTTAACAATCAGCCAGAAAAAGAAAAAATACAAAGGTAGATGAGGTAGCACATTTCAAACAATTGGAGTCTGTTTATCCACTAATTTAGATGATTTCCCAGGAACAAATATGGGACGAGCAACAAACTTCACTTTTGGTCTTTGGCTTGAACTGGAAGTACATACTTCGAAACACTGTGGCTCATCATTTTCACAAGTAGGAACTTCAACACACTGTGGATCATCGTCACATGTGGGAACAGAACCATACCGTTGAACATTATGAGAAACATCAACTTCCACACTCTGTTTATCAATGGCATCAAGAAGATTTTTCTTTATTTCAATTTTTTCAAGTAACTTGGGTACTTTGCTCCGTTTACGTTGAATCTCCTTTTTCGACATTTTCTTTTTCATAAATGGTCGTATTTGACGTTTTAGTTTCTCGCACGACGTAATTTGCACAGTAGGAGCCATTTGTTGCAAGGGCATGTCCACACTGTTGACACCATTCACAACAGTTTCACACTGGGCCAAAGCACCCTTCAGAACAGCCTTCTCACTTAAGTATAAGTATTTAATGAACATTTGTGTGAAAGCAAATGCTCGGGAAGTAACACACATCAAATTAGTGAAGGCTCTAGTAGCACAGAACTATTGACAGCCTCATGCCTTGCCATTGATTTAAATAAATGTAAAACCAATGCATTATTAACTATGAAAATAACAAACGCATCCATAAAAACAAAATCAGGAATACCGTACTCGAGCTTTCTCAAAGCTTCAGCACATTTTCAAACGGCTAAACAGGTGGGTGCAGAGCAACCTCCCCACAAAATGTGCTGTGACATCTAGAATAGATTATTTAGATTTATATCCACAAGCTTGCTCGGTAGCATTTATTGAATAGGTTTGTGCTCAATTGAAAGGAAACAACAAAAAGCTTCACCATGTCCTTACCCGACTTAACCTATCTATAATCAAAGTAATCCTTGCTGAACTTTTGAAAGTGACACTTGATAATAGATAGAATGGTTCATTATCACCTCGTAATCCACATAAATAAATAATTTTACCAATTAACCACTGAAAAACGGTGAAAGTCATTTGTTACCGAGCACTCTGAACTGTATAAATAAAGACAAATACTCATCCTGCCGATGCTTTACGAGGAGCAGAGCAGTTGATGAAGCATTCTTCCTCAATGATCGAATCGGAGATATTTAGACAACTCATCTGGACAGAAAATAAACAGCCACCCGTTCTCTTAATGTCACTTTGACAACGAGACGACAACGTCGGTTTCCTCCGCCTCTCCTCGTGGGGCAAATAACCCGACGGGTGTACTGCACATAGGCTCTCCACCTTGGCTCCGCAAACCCTGCCGTTTGCCAGACTCAGAAAAGCCGATGTATGAGAACGTGAGGCAGTACTCGTTTCAAGTTCGAGTCAAGCAGAAGCAAGAATTAAGAGCCAAGAGCGGTTAAGAGTGAAAAAAGCCTGCTGTTTGTACCGAGAATTCCTCTGAAACGTACGACTGTGTGTGCTGAATAAATTAAAAATACTTGTTTGGTAAGAATTGTTTATTATTTATAGTATGTAGATAAAAAGACATAAAAATCTGAATGTAAACCACACATAAGTACAAATTTGCTCCAGGAGGAGATTGACAATCACACACAACAATTTCTGCAACTTAAAAAGCAGTGCCACGATTGATAAAAGCTACAAAAGAAAAGGGGGTTCAGAGAGGGGAAGGCCAAGAAATTCAGCTTTCCATATGCTCATCTGACGATGTGCCACAAAGTGGTTCTGAACGATGTAGAAAATTGGGAGAGTGTGGCTCGGTAAGTGGTGCAACAGAAGGATGAATTTTGAAAGGGCGAAACTGAGGTGCAGGCCGAGCTTTATGAACAAGTTCTTTTCTTAACTTTAAAATTTCATTCTCTTCTTGTACACGTTTCTTCTCTTGTTGCTTTAAAAAGAAACAAAATAATAATATTAGAGTTAATCCAGCTAAAAAGCAACAACCTGAAATTTACAAAACTCACCTTATTGAGCATAAGTTGACGATTCTCTTCCTTCTGTTCCAAAAGTTTGTCAAATTCTTCCCTCTCTTTAGCTCTTTTTTCAGTGAACAGGCAAAGGTCAAGTGGCCTGGTCACCTTATGGATTGTTTTAACAGGTACAAATGGAGGCTTATGGAGGACTGTAGGAATCCTAGCATGGTGTACTAAGGGATCCGGCTTCACACTATTCTTAGAGTAGTCATCACCCTGGGACTGAAAGCAAAACAGTCATAAAAACAACAGAATTGGAACATTATCACCAACAGGAACAGAAATGGTTGCATGACTTACCTTGCTGCGTCGTCTTGTTTGAGGTCGGCAGCAATGACTGTTTGTTTCAACCTGGAAAGAACCATTCATAAAAAGTTCACAATCAATCAGATACACTTCGTTTTGATAGGACCAATGTTTTAGATCACTAGTTTTCAAATTTGCTACCACAGACAGTACAAACTGCAGCAACACTCTAGATGGCAAAACTCATCACTCAAGAGCACAAGCACAAGAACAGGACTAGCTCTTCTCATTTTTCAAAGCTACAAGAACAATTGAAAATTACTTACCCCCATCATGCGGCTGATTTTTCTTTGCAAAAATTCTTGGTCTCGCTTATCAAAACTGAAAGGTTGAACTGTAGTAGTTTGTGGAACTTTTTTGAGAGGAGTCTTCGGTCTCTGAGAAGAACAGTTCCCCTCTGATCAAAGTTGAAAACTGTTTTAGGAAGCTGGAAAAATTAATTGATTTTAGCCAGGCTTGTTTGATAAAATACATCAAAATTTTTAATTAATTTACCTCTGTCTTTTTGTACTGCGTGAGAACAAAAGGTTCCACCTTCGGTTGTGGCCATCGGGCCACCCTAACACCTTTCTGGTCACCCAACACTTCTTGTTCCTTAACTTTCTTCTGAGGGACTGAATGGTTTGCTGTAGAACCACTAGAGGATGCAGGACCAGATTTGAGCTGGATGGAAAGATTTCTTGCTGCTTTGGACTGGACTCCCCTCTTCAATGCAGCAGCAGAAGGAAGGGTTCTAAATCGTTTCGGGGTTTGCTTCTGAATCCGAGCTACCTGTTCAGCCATGCTGATGTACTTTGCAGGTTGTTGACTATAATCTCTTGAATTCTTTGGAGGAGGAGAGAATTTACGTTTGGGACCGCCACCTACAGAAATGATATGAAGTCAAGAAAATACGATGCCACATTAATGCCACAATTTATATGCAAGTACCTTTTATTTTAGGTTGCAGCATCTTCTTTGAGATTTCCTTAGGAGTAGGGACGATCACAGGGACGAGTTGGCGAGGTGAGGAAAGTGGGTCCACCTCACAAACAATGTCTGCTTGGGTCTTCTTCAGGCTGCTACCAATTGAGAGAGTTCGAATGGCATCACTGGTGAAAACAAAAATATAGTCAGAAAACTACAGCTAAATTGGGTTGTACAAAAATCTTGATACATACTTTAAAATTTCTTCGTCACTAACAATGCATTTAGTGTTACTAGCACTTCTGGAGCGACGGTTGGTTGAAGGTGTCACACTACACCTGCTCTTCCTCGAAACTGATGTTTCATTTCCTGAAGAATCAGCAGAAATAGGCTTAGGGGTGTTGCCTGTAACAAAACAAACACAAAATAACAGTGTTTGCAAGACAAATTCAACAAACAATATATTTTATAAACAAGCTTATGAAGCAGACATACCTGAAGGACTGCACACTTTAGAAGCAGAAGGGTTACTCTCCTGAAGTCTGAAACTTTTCCTTGGAGGAGAACCATAGCTAGTCTTTTTGGTAGTAACTTCTGTGTTCACATGATGGACCATAGGTGTTGATACCCTAAGGCTTGGAATATCAAATTCAATTGGAGAAGCCTTATTAAAAGTATCAGTTCCACCCTTAAGGTTGCTGATGTTCAGCTTGCAAGCTGTAGAAAAAGTCAAGAAATTGAAGCCAAAGAACTTAAAAGAACCAGTTATATCAGCTTTTACTTACGCTTCTTTGACAGTGGTGAGGAAGTCACTTGAAAACATTTGGTTCCATATGGAGTTAAAGACACCTTGGAGTTGGCTCGATCCCTGTTAGCCTCCAGATTACCTACACAGGAAAAATGAATTATCTACTTATAAGTAAATCAGACCTGCATTCATCCTCAGAAACAAACCAGCATTATAAGTGTTGAATCTGGATGGTGTGAGTGTTCTATCATTGTCACTCATTGTGTCATTGGAAGACACGCTAGAAGTATCATCACTAACTGTCTCACTAGAAGAAGACACGCTAGAACCTCTGTAGGTTCTTTCATGAACTGAAGGTGTCAAATCCATATCAGTTTCTCGGTCTAGAAATGAAATGGAGACCAGCATTAACCAGTTGAAAATGGACAATGACATCATTTGTCAGAGGACACACTGGGAAATATAAGCGACACACAAGAAACAAGATAAATTAAATAACATTGACTTCGGATGAAAATTTTGTTGCACAGCGTTGCAAGAACATAAATTTTAATGTCATTGCCTTCAAACGAGTAAAAGATGACAAGACAACACTTACCGAAAAACGAGGATGTGTCTGAGGTGATGTCACTAGAATTGATTCCAGCAAAATCGACATACTGGGGGGCTCTAAAGTTATCGTAGATCGACATGATGACAGCTCCTCCGTCAGCATAAACTGATAATCGGGGTATATAATTCGGGAATCAACAGAGAAATATTACCTAACAAATCTGAGACATGTGGTTGAAGTCAAGTGGAGGAAGTAGAACTCGAAATTTCCTCAGCCGCGGATGTCTCTTCACAGTGCAGGAATGCCACAACTTGCACATCAAAGAAACTCGGAAGGGTGACAGCCTTCCTCGAAAACAATACTTTTTGAACACAAAACTATTATGCTCTAAAACATGAAAAACAGAAAACGTATTTTTTGGGCCGTTCGGAGCTCAAAAAGACGCGTAAAATTAAAAATAGAACATTGAAAGGTTGGTAATGAAAGCGAAGTGTTAAATTTTTCATACAAGAAGACCAAAGTACCGAAGGCAGAGATAAAGCCGAAGGTTATAAAACTATAATAATAAAACAAATAATATAAGAAAATCTATAAATTAAGAGGCCTCCTTAGATATTCCCTGATATTCCCTTGACTTCTCCGTAGCCACAAACCAAAGTATACAAATTCTACCGGCTACCTTTTCGGGACCAACCGTCGATTTTTGTTGCCAACCAAACAAAAGCTAAATGTTTCAATTTCTTCCCTTTTACACGTCCCTTGCTCAGAAATAGTTGAAAGAAATGTTTCTGAAAACTGTTAAACACATTTTTTAGGTTTTAAGCCAAATAAATTAAAGATTGTTAAAAATATGGGTTGCCATGTCATTTTTTCGTGGTGTGTGCTCCTTTGAGGAGGCACACATTCAAATCCAAACCCAAACAGTGGGAAGTGGGAAGTGGGAAGCTGCTTGTCGAACTTGTCGAGGGGTATCATCTCATTCAGTATTTTCAAAGTTTTGCCATTATGGACCCTGTTCTTCCTTTCCGTATACTGAGTCCGGGGTCACGGAAACCGAAACTCAATCATCGTTTCAGTGAGTGCAATAATTGCCGAAATAGTTAATACATGTCTGCTAGTGCCGTGACATCCCATTTTGTCTGGTTTTGTTTCAGAAGACAGTAAGCTATCTCTGAAGTTGCGAAAGGGTACTAATGTCGAACACCGTAGCAAAGAAAATAGGGATCCTTTACTGAGAGAAGGAAAAAATCCTAAAACGTCTGGCTTGAGACATGAGGACTCAGATTTGATGACATCTGATGAGTCTAATGACAGCATGGAACGGTTCAGTCATCCAAACTCTGTTCTTTCTATCAACACTCAAGAATCTACTTTTTCTCTTCCTGTTGCTGAGTCTACAAGGTGTGAGGTTCAGTCTGTGAAATTATGCCCAGAGTCAACAATTGCTACTTTGCACACAGCAAGCAACGGCAGCGATTCTTCAGCTGCCACAGAATACTTCACTGCGTATCCTTTACCAGTGGGCTGTGATGAGAGTATTGTGTGCATATCAGATTCATCACCAGAACCGGACAGGAAAGCAGTTGCTTCAAAGAACAGAGTGTCTGAATCTGTACTCATTTCTTCTGATGAAAGTGACAATGAGCTCCCATGTGCTTTACAACAATTTTCTACAACCAGGAAGAAACTGTGCGATACTTTAGATCTTGAAAGTTCGACAAGTGGTTTGGATCATTCTGATGAAGAAGATATTGTGATTCCTCCCAGTGTGAAAAGTGACACTAGTTCAGTTGGGAGTTCCGATATCGTCAAAAGACAACCTAATCATGATCTAGTGATTCCTCCTAGTCCTGACAAATATTCTCAAAGTGACATTATATCAGAGGATAGTTGTAGTGAGAAGGAATTATCAAAAGCACCTGAAAGGAGACAAATGGAACGTCCAGGCTGTTCTGGTGTTAATGCAGCATCATGTGACAAAACAGCAAGTTGCTTACCATCATCTGACTGCGGGTTAGATGAATCGTCTTGGAAAGAAGACTTTCATTTGGTCTTGCCAGACTCACAGTCATTCTGTAACACCAAACAGGCTAAGTTCATGGAACTTGATTCCAAGGCAAACAAGCCTGATTGTGTGAAAAACATTATTTCTAAAGAGAAATATGATGATATTGCAAGGTATTTCATTTGTATACTCAAGAAAACCAATAGACACCTTAAAAATTTTATATTATTTTTACTCGTTATTATTGTTTTAGGTGGATTATTCGGGGACAGACATCATCTGGAGACGGCTCAAATGAAGAATCTTCTCCAGTTGAGCAAACTGAAACCACTCCATCAATCTGTGACAATAGGACTCAAGGATGTCCTAAACTTGACAGGTAACTTTTTATTCCCTGGTTAAAATTCCTGTTTTATTGAATTTGTTGTATTCATCAATACCTTGCTTATATTTTATGACCAATTTAGGCTTCCTGCTGCAAGGAGGGTCTCCCTCAGTAGTGATAGTGAAGATGACAATTTTCATGCATGTAAGTACAACTAAAGAACTTTGGCACTGTTCACTAGAACCCTTTTCATTTCTTAGATCATTAAGCACAAGAAATTTTCAATGCAAGTTTATTTTAATTTATCTTATTGCAGTGATAGATTCGGTGAGAAAAAATCGCATTAAGAATCATGAGAAAATCAATGCTAGAGATGACTCCTTTAATGACGGTTCATTTATTGATGATGATTGCCGAAGTGATATGGTTGAGTCCCCATCTTTCAATGTTTACCATTCTGACTTGACTAAGTCAATCAGGACTGAAGTGAAGTCTGTAAGAAAGTGAGTTGTTTTTTAAAGTCCTGCTCAAAGTTGTCTGTTGTTCTTTTTCTTTAAAAATTAACTTTGTTTTCTGTTGCTGTTAAGGACTGTGCAATCTATCAAGAAAAAACAGTTTTTCCGCAACTTGTACCATTCTGATGAGTTCCATGAAGATGATACAACAGCATCTTCCATTAACAAACCAAAGGCCTCTGTAAGTGTGTTGTGCTTTTTTTTTGTTTTGATCTTGTGGAAGATTGTCTATCTTTACAGCTTTCCCTTTTGTATTCCAGTTCAAAAGTTCAAGAATAGCCATTCAATATTCAAGTGGTAGTGAGGGTTCAGAAACAGATTTTGAAATTTCAACCAAAGGAAGAAAAACTCCTGGTAATAAAGAAGATAGAAAGCTGACAAAACATTATGATAATAATTGCAGTGATGACTCAGAAGCTACTTCAGACAGCTCTGGTTTTGTACAGAGAAAGACGGAAGTTGGATCATCTTCAACTAGAAATACCAAAGACAAAAATATTGATTTGAATGATTCTGACATTAAGATACCCCCAGAGTCACAAGTGTCCAGTTGGAGGAAAGTGGTTAATCCTCCTTGTAGCAGCTCTGAAAGTTCTGATTCAAAGTCTTCAAAAACAGACTTGATTAAAAAACTCACAAAAAAAGATAATGTGAAGAAGCCTGCTCATATATCCACAGGTGAGAATTGCACCTTTGCACTTAATTCAGGTTAATATTGTTTGCCTCGTGAACTTTCTCAATTATTTGCATTTTCTAGTATCCGTGACACCAAAGAATATTGCTTCTTTGAAGTCTCCTGGGAGGCCATATTCTCCCATTCGAACATTTTTGTCTTCATTGTCAGGCAAGTCTCCTGCTATACATAAAGTACTATGATGTAAAATAAAGTATCTTTATCTCAACTGTATAGTTGTAGTCATGTGCATGAAAAAAGTTTCTTCATTATTTATATGAATGCATTCTTTTTTTTTTTTTGGCATCCCTTAGGGCCAACTCACGAGCCAGGAGTACGTGACCATCCAGAGGCAGCTGTTTACAACAAAAACTTCAAAGCAAAGAAGGAAGAGCTTACTCGTCGCTTGTTCAAGCTCTTCAACAGAGAGGTGTTTGATAAAAGGGTAAGAATGATCTTTTATGCTCTTAGATGATGATGATTTGGTTCCCACAAACTCAAAAGTTTCAATATTGTAGCTTCCTGATGACATGCTGCTGGAATGGAATGGACGTTTAGTGCGAACTGCTGGGCTGTGTTACTGTAAACTTATACGAAAAAATGGAGTGACAACACGGACATCAAAGATCTCCTTATCCACGAAGGTCATTACATCCCCGGATCGTTTGAGAGACACATTGATTCATGAGATGTGCCATGCTGCTGTATGGCTGCTGAATAACATCTCCGGTGGACATGGTCCATTCTGGAAATCATGGTATGTCAAAAGCCTCAAAATTCAAGCATATCTTTGCTTCTTATTAGCTTCCAGTTCATAATGTTGCCCAATTCTATTTTTTAGGGCACATAAAGCCATGAAGAGATTTCCAGAACTTCCGTCAATTGAGCGGTGTCATACATACAATATAGAAACAAAATTCACATACAAGTGCACCAAATGTGGTTACAGGTAAGTTTCAAGTTTTATGTGCAGATTTTATTTCTTTCAATGTCCAAATTGCTTAGTTTATGTCTCCAATATCCAATATACATTTGTGCTCTGTGATGTCTTTTTCAGTTTTGGTCGTCATTCTAAGTCTTTGGATTTGGACAAGAAACGTTGTGGTTACTGTTACGGTCGTTTTGAAGTGCTTCTCTCTTCACAAGTCCAAGGCCAAAACAATCCAGAGAAAGTTATGAAGACGCCCAGAGCACCAAATGCTTTTGCTTTGTTTGTGAAAGAAAACTATGGAACTATCAAGCAAGGAAATGCACATTTGAAACATGGTGACATCATGAAAAAACTTAGTGAAAATTTTGCATGTATGAAGGTAAAATCATCCAATTAATTTTATTCTTTGTAATTTGTTTCCTGCGATCTCAAGTTATGCATGGGATTGGGACAAGCCAATCCTCCAAATCCTGCATTTCCTTTCATTTAACATAGCTCAGTTATTGTTCCGGTATAGTATTTATCTTACAGTAAATATTTTATGTCTATTGTGGATTCTATTGGTTTTAAATTTGCTGTTGTGAGACAAGCCTCAGTACAAATCTAATCACTTCAGTGCTTTAAGATTTACTTGCAGGTGGCAAATTTGTTTTTCTAATTCATTTTTTAACTTTTGTTGACATATTTTATGTTTAGTTTTTATAAAAACTATCTCTGTTTGAATTAACTTTAAACAATTTGTAGTAATCTGACTGAAATTAATATAATATACTTGATTACATTTTAGTGACTGTGCTTGTTATTTTACTTGTCTCCTCACCAAAATTTCTTCTTAGCAGTGGCGTGGTCCAACTATTCTTGGGTGCCATATTCCAGCATAAGGGCTATGTTTTATTCCCATTGTTTGCCTTGGTGCCACAGGAAGGTTTACTATGACCTGCACAATTGGTTGAATAGCAATAATACAGTGTGAATGTAAGCAACTATCACTTATTGTTAACTACAGAGGACTCACTCTCTCTGGACAGTAGGATCCAGGCCCGGGCAATTCATCCCCCATGTATCCAAAAAGTCTTTCTCGAATGGTATATTGAGGAGCATGGGGTAGTGTTTTGTTGGAGAGAGAATAGGCACCTGGACCAGGAGTCTCCACTGGGACCTTGACACTCAATCTGTGTGCCATGTGATGTGCAGGAGGGGTGTGATGATGAATAGTAGGGAGAGTATATTCATTTGGTGCTGTCATTTATAGATAAGGCTTGAGTTCATTGCACAGGGTAGGCAGCCCTTGTTACCTTCCTCCTAATGCACTTTTACCTGGTGTTTTGAATGTTGCTGCAATCTCTGGTTTTGTGCGAAATGTGAAACAAGGTGCACTTTTCAACACCAATTTGCTCTTAGTCTTGTAAGATGCTGGCCCAGGAAGGTCTTGGATTGGCCGATTTTTTGGCTTGATTCCCATCGTGTATTGTGGAGTTGATGTCTTGCCTGATACATAAATTACATTCAGTTGGGTCATAACATCTGTTTGTCTTCTTCCTCTTCCCTGTAACTTACCACCTCTGGCTGTAAGGTTCCGTATACAATATGAATTGGGACTTGCTTGATAGTGGTTGATTTTTTGTTCAATCCTGTGTGGGATAGTAATGAAGACTTTGGTCTATAAGGCTAGCATTATATCGTGAATAAAGAATTAAATGGAACCATGGTCTTTGATGTAAACCTTGGATGTAAACTCCATGCTGGCTGATGAATTATTGAAGAATTCATTACTTGTCTCCCTTGAATAAGAGCAAAGTTTATAAGAGATGTCTCCACATTTTCTCAAGTTTCAGATATTTTTTTTTTCAAAATACTGGCTCTAGGATTTTACTCAACTCACCTATGAAGAAACACATTGGCATAGAATCAGGTCCAGGTGTTGAATATTCTGCTACAATTGGCATTCGTTTTCGAACAGGGGTCCATGGCTTTTGAACGTAAAGTGTATCTTTTTTAGCATGACAACCTCCTGGCAGTAAGAGATCTGATGACATTGAACTTGCCATCACTTTCCTTGTCTGTATTTACTAGTTGCCTGAATTTTAACAAGAAGAGTTGCCGGAGTTGCCCGTCTTAAGCATGCCCACGGCAACAATGTCCAAATTGTACATAACAATGGGGTATTGGTTGGCAGTTTTTGGTTCTAGCCAGGTTCTAGCACGGAGTGAGGGAATGACAAAGCTTGTTACGTGACAGTTGCCTGTCAAGCAAATGACGTTTGTAATAGTATTCTGGATACTTCGGCAGGTGACGCAAACGTGGGGGTATAGCTCAGTGGTAGAGCATTCGACTGCAGATCGAGAGGTCCCCGGTTCAAACCCGGGTGCCCCCTCTCCTTTTTCCGTCTCCGCGAAATATACAGTTTTACTAGACATATCGTAACTTCATGATATTATGAAGTATTAATAACGTTTGTTCTGGAGTTTGGCACATTTCACCACAGTAATAAAGGAATAACTTTAACGAAGACGAACAAAACCACCCAACACCCACCCACCCTCCCGAAGCCACCGAAGTTGGTTAACCTGCCAAAGCAGAAAGTAAGCAGGCAAGCAGACGAAGCAGACTAAAAAACCTTTCTCCTGTGAGAAGAAAACGCGTATTCTATCAATTCCGTCCTTGGTCCTGCTTTTTGCATTATCATCTTATTGAGATGGGCATCTTGTGTTTACAGCATGTTCTAGAGAAACTATCTTACGTGCGTCGAGGTTAGGCTCATCTTCGAGCTTTTCTCGACAAACCTACAACTGAGAAATCATTGTTTACTGCCATGTCAGCTGCCAAAGGAGCCGCTAAAGGATTTCGAAAAGGTTTAGAGAAGAAAATTTTTCATGGAATCCTCAGAACACATATTCCAGCCGGCATGGCCTCTGGGTCCCCGCCACTAGGAACTCAGCTTGGGCAGGTACTGTTCCATTTGTTTATTTTTTACGTGTTACTAACTACCCGTAAAGCAATTGCTCAGTACACAAAGAATGCTTAGTCTAAAGGAATTCAGAAATTGTTTTTTTAACTTTCGATTAGGGAAGCTCTATTCCAGTCTCTAAATAAAGAGGCATTTCTCTCACACCGAAGTCTGAGTTTGAATTTGCACATTTGGAGGAAAAAACCCTTCATAATGAAATTCATTTGACATGCCTTTAATTTTTGTTGTTTGGTTATGTAATGACCTAAATCACTAATTGTTTCTATGCCATCAGAGAGGTGTCAACATACCTGGATTTGTTAAAGATTTCAATGAAAGGACCAAGAACTACAGACCCGGAGTTCCTCTCCTAAGTATTGTCCAGGTGAAGCCAGACAGATCCTATAAGCTCAACATCCAGCTTCCTCCTTTTCCTTACTATTTGTTCCAGGCTGCTGGTATTTCCAGAGGAGCTATGCAATCTGGTTAGTTGGTTTTCCAAATGAACATTAAATGATGAACGGTAGATGCCCATTTTGTCTAACAAACTATTAATGGTTTCAGGGCGGGAGATCGCTGGTAAAATAACTTTTAAGCACTTGTATGAAATTGCACTGATAAAAAGTCAAGATATTGCTTACCAAGCTAGTACTATGCAAGAAATTGTAGATGTAGCAATGCATTATGCCAGACAGAGTGGTATTGCTGTTGTTAAAGACTTAAACCCTGAGGAATATGCAAAATTTCTTCAAGACAGACTTAAAATCATTGAAGACCAGAAGGCTGAATTGCAAGCTAAACGAGAAGCAAAGCTCCTGAGAACTGGATAGTGTGGAAGATATGGATAGATTAAACCAGTAGAAATAATCCAAAGACTGAAATTTATTTTTATATCCCTAGTTCATTTGTCACAATTTTCCCAAGCAGGTTTGATGGGATGACATTAATATATAATTTATTCTCCTCCATAAATATACCGCAATGTTGCCTGTTGTTAAATGGCAGTCACAAGGAGCACTTAAGAACGATATTCTAATCCTCCCTGATTCCCAGAAATTTTTTTTCTGTTCTTCACTACTATTTTTTGGCGATATTTTTCAATTTTCTTTGACACTTTCCCTTTCTTTTTTAATTCTTCATATTGATCAATAAGATCAACCATACGTTTTTCCACTGTAAATAAAATAATACAAACATGAGAGACAGCCTACAACAATGAAGACATTGTAGCATAAAGCACATGTGAGACCTTTACCTTTCTTCCTAAAGTACGGCGTTTTCCCTTCTTTCATAGCTTCAATTTGAGCAGTCTTCTCCTCTTCTTCCCTTGCTTGTTTCTTCTTTTGTCGCTCTATTTCTCTAAATTGATTTTCCTGGAGTAACCACCAATAGATAAGTGAAATCATACATATCAGAGTTTCCACATAGTACCACAGAAAAATTAAAACATTACCATTCGCTGGACTAGGTATTTAATTTGTGACTTCCTTGTGGGATCTGTCGTGGTTTTTAATTCTTCTTTTAGCTGTTTTAACTCTGATCGCTTGTATTCAGATATAAAGCCATATGCTGCTTTGAAAGCCTGGAAAAGAAAATTATTAAGGGACAATAGTCTATTATCTACAGTGCTGAGCTAAGTACTAACTCTGCCCAAGCATGACTACTCACTTTTTCATTAAATTCGCCACATAAACTGTCAAAACGTGGGTCTCTGGGAGGTTTCTTCGTTACAGGCAAAACTTGTTGCAGAACTGGTACTGGTTTCTTCGATGACATTTCTCTTGGCCTTAAAAAGAGAATGGAGAATGAAAACAAGCACATTCACAATGTATTTAAATGTATTTGAAAATCAGTAGGCAGAAGAAAACATAGAGAAAGGCATCACCTGTTTTTGTTTTCTCTTTTGAATCGGTTCCTATGAACTTCCCTTTTGCCAAACATAGCTTCGTTATAGACTTTAGTACCCAATTTTTCCTTCAGCTTCTGTAACTCCTCAAAGCTCATGGTTGACAGCTCATCGCGTATTTTGGTCTGGAAGCATGCGAGGTTAATTAAATATCATCAATCATCAAGGCAAATGAAATTCCACATCGAAAGGCATGTACCCTTTCTTCTTCATCATCACGGGGTTCTTCATGTTCCATTTCAATGACAATTACCAGCCAACTCTTTGGAAAAAAGGTGGTTTGTACGTGAAGTACGTGAGCGTGAATTCCAGGTTATGTTGATTTTGGTTTTCGTCGTCGTAGTTCAAGGGATGAAAAATCTGAGGGCCACTAGAGTCCTATACTCAGACAACAACAAAAAGACGACCGAAGACGACAAGACACACGTGCGATATCTGAACCTCACGAAAAGCGATGGATTAATGTAGGAGAAGAAGCATTAAGTGTAGATATAGTGCATTCATCAAGTGCTTTCACCCCATCGAGTGTGAAAAAGTAGTGATTTGACTTTGTGAGTCAGAATATTAGGCCTATGCCCTGTGGGCACTCGTGTGTCAAGAGGTTATGTTTGTGTAGTGGATAAGAAAAACACCTTGCACATTGTGTGCGTTCCCTCAAGATGCCTTCAGGAAGCCGAGTTTTTCTTCAAAATAGGGCTCTGGGATATGTCAGCAACCATATTCCTCTTGTGGTGCGCTACATTCAGAGACGAAAAGAGAATTTGATTGTCACTTGCACAGGCAAGTCCTTTCATACATATGCTTGTTCCCATTTCACTCTCCTGAGTGTTTGTTCCAAACACACGTCGGAGATCACTTGCATGGCAGCGGATACTTACCTCATCTACACAGCTGCTGACAATGTGATTTACGCTTGGCGCCGGGGAACTGAGTTGTCCCACACATACAAAGGACATGAACATCCAGTGCATATCCTTTTGCCTTTTGGACCTCATTTGATATCAGTTGATGATTTGAGCAACTTGAAAGTTTGGGACGTCAAAGCAGAATCATCGTATTTGGAACTTTCATTTGATAATGAGGTATTCAGCATCAGCACAGCTTTGCATCCTAGCACATACATCAACAAGATTCTCCTTGGAAGCCAACAAGGTGCATTACAGCTGTGGAATATACGCACTTCAAAGCTTGTCTATTCCTTTCTCGGGTGGAATTCTGCTGTGACAGCTTTAGAACAGGCTCCTGCCATTGATGTGGTCGGCATAGGCCTGGCCAACGGCCAAATAAAGCTGCACAACTTAAAATACAATGAGACCATCGTTGAGTTTTCTCAGGATTGGGGTCTGGTCACAAGTCTTTCGTTTCGTACAGATGGTCATCCAATTATGGCCTCTGGTAGTTTATGTGGTCAAATTGTGTTTTGGAATTTAGAAGAGAGAAAAGTAGTGACACAATTGCATGCCCACAGTGGAGCAGTGTCAGGCTTGCAGTGCCTGCCCAATGAACCGCTTATGGTTACGTCATCGGCTGACAACTCTGTGAAACTGTGGATTTTTGACATGCCTGATGGTGGTGCTCGCCTGTTGAGGATCAGAGAAGGTCACAGAGCCCCTCCATCTTGTATTCGTTTCCATGGAAGCAATGGTGACAATATTTTAAGTGCTGGTGGAGATTCCTCACTTCGAATATTTTCAACTAAAACTGAAACCTTTAACAAGAGTCTAGGACGTGCTTCTTACAACAGGAAATTGTCGAAGAGCAAGGGCGCTTCTAAAGATCCTTGCAAAATGCCTCCTATTGTAGAATTTACCTCAGAAAGTACAAGAGAAAAGGAGTGGGACAATATTGCTGCAATCCATTTAGGGCTTAGTGTTGTGACCACATGGTCTTATGATAAAGTGAAGATGGGTGACCTTAAATTGGTTCCTGAAAGACTGAAGAAAAAACATAATGAGAGCAGAAATAAACTTAGCAAAGTTACTGCCACTTGTTTGTGTTTGACACACTGTGGCAACTTTGTTGTTGTGGGGTACAGCTCTGGTCATGTGGATCGATTCAATATTCAGTCTGGGATCCATCGAGCTACTTATGGAACCCCAGTGGCTCACAAAGGACCCGTGAGAGGAGTATCCACTGATGGACTGAATCAAATAGTCATAACAGGTGGAAGTGACACCTGTGTTAAATTCTGGCACTTTAAAGATGAAGGTAAGCAATCATTCATAGCTTAGAATATTCATACTTCTCATTAATTTTAAAGATCAAATGAAATAAATTGTACTTTTAATTTTTTTAAACAGGTAAACCAGCGTTTGGGAAGGTACCTGTTGATGAGGCTGTAGCATTCTTCCATGCCCATCATGAAAGTGCTATGCTGGCGGTAGCACTGGAAGACTTTTCTATTGTTGTTGTTGACATTGATACAAGAAATATTGTCAGGAAGTTTGTTGGGCATAAAGCCCAATTAACGGATGCCACTTTTAGTCCTGACTCTAGGTGGCTTGTTACATCAGCAATGGATTGCACTATTTGCTTGTGGGATGTTCCCTCTTCGCAGCTCATTGATTGTTTCCAGGTGACTTTCCTATCCCCTGTAACACAATTTGTGTTATTTTTCTTTGAATTTTAAATATACTGGACTTTTGCAGGTTGATGCTGCTTGCACATCTCTGAGTTTTTCTCCTACTGGTGAATATTTAGCAACCACTCATGTGAACCAGCTTGGTCTGTACCTCTGGTCCAATAGAACTCTTTACTCACATATTTCCCTTAGACCTCTTTCTTCTGTACCTGAAAGTATACCAAAGGTTAGTCATATCAAATCTCCTATAATTGCAATCCTCATTCAGGCCCTTAAAAATCAAGAAAGATTAAAAAGTGATTAGTTATATGAAAAGTTGCAAAATAAGAAACAAGCTAATTTTTAAATTTCCTTTTTTATCTGATATTGATTTTTTTCTATAACTCAGGTTGAGCTACCTGCTTCATCTTCTGATGAACTGCAGTCATCACATAATGATGATGAACCACTCCCATTAGATGATGATGAACCAGAGTTCACTTCACCTGATCAACTTGCTGAAGACCTTATTACTTTATCACTGGTATCCAATGCAAGGTTTGTTTGATTTTTGAATCAAAACTTGACTCTCAATACTTTATTGGTTTAAGATAATAATGATTCTTCAATTTCACAGGTGGCAAAATCTGTTGAATATTGACCTCGTTAAGAAGAGAAATAAGCCCAAGGAAGCACCCAAAGCACCCAAAGCTGCTCCTTTCTTTCTACCAACTTTGCCAACACTACAAGATTTTGAATTTGATATTTCAGGAGCTCTTAACAAAGATGAAGGGGGCTCTAAGATTCTGGACTTAAGTGCAATGCAGTCTCTCACGGCATTTGGGAAAGCTCTCAACAAATGTTCCCAGGATAATTATTCACCGGCTTTCTCTTTACTGAAGGAGATGGGTCCTGCTGCTATTGATGTTGAAATCAATTCCTTGCCTCCGGAGGGTGGTGGATCAATTGACCTCATGCTCAAGTTTATGAAAATGATCAACACTGGCTTTGAGTCAAATAAGGATTTTGAACTCGCTCAGGCCTACCTTGCTCTATTTCTCAAAGTACATGGAGATACTATTTCCCAAAATGAAGAATTGAAATCTTATATTGATGTCCTGATTGAAGGCCAGCAGGCAGGATGGTCAAATTTGGAAAATAGATTACAGTATAATTTGTGTGTTGTTCATGCATTGAAGAATATATAAAATAAACTTGTATACTTAGGCGGTATTCAATGCCTATTATTAAATACCCTTTCCTTACAGGCTCACTCAAGAGAGTGCTGCATTATAAATTTCAACTCTGAAAATATCTACAATAATATACACCCGGATAAAGTATCGACTGGATAACCACTGAAAATTCCCCCAATCAATTATAGAAGGTGTAGTACAGGTGTCTGTCTAGTTACACCCGCCCGCCCACGCCCACCCTGTATTTATTTCAAATCAGTCGCGCTACGTGGGTAAAATCTGCTCGTTTGTTTTGACGGCATTACCAACAAGCTCTGTCGAGATTGGCTGGTCTCGAAACACTTCTTTCACGTTGAGAGTAGCCGAAGGCATTTTAAGTTCTCCTGTTGATAATGTTCAGCGGGTTCGACTCTTATTTGGAGCTGAGTTGGATTTTTTTCTCTAGGATATGCTGCGATAAGCAAACGTCTTCATTTTTTGGCAGTTGGTGGTTTTGCTGCTGAAATATCCGCCAACAACAAAGCACGATCAAGCATCACAACAATCATATCGCGGACTTGGGTTGCATTTGATTGGGTAAAAATGATACCTCACAATTAGTTTCAAAACTCTAAGTAGACGTCGAAACCTTCCAAATGATACCAAATTCTTGCTTGCAGGAAGTTGCAGATTGACGCACCCGTTGGGAAACCTAACCTATTGTTGTCTCACTCATCATCTGATTGTCCTATTATTGTGGGTGAAACCACTCACATTTTTAGGGACATGTCGTCACTAACAGATGAGCAAAAAGCCCGAATGGAGGAAAACCGAAGAAAAGCAATGGAAATTAGAGCGGCCAAGATGAAACAGCAGATTCCTACACAAAGCTCTGCGGCAGCTAGTAAGCATTCATTTCCCATAAGCAACAATCCAACAACTTACCCAAAGAAGACATTTCCAAATACTCCTCCTGGTGCTACACCTCAAAAGTTTTATTCAATTCAGTCTTCGAAGAAAAGTGTTTCTGAACTACGTGGAGATTTGACACTAATATCTGAAGATCGGTTTGAGTTGAACATGGCTTACCATCAGACCACTATTGATGCCTTGAAAAAAATCTCAGGAAGGGAGTATGGTGAGATCATAGGTATAGAAAAGTGAGCCTACATTGCCTTTTCTCTAGTGACCCATATCTTGTATTTTTTAGATTCTGTTAAAAAGAACTGGAATTTTCCTCTTGCCCAATACAATAATGTGCTAGCTACTCTCAAGAACTTAAATGTTCTTGTTGGTGAATTGTCTCCATTGGTTATCAGTGTAAGAGTCTATTATTTATTTCCAGTATGTTTTGAAGTGTTTTTTTTTCTTGCTTGCCAGAATTTTAAAAAATATTTGAAATTATGAATGTATTGTGAATTAACTTTTTCTGTTATTGCAGACATTTTTGAAACGTAGAAAATACCCTTCAGACATAGATCTTGCACGGATTCACCCATCAATGAGATCCACTCTCATGGATTTTCAAATTGAAAGTGTAAGGTATGTGTTTCACAATTTCTCCAAACAGACATTATACTATTTATCTTTTATTTGCTAAACTTTTGGTCATTCCTAACTATTCACACACTTGTGTTTCAAGGTATGCTGTGTCAAGAGGAGGTCGGGTGTTGATTGCAGATGACATGGGTCTTGGTAAAACAATACAAGCCCTAGCGATTGCTGACTATTACCGCAATGAATGGCCTCTTTTAATAGTGTGCCCATCTTCCATGCGGTATGCATGTTCTCACTATAACTTTTAAACTTCTTGTGGAGTTTTGAATCTAAAATCATGGGTGTCTTTCAGTTTTCAGTGGGTGGCCGAAATTCATAAACATTTAATGCATGTAAGTCCTGAGACAATATTTGTCATCACTACCGGGAAAGATGCACTTGATAGCAGTTTTCAAGTAATCATTACTTCTTATGACCTAATGGCAAAATGCAAAGACAAACTTCTTGTTCGGAAATTTGGTGTGGTTATAATGGTATGCTTTGTCCTTGACAAGTTTGGGTAATTTAACAGGATCTCTCTTTAATAAATAATTTATTTTTTCTCAAAAAAAAAAAAAAAAAAAACAACTTACAGGATGAAAGCCATAGTCTCAAGAACCCTAAGGCAATAAGAACAAAAGTTGGCACAGAAATCTTGAAGAAATGTAGTCGATGTGTTCTGTTAAGTGGTACTCCTGCTTTGAGTCGTCCAGTTGAATTGCACTGTCAATTGCAAGGTGTAAAACCTCAGACTTTCAATAAGTATGTTCAGCCTCTTCTTTAATTCTCTGTAAACATCTTAATCTTGGTTAATTTTGAACATCACTATTTGTTTGCCTTCAGGTTCATGGAATTTGGTCTTAGGTATTGTGATGGTAAAATGTCACGCTTTGGCTGGGATTTCACTGGCTCCAGTCATATGACAGAATTAAGTGTTGTCCTGAAAGAACTCCTAATGATCCGACGTCTGAAAGCTGATGTCCTCGCTCAGCTGCCTCCTAAAAGAAGGTCCTTGAAGTTTATATCTTGTGAAAATAATTTCTGATATGGTTTCATTGAAAGTTTTTAACCAGATATTTAAATTTGTATGATTGTAATTCTTAGTATTATGAAGTTTTTATATTTTTATATATACTCTCTTTCCACTCTAGGGAAGTTGTTATTTTGGAATCATCTGGAAAAAGCCTGAGTGAAACATCAGAGTTTGCCAAAGCTCTTCAGAAAGAAGGGTTGAAAGGCCTGGAGAAACAAAGCACCATGTTCTCATATTTCATGGAGACTGGTTTATCGAAAATCAATGGAGTGGTGTAAGTTGTTTTTCATCCTCTTTTACTGTTGCTGCTGCAAGCATCATAATTTTTATAAATGGTGGCTCCTCATTTACATTTTGAATCTTACAGACAATATATATGTGATATGCTCGATAATGGAGAGAAATTTCTTGTGTTTGCTCATCATGCTAAAGTTCTTGATGCAATTTGCAATGCAGTTGAATCAAAAAAGACTGAGTAAGTTATAGATTTAGTCATGATGCAGTTAATGCCATTGCTGTTGTCGTTCAGTTAGTAAGCATCTTTTCTTTTATCCTCTTCAGTTACATCCGTATTGATGGCAGTGTGCCTTCAGACGTCCGCAAGCAACTGTGCAATCATTTCCAGGAACAGGAGAGTTGCCAGGTTGCTGTGCTGTCCATCAAAGCAGCTAACACGGGCCTAACACTTACAGCTGCTCGTCTAGTTATTTTTGCTGAACTATATTGGAATCCTGGGGTGAGATAGAAAAGTGTTCAAATATTAACAAGCCTTCATTAATTTTTTTAAATGGCCTAGAAGTAATGATTTTTAGTTCTGGTCTATTTTAAGAAGACAATTTTAGCTCTTGCTCTAATAGTGCCTGCATGTTTCGTTTTACAGGATCTTATACAGGCTGAAGACCGAGCCCATCGCATTGGACAGGCAGATAGTGTACTCGTGCAGTACCTCATACAAGAGAAATCAGTTGATGATATAATTTGGCCACTTATTCAAGACAAACTGAATCTTCTTAACAAAGCTGGGTTGTGTCAGGATAAATTTGCTGTGGAGCAGGTGCAGGTAAGGTCTACTCAAAATGTCAATTCAATTGATACTTAAGTTCTGATAAAAATATTTGTAATCTGTCAATCCCTACAGAGCAAAAAGCAAGAGAAAGTAGAGTCTGAAGCTGCTGATTACTTTCTCCCAGATGATGATGCTGTATTGGCAGAGCTTAACCTTGATGAATTGGAAAACTCTTTTGAAATGCCAGAAAAGAAACCTCGTTTTCAATAATAATAGTAATAATAATTGAAAATTAGTAGTAATTTTACAATTAAATGTCATTCCTCTTGATCTCAATGGACACTGTGCTGTATTCTTTCTTGTAATGTCCCTTTAATGGCTATTTTCTGTATACTTAAAATGAAATGGTGAGCTCAAAACAAGGAAAGACTTGTGACAATTATATTCTGTGATTTTGTATTTGCATGCACATGTATTTGTATGCTTGAAGTTATGAAATTAAAGTTTGAGATTAATAAATTTCAGTTAAACTGCACATGCAATGAGTACTTGAATCTAATTATTTCACAAATAATGGTGTTCTCTTGCACCAAGATTTCACCTTAGTTTAGAAAGAACAAAGCAAGAACTGCTTAAGAGACTGAATGCTTCTTTATGGATAAACTCTCGTCAGCCTCAAAAGAGCTCGTTACTGTTTTTGTCACACCTCAAAACGCTCCCGAAGCATATATTTCTTGTTTAGGACCAATAGGACCTTCCTTTCCGCCTCTGTGAGCTTCTCGATATCTTTCAAAACCTTTATTCAGTAAAAGGACAAAAGACAACTGCGCAACTCTATTTTTACCATGGTCACCAACCGTACATCCGAGAGATTTACAAGGAAAGAAATTATTCATGATGACCCTAAAACAAACATAAGACAAAGTAAAGTATTTATTTAAAATTTATGAACTTTTTAAATTAAAGTTTATTTCCTTTTATTGCTCTTTGTGCATACCCTATTACTTTGTTGCGTCTCGTCCGTTGGTAACACTTTTGTTGTGAATGAACTTTGAAAAACGGGATCACTTTTTCATGTGCGTGCTCGGCAGCTGGAACCTTTAGGCAGCTGCTTTCTTGTGTGATCTTGAAGTTTCAACAATTTCGTCAGCTTGTGTTGTGAGTAAACTAAAGCAGATATATATGCTACCTTTGCGATCAAAGTTCTTAAAGGGCCACTTTACGCTACTGTGACAGACAAGACTCAACCAACATGCCGGTCTAGCTCAGATATTTTTGTCGTTGCGTCGTCTCTTCTCTTTCCGTGTCACGTTTATTCCTGTCCGTCAATTTTAAGGTCTCAGTCCACGGCAACCTCCGTGAGCACGACGAAGGGACAGGAACCGTAAAAGTGTTGGAAAGTTCGCTTCTAAACAGAGTCTTTGGGGCATGGAGCGGGGCCTTTGTGCGGGTGGGTTCTGACCAGGTGGGTCGGGTGAGCAGACCTAGAGTCCTTTGTGCTACCTGTGTGGGCTCACCTGCTTGGAATGGTTGTATTGTTGTGACTGGCTCGCTCCAGACACGCCTGCCGAAATAGGTTGACGCGGGCTCCAGAGCCGTTTTAGGTTGAGGTACCTCTAGTACCTCGTTTTATCAAGGTCCCTTTTTGCGAGCACCAGACACTCTATTACAATCACAGACAGGGCGTTGGAAATTATTTTTATTGAAGCGTTCTAATTTCACATTCTGTCATCTCTTGAACATGCTTGATTTTGGTGAGAGTGTGTCGTCAAAGTTGGTACTAATACAATGTCATCTCCAGGTGCACCATGGACCTCAGTGCTTCAAGCACACCGCTGCAGAAGGCCAGAAGAAGAGCCCAAATCTTAGACTCAGACTCTGATGATGAGCGATTGGATCAAGCCAATGGATTAGTCATACCACCATCGGATCCAGAGGATGACGACAGGGCATCATTAATTAATTCGTCCAATTCCAGTGATAGCCTTGTTATGACAACCCCAGTGCAATCTCGTTCCATGCCTAAGCAGAACAACTTACTACGGAGAAGTTTAGGGTACAAAAGTGCTGTAGGAGACAATTTGGAAGACTCTTCACAATACATGAGTTTCCACAGTGCAGCAACTTTCACTCCTGAGAAAGGAAACTCTGGTCTTGAATCGTCTCATCATGAAAGTGATGTTTCCAACAAGTCTTTGGATGTGTCTGCTATATCTGAAGAACATAGCTCTTCCGAAAGTGGGAATGAAATAGAATCATTTCAATCCAGACAAAACTCTCACCAAAATGAAGATGAAATTGAATCATTCCAATCTGAACATAGTTCTATTCCTCTCAATGATAGTGACTTTGGCTTTAAAAATAATGATTGTGATGATGATTCTCAGTCAGATGACTTAAATAATTCAGAAAATGTTGCTAGTACTTCCCATCAACCTGAAAATATAGAGGATAGCGAGTCAGCTCAAAGTGATGAGTTCGATGATGGTGCTGCACATTCTAATGATGACAGTAGGAAAATTGAATCAAATGAAGACATGTATATGAAAGGTGTAGCTCAATCATCTAAGCATGGTATTGATACTTCATATAAGCCTGTGTTGATTCAAGATGGTGATGCATCAAATTCATCAATTTACTATGATGACAGTAATATGGCAAAGAATTTAAATAGTTCAGATGTTGCTACTTCTCTTGATGACAAAGTGAAAGAAGCAGAGTTTTTTGGCAGTCCTAAGAGATCTAGTTTGATTGATCTAACTCAATCAGATTCATCTCTTCAGAATTCACCTGTTGGCGCTACAAGACAAGTAAGTGACCATATTATTAGTTTCGGTGAAATAAGCCTTGAATTATAAAACCCATTTATGTAAATAATTTTTCTCTTAATTTCAGCATGATTTGAAGCAACGAGAAATAGGAGACATAGTAGCAGACCTCTCATCTGTTTCCAATGACATCATGGTAAAGGAGGTATGCACTATTAACTTTGTTCTTTGTTATGTATTGTAATTGAAATGCGATTTTACCATTGACTGCCGTTATATGTTTCAGGCTCTCCTTGATAGCATTAACAACAACACACTCCCAGATAATGGAAGGAACCTGAAAATGATGGTGTACAAACTAAAACTGCAGAAACAAGCACTGGAAAAGGAATTAAGTGAGCATAAGGAAACTGCTGCGCAACAAGCAAGTATGTCTTTTCTTACAGTGGTTTAAACAACCAAGATTTGCAGAACTTCAATTTTCATTGGAAACTAAATATCACTGAATTGTTTCAGCTATTGAGCAAATGCAAACCAACCTGGAGAGGAAATTGCTGTCTTCTAAGCAGTCGACTCTAAACTTTCAGCCTTCTGTCAAGATAGAACAGAGAGAATATGAGAGTATCGACTCTGAAGAAGATGGCAGCCCAAGGTCTCTAAACAGCCATGATTCAATCAGCAAGCCTGAATGGGGAGACTTGCCTAATCCAGACATGACCATATCTGGATTCGGGAAAAAAGGTAACATTTTGAAAGTCAAAGACACATATTTTGAATTTACCAACTTGCATACATATTATAACTAAATTGTTCTTGCATTACAGCCATGCAAACACATTTAGCTGAGAAGTCTCTTACTTTAGAAGCTTTATCTAGTCTGCACAATGCATTAAAGACTTGTCCTGATGAAGACACTTATGCTGAGGATCCTAAATACCTAAGGGTTGAACTGATGCCTCATCAAAAGCATGGTTTGGCCTGGATGCTCTGGAGAGAGCAAGAAAAACCCTCTGGAGGTATTCTTGCTGATGATATGGGATTAGGTAAAACTTTGAGCATGATTTCCCTAATTTTGAAAGATCTTGAAAACAAAGAAAAATCTGATGATGACAGTGAGTCTGATGATGAATCTCCAAGATGGATGTCTTCAAAATACTCAAGAATGGTCAAGGGTGGTACTTTGGTAGTGTGCCCTGCAAGCTTGGTGGCACAGTGGGAGCAAGAAATTTACAGACGAGTTAAGAAAAGGGCACTGTCAGTGGAGCTTTATCATGGTCCTAAACGTGAAAGCAAGCCCCGTCGTCTTGCCAAGCATGATGTTGTTGTCACTACGTACAACTTAGTGAGTAGAGAAAGTGGTGTGGATTCTGCTAAAAATGCTACGAAGATAAAGGATAAGGGCCCATTGTTTATGGTGAAGTGGGAGAGGATAATTTTGGATGAAGCACATATGGTGCGTAACCATAAGAGCCAAATGGCCTTAGGTGTGTGTGAGCTCATGGGGAAGCACCGCTGGTGTTTAACTGGGACACCTGTTCAAAATAAGCAATTGGATCTTTACGCCCTTCTCAAATTCCTTCAATGTTCTCCTTTTGATGATCTTGTTGTTTGGAAGAGATGGGTTGATAACAAGAATGCGGCTGGAATGCAACGCCTGAACACGATGATGAAGTCCTTAATGCTTCGAAGAACAAAAGAACAGTTGCAGGAGAAGGGGGATCTTAACTGTCTTCCGGAAAAGTCCTCTGAACAGATCGATGTGCATCTTGATCCTGAAGAGTTGGAACTATATGAAAAAGTAGCTCTTTTCTCATCCACTTTATTTGCTGAGTTTCTTGTCCAAAGAGCTGAAAAGCAACAACTACTTGATGCTCGTTATGGGATGTCAACAAGACCAGTCTGGGAACAAGAAGGTATGTGAAGAGAACAATAAGTTTATTTTAATGAGTTGTTCAACTTACCCAGCTTGTTAAGTTCTTTTACTTTTATGCTCCCTTTTTTTTTAGGTCGGCCAGATAACCAGTTCACAACCACTAAGGAACTTGCCAACATGCATCGTAAAATGAAGGGCATTACTGAAATTAAAACTCATATGATTTTGGTTCTTTTGTTGCGTCTTCGACAGATTTGTTGTCACCCAGGCTTGGTCAAAAAGGTCGGTATATCAATTGATGATCTGTGTTGTTTTTGTTTCTTGGATTCTTCTTAGACTAATGTGGCTGTATCACTGTGACTATTATTAATAATATTATTATATCCCTTTTTCTCTAACAAAAAACCAGATGGTTGAAAATGGTGATATAGATTTTAATGTGGCCAGTGCTGGAGTTGAAGATGAGGACGGCCTGGATGTCGATCTTTTTAATCAGATGAACAATCTTAATATTGATGAGTCAGCTGTAGAAAGTGAGGAAAATGATGATCCGCTCAATAAATCTGGAATATTTTCAGCTGACAGTCCTGTTCTTAGTTTCGATCGGCCAAGTGCAAAGGTTGGTATGAGTTTCTAGTCTGAGGCATTAATTTTTCCTGATAATTTTCTCACGCCTATATATTTTTTCCTCCAGATTCGAGCTATTCTCGACCTTTTAGAAGAGAAGCTTCTGGATTCTGATGACAAGGCTATTATAGTGTCACAGTGGTCGTCTGTACTCAATATAATCGCAAAGTTCTTGAAACAGATGCAATTTAAATTTGAAACACTGTCTGGTGAAGTTCCAGTTCATAAACGTCAAGACATAGTAAATGATATAAACAGGAAAGGATCTGGTGCCCAGGTACATTAGCATTTCTTTCTGTTAGGGGGTGCTTCACTTCTTTATGAGAGGTCGTATAGTTTGTCCTTTTTGTTTCATTTCAGATTCTTCTCTTATCACTGACAGCTGGAGGTGTTGGTCTAAATCTGGTGGGTGCTAACCATTTGTTGATGGTCGATAATCACTGGAATCCTCAGCTAGAAGCTCAGGCATGTGATAGAATTTACCGCGTTGGGCAGAAGAAACATGTATTTGTTTACAAGTATGTGACGTCTTTTAATTAATTTGCAATTTTGACCTTATTATTTATGTGTGCTATAAGACTAACACAACTTGTCGCAAATTGACCCTAGGTTCATCACAGTGAACACAATTGAGGAGAAAATAGTGTCTGTTCAAGCGCAGAAATTGGCATTGGCGCATAGCGTGCTTACTGGCACAAGGGACATGCAGGCTTCAAAGCTCACTCTGGCAGATTTGCAAATGCTATTCTCTGCTCCCAATCCTGCCCCGGCCCCGGCCCCTGCGCCTGCACCTCAATGAAGCTAGCTACAGCCTTTCCAAATTACACTTGTCTTCATGTTTTGTTTCTTCTCTTATATGAAAATTTTTGCCTTTCATGTGTTTTAATTGGTGCTTTGTTTTTATGTATATTTTATTACCTTCAAATACAATCAATTTCTGAAACTAAGTCTACATCATTTAATTCGACGTTCGACAAACGCAACTAAATGCCTCAATGCGCGGCGCACGCCAATGTCAGGGGTGAAAGCCATACGCCATGCGAAAGGCGAGAGCTGAGTTGTGAGCCAGCCCAAGGAGGGTACCGCATTAGCCGGGCCTCGACAACGGTCCGATTCCGAGAGTCGTCATCACCGCTCTCACTCTCTCGTTCTCATGGGGCGTAGCGCCATGAGACTACCCCTAGTCTCGCGCACGCGCACGTATCGCCCGGTGAGTGCGAGAGAGACGAAGTGACGCAGAATGAGGCGGCTAATGTGGCTTTCTCTTCCCTGCCCCTGTCGCTGTTTGTCTTGGGAAGAACAAGAACGCGGCGGGGCGGGGTCGGCAGTCCGCCCCCGCGGAAGTGCACCTCCCCACCTGACCGTTGTGCATTCGGCAAAGTCGCCTAAAATCACGACCTGATGTGGTTTCGCGGCGGAGGGGGGGGGGGCAGTGCACTCCCGTTCTTGTTTCGGCCGTGACTCCGAGACGCTGCGAGCGTTGAATCGTCTGAGGACGAGAACGCCTGCCCGGTAGGCCGACCCGCCACGCGCCGCAGCCCACAGCCGCGATGGTGGCCTACCCCCGCACCGCAGGGGCTGGGCGGCTGGGCTGGGCTCGGCCGCGGCCCGCGCTCTGGCCGGGCGTGACGAGGGCGTGACGTGGTCGGCGCGGCCGGGGGAAGGCCGAGCGAGACCGCGCGGTACGGCTGCCTGGTGCGGCCTGGTGACCTGGCTGGCTGGCGTGCCGCGAGAGTGAGCGTGGCTGAAACTATTACGCGGCAAATGGCTCGAGAACTCATTGCGAGCAGAGCGAGTCGTCTCGCCCCCGCAGTGGGTTTCGGGTTTCAGGTCTGGCGCAGCCATGGCGCAGCCCGGCCTCAGATCAGTGTGTGTACTTAAACTTGGAACGACACGTCTCCCGCCGCGACTGCTGCGTGCGGAGCAAAGCGGAGCCCCCACCCCACCCCACGGGCCCACGAGGGGCGCGAGTGGCGCGGCACGGCGGCACGGCTGGGACAAGTGGGAGCAAACTTTAATTACTGTAGTCAGCCCAGCCCGGGCCGGACGCGGCCGCAGCCGTGAGGGCCGCGCTAGTACCACGCTCCGTCTGCTGCACCAGCGGGACCGCAGCCGCCAGGGCGCGCCACCCCGCCAGGGCGCGCCACCCCGCCACCCCGCGCTGACTGGGTTAGCCTGGCTGGCCGGCAACTCGGACGTGTTTAACCCACGAGGGCTACTCCATTCAGTAGCTTGTCTCCATGCTCGCAGCGTCTTCTGTAGTATCGCACTACAGAGGCCTTCGGCCGTCTGTCCATCTCTCTCGCACCCACGCTGAGGAGTGCGAGAGAGACAGAGAAAGCGTTGACCTTTCGGGCTGTCCGGCGCGTTGCGACGCCGGGCCGGGACCGCGCACGCCGCGATGGCCTGGTGCCCTGCATTTTTTTTGACGTGTTGAGGGAATGTGAAAAAAGGACCTCGTTTGACTCTACAATGCACAGCGCAATTAAGCGAGAGAAGTGAGAAAAAAAAGTGTGGTAGTGGACTGCGCGGGCATCGGGCAGCGTAGCAGGGGGGACGCGTGCACCGTGCTGTCTGAGCTCAAGTGACTGAAACTTCCTTGAAAGTATCGGCCACTTGTGGGTCAACTGTTAAAAACCGCGATTTTTTTTTTAAAAAAAAGATGATTGGTTTATTCCAAGAGTGAAGTAGTCGATGGTGCCTTGACTGCTGCTTATTTTCGGTGCAGTTCAAGTAGAAACAAAAAGAAAGACAAACAATTTTCTTGCGACTTTTTGTTAGCAGGGCTGCAGCCCCTTCCCACGCAATTCGCGTACGGTTTGTGAAAGCGACGCGCTCCCTGATCCTAGAGGGACTATGGAGGGGGTGGCGCGGGGAGGAAGAGGGGAGGGTGGCGGGCCAGCGGGGGCCTCGCCTGCAGAGCGCAGATCGCTCTTGTATTGTCGACAATCTGTGCTGGTTGACACCCCGATGAGAGCAGAGGCGTATTACAAGTTGGTGGCAAGCAAGGGGATCGTGTGGATTTGGCGAGAGAGGGGGTGGGTCGGGCCGGGTCGGGCTGGGGTGGTGGTGAATAGAGCGGAAGTAAGCGGCAAGGTTGCCAACTTTTGGGTGTGTTTGCTTCATTCCCCCCTCCGTTCCCCTCTCTCTCTCTCTTTTCATCCCCTACGTTTCGATTTCCCCTCCCCGTGAAAAATATCTCGAAGTGCGTAGTCTTCTTTCCAAAGGGGAATTCGCCTGCCAGTGCAGGGGACCGAAGCGAGGATTCCGCGGCGTGGGACTTTTTGTTGCGGCACCTCGGCACCTCGGTCCGGGGGCTCGGGGGCCCGGGGGCTCGGGGGCCTGGGGAGCTCGGGGGGCCTGGGGGGCTCGAGGCGGGGCCGGGCAGCTCGGACGGTGTCGGTGTCGATCAGACGGCCGCCATCCATCAAAGCCTTCAGCTGCCTTCGCTGCCTTCAGCGCGGTGCAGCCCCCGGTCGGTCCTCCGGCCCCGGAAATCGGTCGGACGTCGACGACGTCGTCGCGACGGGGGCCGCGAGGGGAGGGGCTCATGGTGCCTGGCCGTTTGGCGCGCTCGGCCTCTCAGACGGACGGGGTCGACGACGACCCCGCAGAAGGCAAGGCCACGCCTCCGCACAGTCGACCGGATCGTGGTCTTCGGGAGGCTGCGTGCCCGTCCCTTCCCTTCCCTCGCCCCGCCCGCAGCCCCGCTGCCCCGCGGTCGTGTGGCGAGCGCTTCATTTCGAAGCAGAGGCAGCCAGCAGACGGATTCCGAGAAACGTTTTCGGCACTCTGTCTCGCTCGCACTCATGGGGCGCTCCGTACAGGTGCAAGAGGGACAGAGCGACGAAACGACTCTCGGAATCAGTCTGCCGCGGCGAGGCCGCCGCTACGAGAGCCCAGACCGAACTAGGCGAGCAACTTCTTGACTTGAAAATTGGCGTTGCTAGACATTGCGGCCCTCCCACGCCTAGGCGCGCCTCCCCACCTTCCACGTCCACGTCCCAGTCCCGGCCGTCCCCCGTGTCCGGTCCGGTTCCTGCTGCAGCCCAGCCAGTGTGGATCGCCGGAGTGCGGCCGTTTTTCTCGGCCGGCTCCTCGGACGTGCCCTGCCGCCTGAAACCGAAGAATTGTTTCGTCGCTCTGTCTCCGTCGCATCCCTCCCTACGGAACGCCCGATGAGCGCAGCAAGAGAGACAGGGCGACGTAAACGTCCTTCGGCAGCGGCTGGCGTTTTGGAGGCCGTCGGCCCCGTCCGGCTCTCTGGCTGCACCTGCACTGTCTGTCGACTGTCTGCGTACCGGACCGGACCGCAGCGCCACAAGCTGCGCGAGGCCGCCAGAGCGGTAGAGCCGGCAGAGCCAGAGGCCCCGGCACGCCGCGCCGCCGTGACACGCCCGGACGCGACACGCCTCTGCATCCGGCGACAGCGCGGCGACAGCGCGGCGACAGCGCGGCGACAGCGCGGCCGGGTCGGGGCGGGACATGTGCCGGCAGTCACACTCACCTGCCATGCCCCCGGCACCCCCGGTAGTGCCCCACAGCCCCACAGCCCCACAGCTCCGCGCAGTGCGGCATCCCTCTACTCCCTTCGTGCGCTGGCGGCCCCTGGCGGCGGTCGCCCGGACTAGTCACAGGCAAGGGAGCAGAGCGAGCAGAGCGCGAAGCGGGTCCCGCGTCCCCGCCGCTTCCCGCCCCCACCGCCCCACCACCCCAGCCTTCCGCAGCCGGTGCGGGCCGGGCCGGCAGTTGCTTCCCAGCCCCGACCGAGCCGACGCGAGCCGCCCGACGCGGAGCCGCCCCGAGCCGCGCGACCACCGTCCGCTGTTCGCAGTAGCGCCGCGTTGCGCCGCGTGCCGAAGCTTCGCGACGACAAGCTGGTCATCGGCGTCTCCCTCAAGACCGCTCGTCGACAGCCACCCAGGGATTATTGTTGCCAGTGTCCGACGGATTACGACAGTGAAACAGTGCTTCGGTTCAGAGGGAGAAAGAGAGTGAGAGAGTGGTGGATTGAGGGGTGGTCGTGTGCAGACCGAGTGACGAGTGTAGTGAAGTGTTTTCATGTGACGTGCCCGCCGCAGCCCGCCGGCCGGCCTGCCTGCCTGCCTGCCACAGTCGTGGTGGGACGCGCAAGACCACCCGCGCCGTCGACACAGGGATGCCCTAGGCAACACAGAATTTCCGCAGCCGGATGTGAAAAGGTCAGTGCCGTTCGCAGCATGACGGAAAAATAATCTGTCCAATCTATCTATCAATCTATCTGTCCATCTTTTCCCGGACGGACAGCTTCCTTACTGCCACATGCCATCTCCACCCCGACCGTCCTCTCTCTCCCCAATACGTCCGGATCGACAGTTGTCTCTCGGCATATTTGAAGAGAGCGGCGCGTTCTTGGAAAATATCTGGGGGTTCCGCCAAATGAGTCCCCTCCGGTCCCCTCCGGTCCCCTCCGGTCCCCTCGGCACGCTTCACGCTTCGCAATGCGTCGCTGGCCGGATCGGCACGTTCCCGACTCGCCTCCCTGGGAAGAAGGCAAACGAGCCTGTTCGTCGCGGGGCGCGCGGGGCTCGGCGCCTTGCCCTTCCAAACGTGCAAAGCTCTACGACCAAAACTCCCACGGGCCACGGGGAGTCAGCCTGTTGGCAGTGGCGCCGACAAGCGGCAGAATCAAGTCGGGGCGCCTCGCGCCTCGCCTCGCCGGCCGAATGGACTTCGGTACAAGCCGATCTGTTGTCAAGTTTTTGCCTGATGTAGTTTCGCGAGCGAGTCCCTTGGACGCTACAGGTTTTCTCTGATAAACAAGTTTTTGTTCCGACCCATTGCTCCCCGCTGGGCTGGCCGGCAGGGCTGATTCCAAGCACTGCTTTCGTCGCTCTGTCTCTCTCGCACCTATGGGGCGCCCCGTGGATGTGCGAGAGAGACAGAGGGACGAAAGCAGTGATCGGAATCAGTCTGCTGGCGCCAGCTTCGCGGACTCTGCGGCCAAGGACCTCAAGGATGTGGCCCGGCGTTGTAGGATGGTCTGGCGGTGCGCGCGCTGCATCGGCGCGCTGCATCGTTGATGGCGGGAGCGCTTCCGCACAGCCTGCGCACTTTGATTCGGCACACTCTCGCGGGCCGCCGTCTCCGTTCCGCCGTTTCACGCTCGGGTCTCTAGGTTAAGCACGCGCCAGAAATAACGGCCGAAAGCGGCGGGGTCTTAGTTGAGGGAGAAGCGACATCCTGATTGCTGGGTTCGCCTTGCCTTCGCCTGCCAGCCTCAAGGCGAGCCTCAAGGCGAGCAGCGCACAGTGGGCCAGAAGACCGGTAGAGGCGGACAAAACTCTAAACGCGTTTTGAGCTCCAGAGTCTCTAAATGGGACTCGAACCGAACGTGTGATCCCACCAATGGATTGCTCTCCGAACGAGGAATCCATTGGTGGGGCCACACGTTCGGTTCGAGTCCTGCCTAGCGACTCTGGAGCTCAAAACGCGTCTAGAGTTTTGGCCGCCTCCACCGATCTTCTGGCCCACTGTGCAGCGTGGGCGAGACGGCTCCGTGTCCTGGATGTCCTTGCACGCCGTGCGAGGCGCGAGGCGCGAGGTGTCGCGCCGACATTGCCGTGGGGATTGGAATTGACGGTGCTGCCTTGCCGTCGTATCTTCTGTTACATTTATTATTAGATCAGTGGGCCGGGCGGCGGGCGCTAGCGTCCCTCGAGAGGTTTATCCCGAAATGCGGCAAAACTTTTCTGCGTGCGGCCTGTTCCTCCCCGGGCCGCGTCTTCCGGCTTGTCTACCGACGGGCCTCCGCCGTGTCGCACCGCGCCGTGCCCACCGCGCCTCGACTCGCCGCGCCGCCGCACCGCGCCCCACGCAGCCCGTCGCGACGTCCCCAGAGTGTCGACCGAAGCCCCTCTGCCTTGGATTCGTGAAAATAAAGCGTAAATGTCCCTCTCTGCTCCAAGGCTGTGAGGGAACGAGAGTGCCACTGAAAAGGTACACACACTGTCTGAAATTTTTCTGAAAGTGAAGTTGGTCCATGGCGCCCAAAGATGTTCTTTAAAACTAATATTTGGTGGCCTGGCTGGCAGAATGCACTCAAACTTGTGCGTGGAAATAAAACTTGGTATGTTTTGTGTAGAGCTTCGGAATTAGGGCACTGCTTGGCTCAGAGATGGAACGCCTCGCGGCAAGACAGTGAGAAACAAGAAGGGTTTCCGTCCGCCCTCCACCCACACCCCAAACCAAAGATTGCTTCTGCAAATAAGGCTAGCGGCCGGTGCTCACCCGCCCCGAAAGCTTCCCTCGCCTGCCCGCGGTGTTCAAGCCTGCGGCCGATGGTGCCCCTTCCTATGCGTCCTGGCGGTCGACTTCCGCCTGGCCGGGGTGGCGGTCGCGCGGCCCGCCTTGGCTCGGCTCGGCTCGGCTCGGCCCCCCAGAGCGCCGAGGACGTCCAGCAGACGGCCCTGTCGCTGCCCAAGTTCAAGGACCCGTGCAGCCACGCGCAGCGCCGCGCTGCTCTGCGCTCTGCCTGCCCGGCACGGCGCGGCACGGCCCCCGTCGCGCCGACTCAACTTTCCCGAGAAACATTATTTATCGCCCGCTTCCTCTTCCGGGCGTATCTTCGCTTTCGGGGAGTTGGCGGGGCGGGCCTGCAGTGTGCCCGCCTGTAGTGTGTCTGGCGGGGCGGGGCGGGGCCAGTTGCCGCTGCCACACTGTTGACGGAGAAACCAAGCCGCCAGTCAGCGAGGCGCTCGGAACGAAAATCGCGAATTTCGCGTGTCTAGTAAACGGCTAGAGTTGCAGGCGTTGCACGTGAGGCAACTTCATTTTTAAAGTAGACTTGTGATTTTCTTTACTTTGCGGGCCACGCTTGTGTAGCTTGCGGCGGGAGAGGGAACACGATGCTCGCTCGCGCGTCTCGCCACGCCAAGACCCTCCTCCCGGTGCACCCCGGTGTGGGGTCGGCTCGCGTGGTGCGTGGGCGCGGGGCGGCGGTGGGCGGCTCTCGGCCGATGATGGATGCACGTTAATGCGGAGGCGCCACCTGCTCGGCATGTCCGAGTGGACAGAGGGGCGGGGGACGGCGACGTGGGTGGCAGTGCTTGGCGGCCCCTCAGAGCGCCGAGTCCCACGTAGCCTCATTTCGCTCTTTTTATCTGCTCTCCCACAAACAGTTTACCTTTTTGAACCTTGCGAAGTGCATGCATGGTCCACGTTTTTCCGTGTCTGGGAGTGGCGAGCGGGGCGAGCGGCCGGTCCGACCCGGTCCAGTGAGGACGGCGCGGTGCGGGCCGTGCAGCCAGGCTCCGCGGTGGCTGACGAGCACCCCGAGCACCCCGCCCGGGAGGTGACCACCGTGACCACGCACCGGGATTGTTGCAGCCCCCCCCCCCTCAAGAACGGAGCCACCCCGCGGTGGACTTGATTGCGTGATTGTGGCTGATCTGCGAGGCGAGGCGCGATCGGCGCGCTGCACGCCGTGGCACGCCGTGCACGGATGGGAAACAAAACGGGAAACGTGAAAAAACGGCAACAAAGAAAGGAATAAAAAGGAGCATTGCGGGCCGCGGGGCGCCACGGACGGAAAGGGGGTGGGTGGGAGCGTCGGCCTGGACGGGCCGTGGAAGTTAAGCCCCGGGGAGGCCAGCCAGCACGGCCGGGGCGGCGCGGCGGCGCGGCGGTCAGTCAGTCGCACTGACTGCAGGGCCTGCAGGGGGAGCCACTGGGCAAGGCTGGCAAGGCTGGCCAGGCTGGCCAGACAGCCGGGGCTTTGGCCACGGAGCCCCCACCCGTCGCGTGGGCCATGGCCCGGTGGCGCCGGTGGCCGGCGTGTGAGCGTCCACACAATGCCGTTGTTTGGCCGGGACTGCCACCGGGACCTCCTCCGGGACCGCCACCGGGACCCGGGCGGGGTTGAGCAAAATGGTTTGATGTGGCGTGCTCTATTTGGTTAGGCCGCCGGCGGTGGCTTCAACGTTCAAGGCCCCCCCCCAACTGGCGGGTGCAAGCGAGCTTTTTCCAGCGAACGACACTCCACCCGGTTCCGGTTCGGCCGGTTCGGCCTTCGGAGCGTGACTGACACTGATGAAGCTGGGCTGGCCGGGCCGCGTAATGTGTTGCGCGTCGGGCCGGGCCGGGCCGGGCCGAGGTGCTTCCCGGCCTGGACTACCTCCACCTTCCGTAATTACACTGCAGACAAACAAACCAGGAGAGTTATGGCCGCCGCACGGAGGTCCCCGACCGTCACCCCCGCCACCCCGCCGGCACACCACTGTGGCCACGCCGGGCCACGCCCACCCGGGCCACCAGGGGCCGTCGCCGAGCGGGGCCGTCCTGCCGTCGATGTGGGCCGCGTCATTTGCATTCGCGTTGTCGGCGGCGGGGCGGGGCGGGGCCGCCGAGGTCCGTGTCGGGTCCGGCGACTGGCCATGGCCGTGGCTATGCCGCCGTGGGGCCGTCGATTATTCCATTAGGTTTGGCGGTTGCCGTGGACGGACGGGACGGGACGGGGTCAGCCGCTCTGCGCCCCTCTGCGCCCCACGCGAGGCCCTCCCCCCCTCCCCTCCCCCCCCCCCCCCCGCCCCGCCGCTCTCCCAGCCCACGGTGCGCGAGGCCTTCCCCCGGGCCGATTCCTCTCCCTCGCACCCCTAGGGGACGCCTCACGGCCTCACGGCCTCGCGCTGCGAGAGAGACAGAGCGACGAAAGCGCCGTTCGGAATCAGCCTGCTGGCGGCGGCTTCCTTTCCAACAAGCAACTTACTTTGGAAACAGTCCAGTGCACTGCTAACCAGGCGGTGCTTGCGAGGAGGCGCAGTGGGGGCACGTAGTAGTGCGGGGCAGCCACAAGCCCCCCCCCCCCAAAAAAAAAAAAAAAAAAAAAAGACACTTGGATGTCCCTCTAAGGATGACGAGCTGTGATGGTCATCAGAAAGGGGCTTCTGTCACAAAAATAAATTTAAACCGCTGCAATGACTTTGTTTCTGGTTTGGAGGTCATCCTGTAATCCTGGTCTCCTAAACACGGCGATGTTCCGGCATTTGGGGGCTCCCGACTCCGAACTGACCTGCTGTCGTTCTCGTCAACAATTTCCTTTGTGCGCTTATTGTTGCGAGCATGAGTCAGTCTCAAGTCATGCACCAAGTTGGGCACACGCGCTCCGCGTTCTGCGCAATGATGTCGCAAGCTGCCGTATATTTACACCTCGGTCTGAAAGGAG